AAAAAAAGAAAAAAAAAAAAAAAAAAAAAAAAAAAACTATGATGTTAGAATGAGAAAATTGTAAATGGCAAAGGAAACATCATGGTGTACAACCTTGGCAAAGAAATAAACACTTTCTATGATATTACAAAATATTATTTCCCCTGAGCACTCCATTCCCATAGAAAGTTTCTTATCGGATTTTCTTGACTCTTGGCCACTCTACTTGGTAGTCTGAAGATTGACAAAATAAGTAGGGATACTACCTGACTCACTGTGTAAGAATGAGTCCACCTACTCTAGAGAGACACCCCTTCCTCCACCTGTCCAGACATCACCTGTCTTTTCTACTACAGGATCCTGTAAGCTCAAATATCCCCCAAGAATCCCAAATAATTCAAAGGTCGCACCAATTTGGCAGGCCACAGCCAATATAACAGGAATAAGCAGGGCTTAGGAGGGAACATGCCCCCTTGATTTTTTCATTTTTTACTTCCAATATATATGTATAGAATGTTATAAGATTTCTCATTAGATTCCTAAAGGCCTCCTTTTCCCTGTCTTTCAAAACAATCAGACCCTTTCGTTTCTTGGAGTGACCATAAGTTGTGTAGTATTACATTTGGGAGCTTGGTTCCTTTTAAATATCCGTTTTAGTCTTCTTGTAAAGCAATTGTTGACATCATTACCCTTCTTTGATGTCACTCATGTATCCAGCTTATTAGCAGTGTTTGAGTCTAGGGTAAGGCTAAATCATCTCTAACCCTTGTGTGAAAAAAAAAGGCTCTACCATATTAATCTTCTCTTGATTCTGTTTGGTAATTTCTTAATAATATAGGGATATTCCCAGAATGAGCATGAACACTTCCTGTTTATGTATTTATTCTTATTAGAAACAGAATGTTGTTAAAGAAACTCAAAAACACAGTACATGAAACAAGATGTCCACCAATAAAATGATACAACTCATAGAAAAACAAATCCATATTACATCTTTTACTGTAGGACAACTGTAAAAAGTACCCAAGAGTAGCTCCCCAAATCTAAATAAAATTACAGAAAATGAGAGATTCCGCTTATATGTTTGGGTCAACAAAATGGGAGGATCCCTAAAGCCTGGAAAGAGAAGCGCATAAGGATGACCCAAACCCTACTTTATCCCAAGAGCTCTCCCTCTTCATCCCCACTATAATTCTTATAAGTTCTTCTCTCTCTCCAGCCAAATTACCTGAAAAATCCAAAAAATTGTTTGATACCACCACTAGAACACATATACTTTTTTCACAGAGATGGTTTGAGGATCACTGAGGAATAACCCAATTAACCACTGCAACCTTAATGAATCCACTGCACCCAAAGCATATGGGCAATTTACAAACCATTGACTTCTAGATTCTGCCTTTTTTGTGCACAAAAGCACCAATGAGGCAGACAAACGGTGGTCTTCTTTGTACCAAATCACACGTGTTTGCTCCTCCATGAACTCTGATCCATGCCAAAACACTAACTTTAGGAGGAACACTAGATTTCCAAATCATTTTAGCAGGCTGAAACAGCACATAAAAATGTGAACAAGCTCTGTAAGATGTAGAATTTCAATAAGTTTTGTCCAACTTTGTTTAAAGTATTTGTAGGTAGATATTGGAATGTGCCTCAAATTTTTGTTACAGGATGACATTTGAATGTTAATAAAAATTAGGGTATTATGTCAGACCCTGATTAAAGGATGAAATTAATTCTCATTAAAATTGTACTATTCCCACTCATACCACTCTTATTAAATTGTGGGTTTAACACATATCAGAGCATGGTTTGTAAGAGGTCCTAAGTTCGATCCCAGTTCTCCATTTTTCGTTGGTTTGCAGCGTGTAGGGTAGGCTGCACCTATATGTTTGTCTCTCTATCTGTATTTGTCTGCCTCTTCAAGTTGAGTATGGGCATGCACGTTAGGGAGAGTTTAAGTTTGATATATGATCACCCGATTCCCTATTCAACTTAAGCTTGGACATGTTTACTCTGAGTCCCCCTAGCCACCTCGAACACTTCAAAGTCCTGTAAATCTTGAATGAATAATAATCTTGTGATACTTTTTGGGTGTGTTATGATGTGTACTAATGAGGCTGGTAATGGTGATCTTACCAAAATGCCTTCTATTTTATATTCTCCATCTGAAATTTATAGTAAAATGCTGATGTTTTTGGACTATCGAACAAATTATTCTGTCTCTTACCATTTCTTCTTCAATATGGGATTGACAGCGAGATGCTGCCACTGCTCCAAATGTTGGGGATCGAGTACCTTATGTCATTATTAAAGCTGCAAAAGGTGCCAAGGTAATTTTTCTTTAGAGTTTTTTTCTTTTCTTTTGACAGAAAATGCTTTATGGGTTATCAATATTAATGGATATATGATAATCAGGCATATGAGAAGTCAGAGGACCCCATCTATGTGCTCGAGAATAACATACCCATAGACCCTCAATACTACCTTGAAAATCAAATTAGCAAGGTAAGTGATTGCTACTATTATGTTTAATTTGGCAAATTAAAGGTCAGTTTAAACCATTGCACTTACCATATGTAATATTATCTAATTTGGTCTTTATTTAGTTGCCTGCTTAAATAACTTTTCATTTTACAGCCACTTTTAAGAATTTTTGAGCCCATTTTGAAGAATGCTAGCAAGGAACTTCTTCATGGAAGTCACACAAGATCTATTTCAATATCTACTCCCTCAAACAGTGGAATAATGAAATTTGCAAAGAAACAACTCACTTGTGTTGGCTGCAAAGCTCTAATTAGGTACAACTTTACCGATTTTTTCAAATTCCAAATGACTGCTTTTATTTGTAGGCCTACTGAGTAGACAAATGACCCTAAATTCCTCATGAACATCATTTACTGTGGTAATGTGCTGATTCCTAATTAGCAAGAAAACTTAGCTTGGATGGAAATTATGGTCGAAATGTTTTTTGGCCCCCAAGTTTCACCATTATAAGCATTTATAAATTGTATGGCGTAAAACAGATTGTTGGTACGAGTGGCAAGACCAGGAAAGCACGAGTTATGGACACAAACTTGAGTTGTATCAAAATAGATGTTTTTTCTATGTAAGTAAATACAGGATTTGAAACATGTTTTAGTGGGATTACTGAAGTATTCTTAAAATTCGATTGGGAGCACCAAATTTAGAAATTATAAGCATAGGTGGGAGAATGGAAAAGTTACTAACCTAATTTTAGGGCTTTTAGAAAGCTTCCTAAACCAGGATTAAATCAATGGTCAAAATCTTCGAGTACCGAAAAGCATGGCAACTGACTTTCTCAAATGTTTGTTTCATAGAATCATAACCTAAGCATTAGACATAAAAGGATCTCTATGATGACCCACCATAGCATCATAGACCGAATTGAAATGAGTTATCACTGTCTCATCTTCGTGCACCTTTGGATCCATTTCTATGATATAAATTTTCTCAAACATCTTGTTAAAATCTTATGGGTCGATGTTATAATCTCTATGGGGCTTTTGGATAGTTCTACCGTGTTTGTGAAAAATGTTAAGATGAGAGAAATTCTCAAGGATATACGTATTCATCTCTGGCACATGACTTCAGAGGGCCCATTGTATTTGAAGCATAATGTAGGATACAGTATATCATAAATAAGAGGACATACTAAGAAAAACATCACTTTAAGCAATCAACGAATCATGTTAGCATCTTTGAGGTTTTAGGGGTGTGAATTTTTTGTAGTGTTGGATAGTGCCATGTTAGATCTCTTTACATTTCCTGGTATAAAGAACCTAAAACCTTCTTAATGTTTGTGTTAATCCATCAGCAACACGGATCGAACTCTTTGCTCGCACTGTAAGGGAAGAGAAGCTGAGCTCTATTGCAAAACAGTGGCTCATGGTATGAATCAATGTCAGAGTTGTATTCTGTGCTAAATTGTAAAAGCATTCTATCATATTTGGATCTAAATTCTTTTAGTGAAAAACATATGGAAATGGATTGTGTAATCTTGCAGTGTCTGAGCTAGAAACACTTTTTGGGCGGTTATGGACACAGTGCCAAGAGTGCCAAGGCTCTCTTCATCAAGATGTGCTCTGCACAAGGTATTTTAATTTCATAAGTTTGAGTATTTTTAGGGTTTTTATCACAAATGGTACCTCAGGTTCGCGAAATTATCACATTTAGTCATTTATGTTTTTTTGTGACATGGTTGGTCCCTAATGTTACTAAGCGTACATCAAATTGGTCCTTTCCTTGAGATTACGTAAAAAATTCTGTTTAAGTGCTGATATGGCACATATGCGGAGCCCACAAATCCAATGTTATAGAGCCACGCGGCTTTAAATAAAAAAATATAATATTTTAAAACTTAAAATCCATAAAAATGTTTTAAATTTTGAAAGAATCATTTAAAAAAAACAAAGTAAGAAACCAGAGAGAACGAGAAGGGAAGAGAGAGAGGTAAAGAGAGGAAGGGGGGAACGAGAGGCAAAGAGTGGGGCAGGGAGGGTGGCTGGGCATTGGGTTGTGGGTAAGGCTTGGAGGTGGGGGGTCGGGGGTGGGTGAGGATGAAATAGAACATAGGGAGAGGGAGAACGCAGAGGGGAGAGAGAGAGGGCAGAGGGAGAGGGATGATGGGAGAGAACAGAGAGGGAAACGGGGAGACGGAGGGACCAATTTGATGTATGCGTAGTAACGTTAAGGACCAACCATGTCACAAAAAAAATGTAAAGGACTAAAGGTGATAATTTCGTGAACCTCAGGAATCATTTGTGATAAAAAGCATTTTTTTTTATGTACCTTCCTATTGTTCCCCTGTAGGGATTGCAAGGAGTGGCTGTGCTACAGCTGTCTTGCCATCCATTCACTGTACTTATGCCATGTCCGTCTGTCAGCTTGCATTTGTATTTAACTCATGCTATGTCTTCTTCCAGTCGGGATTGCCCTATATTTTATAGGAGAAAGAAAGCACAGAAAGACATGGCTGAAGCCAAAGTGCAATTAGACCGATGGAGCTTCTGACATTCACCGGACAGTTGGTTCTTATTCCCAACCAAAAAACAAATGATATGTTCATGCCTGTTGAGCAGGCAGGATCTGTGCAATTGTGCTGTTCAAGGAAATTGACGTTTATAAAACAGAAATTTTCAAAAACTTTGACCAAGCAAATTGCGAAAGGGATGTTATTGGTTTTGAACTGAAACAAAGTGGACAGTAGCTCTACATATGTACAGCTTGGACCTTGGTAGATAATTTTAGAATAAATGTTTTTACGAACTTTGTGAAGATGCAGAAAGTCTAGGAAGGCTGTGAAGTCAGCCGTTAGCCATGCTGATTTCCAAAACTACGACCTCGCTCTGATAATGTTTGATTTATTGTATCATTTGTTGTGTATTCTTTCTTGGTCTGATAATGTGTATTCTTGATTGTATCATTTATTGTATGTTCTTGCTTGGCTCTGCAATATTTCTTTCTAATTGTTATGGCAAACAGAAGTTGATATTTTTCATATTAGGTTTTAGTGTTTTTTATATATATCAAGATGTGCTCGATTTAGACTACAGATGTTGGACTCAATGCTCTGGCAAACAGCTTTTATTTGATCTAAAAGCTTATGTTGTTGGACTTCTACTAGGGTTTAGCAATGGGCCATTGCCCGCCTCAACTCCGAAATTTTATAGTCATGATGCGCAATTTCGGGCATGATAGAAGCTACTATTGGTTGGAAGGGGCTCGGCTCGAGCCGATTTGGGGTTCGTCCGTAGGACACATTGTAACAAGTTACTTGTTGTCTAGCTAGGAACTCAATTACCCGAACCTGAATGTAACGGCGATGTGAATCAGACAACGGAATACACTGGTGTAGGCGTTAGCATCATAAAATGGACACCTTCATTCAACCCATTGCCCTCAATATTTTGTCCCATAGCCCTAACATGAACCCCAATTCCAAACTTCATAGCAGTGGTCATATTATCATTACATATCTATTGATAATGCTTCACCACCTAGTTTGCATTTTCCCGTATTATAAACGTATGTACTTTTTTAAAAAACTTTTGTTTTCCGTACACATTTTTAAGATTCGATAAAATATGTTTTTTAAAATCAAACATACAATACACGTACATATGTATTCTTCACATTTAATACAAGTATTTTTTATAAAATTTTCAATAATACAGACAAAATTCACGTATTATAATTTTGACAAATTATTGAATAAAAATAATATATATTACAAAAATTTAAATATTATATAGTGGCCGAACTTTTCATTTCTATTTTTTCAAAATTATACTGAATAAAAACACGTATGAATTAACTATTCTCCTTTAAATAAACCACATTTAAAGTAAATCGCAGGTGAACATCTCATCACAAATGGCTTTTCATGAATCCATGTAAATTAAAAAAAAAAGTAAAAAAAAAAAGCTACTTTGTTATTGGACTCCACAAAGCATTTAAAAAAAAGGGAAGGTCAGACCACAAAGCTATAAATTAGACCCAATCATAAATGCATAGCACCAAATAAGAGCAGCCGTAATTACAAGAATTAATGATAAAGCTTCATCATTACATTTCACTTTGCAATTTATGCATGTTATACATACAAGCTCTTTCCAAATACATTTCCTGAAGGTTGAGCCAAGTATACATATGTATCAATGATAAGCCTATATTTTACATATACTTTATGGCTCTTTTACTTGTTTTTTTGGTTAATTTCCTTGAATTAAATTGTAAGACAATAACTTGTCTTATATGATTATGGTCTTCTAATCCTATAAGGACTCAACAATTTGCACTAATCTAGGAGTACAGACTTAAACATTATCAGCAGTTCTTTTTCTAAGAGTGCTTTAATAGGAAACAAGAACCTAGAGAATTTCTAATTCCATATGGATTAAAACAACCTATCCAAATGCAAACTGGATTACTTAAGTGTTTCTTAATGGGTGGGAAACTTAAGTAAATGCATAAAAGTAGAGGTCCCTTCTCTAGCAGTCAATTAACTACTCATATAGAAATCTCACCCCATTAGAGAAAGAGCTTAAGGACTGCATAGAAGAAGAAGATTTTGGATAATGGAATAGTTGCTTAGTACACAATGCCAGGAACTCCGCAATAGAATGGTGTGGCTGAGAGAAAAAATTGAACTTTGAAGGATATGGTTCATAGCATTATTTTGAAAAAAGATTTGCCTAAGAGTCTATTGGGAGAAGCAATTAAAACAGCAAATTACATACTTAATAGAGTGCCCAGCAAGTCTGTGCCTAAGACACCTTTCGAAATTTGGACTACCAAAAAGCCTAGCCTGTGACATCTTTATGTATGGGGTTGTAAGGCTGAAGTTAGAATCTATAACTCTCAAGAGAAGAAGCCCGGTCCTAAAAGGATTAGTTGTTATTTTATAGGTTATCCCGCAAGGTCAAAGGGTTTTATATTTTACTGTCCAAATTATGGTACTCGAATTGTTGAGACTAGTTGTGCAAAGTTTATAGAGCATGAGGAGAATGCCATTGGGAATGAAGATTTTGTTTTTGAAGAAGAAGGTGATGTAGCTGTGATTGAGAATGCTGAGCAAGATGTTACACCCTTGATTCATTTAAGTGAAATTGTATTGGAAAATCCTCAGTTTGAAGAACTAGTTGAACCACAAGAACAAGCTGTTGAGAATCCTGAGCTAGATAATCCACAAGAACCAGTACAATTGAGGAGATCTAATAGACCAAGAAGATCCACAACAAATTCAGATTATGTGTACTTACAAGAAGCAAATTTTGACATTGGAGATGAGGCTGATCCAACAAGTTTTATAAAAGCTATGGAGAGTCAAAATGCAGAAAAATGGAGGGAAGCGATGTTGAATGAACACAAAAGCATGAAGAATAATCAAGTATGGGAATTAGTTAAACCTCACAAGAGTCAGAAATTGGTAGGCTCGAAATGATGGAAGAATCAAAAAATTTAAGGCTAGATTGGTAGCCAAAGGATTCACCCAAAGGGAGAGAATTGACTACACTAAGACGTTTTCTCTAGTGTCCATCAAATATTCTTTCCGCATCATTATGGCTTTGGTGGCACATTATGACCTACTTTTGCATAAGATGGATGTCAAAACTGCCTTCCTGAATGGTGAACTCGAAGAAGAAAATTATATGAGGCAACCTGAAGGGTTTGCAAAGGAGGGAAAAGAGCATATGGTTTGCAAACTTGGCAAGGTGATTTATGGGCTGAAGCAAGCAAGCAAGAGGTGGTATTTCAAATTTCACCAAAGTGTTTCATCTTATGGTTTTGAAGAGAACATAGCCGATTGTGTGTCTATGAACTCGTATCGATGAGCTCTACACAAGGTGCCACTCAAATCCCAAAAATCCTTATGGATCGAAAAGTGGCTAACGTGACCCTACTCCAAGGGCAAAATTATAATTTCACAATTAAATAAATTAAATAAACTGTTAAAATTGGGTCGGAGTGTCACAACATGGGACTAGTTAATCATTCCCTTCCACATGGGTTTATTAGTCCACTCCTAAGGAGGTATTTTTGGTAGGCCCAGTATTAACAATCCCATTTAAGACTAGGATTAGATGAAACAAACATGGGACTAAATTTAGTCCAGGCCAATCCAAGTCAATCCTCTATAACAAACGACCCCAAAAAGGTATGATCATATCTCTAACCACATTAAATTGAAATTTAAAAAAATGATAGTGAACACAAACCTAGTAATCAATGTAGCCACTAGTAACACAATGGAGGCTAGTGTGTTTTTATAAAATAAAAACACACTAAACCTCATTCCCTCATTCCCTCATTCCCTCATTCAATCCCATTTTTGTGAGGATAGAGTTGCCTTCAATCAGCACTAGGATCAACATCCCAATGATAAATATGGAAACCCTTTTTATCTTTTCCCATTGGCCTTAGATTGCCTCTCCTTCGTCCTAGTTCACAACAACATTTGTTGGTTGTTGTTCAATACCCAGCTCATGTTGCACCCTCCTCGACAATATCTTGAACAACCATGACATGATGTTCTTCTTTCTCCACAATTTCTTGAACAACCATGACATGATGTTCTTCTTCTTGCACAAGGTGTTCAACATCATGTGTTGGATGTTCTTCCTCCGCATGTTCTTCAAATGTCAGCACATGTAGCTCTCCCTCCTCCACAATTTCTTGAACAACCATGGCAGGATGTTCTTCTTCCTCCGCAAGGTGTTCAACATCATGTGTTGGATGTTCTTCCTCCACATGTTCTTCAAATGTCAGCACAATGTGTTGGATGTAGCAATATAATATTTTTGTTGAGATTGTAGTTGACAGTGAATCTGAGATAATTCAAAGTTCAATTGTTATGTAATAACGCATGCTTTTTGTTTGGGAGACTATAATTTTTCTTTTTGTAAGTTGTATAAGAAATTGGGTCTTATCAAATCAAATCATACTGTTTATTTATATTCGATAAAAAAAATTGTTTATTTATTTATATTGTTAGCTCATTTCAGCCTTGCCTATGGCGCAGGCTCAGGCTTTGACTTGGCCCGACTAGGCTCATAAAAGCCTAGCCCATGGGGCAAGCTCGGGCTTTGATTTTGTAGAAAAAACCAGCCTGGCTTGGCTTGTATATTTCCTTTAATCTAGTAAAGCCCAGTCCGACCTAGTCAAAGTCCACTGGGCTTAGGTTAGGCTAGTCTAGCCCGGCCCATTAACTATCCCTACATGTAGGAAGGTAAAAATTGCTGAGTTTCCTACATATTTTACTTAAACTAACTTTATTCTAAGTATTGATAGTTTTCAAGGGACTTAATTGTAGAGTTGTTTATGTTGTAGTGTTCTTGAGGCTTTCATTATCGTCACAGGGCTTTTCATCTTTCAATGGGGGCAAGCACAAAGCTAATGCATCTGAGGATGGGTACTGCACTTGGTATGACTTATAACACAATGATTCAAGTTATAATTGATGACCACATGAGATGTTGGATATGCATTTTTTTATTATTATCAACTTTTTGCATATTTTCAGTTCAATGGAAGGATTCATGGTCGGGTGGCTGCTCAAATTTAAAGTGAGAGGGCCCTTGAATTAGCAGATTTTCCACAGCACTTGAGTAGGCCTAGGTGACACTGAAACCGATGAAATTAAAATACAAAAGTGTGATGAAGAGAGCCTTGGAACTCTTGGCACTTTGTCCACAACCGCCCAAAAAGTGTTTCTAGTTCAGACACTAGAACATTACACAATTCAATTTTCACATTACACAAGCATTTACATCCAAATGTGATTGAATGCAACTCTTTTTGACTGGGAGACTTTAATTTTTATTTTTTGTAAGTTATATGAGAAATTGGGCCTTATTAAATCAAATCCTACAGTTTATATTTTTTTCAACAAAAAAAATATTTATTTATTTATATTGACCATGAGTCTTCTGAGGTAGTTTCACCCTTCGAGAAGTACTACAATGACCTTATTAACGAGTCTTGACTATTATTCGAGTTATTTTGATTATGTTGGTATTATGAGATTGTTTTATAGTATCTTATGGAATTTTTGGATATTATTTTAATAATTGAAGTTATGGAATAGATGAGCATGGGATACTTGATTGATGGGTTGTGAAAGTGAGTCTTGGGTCACATCTATGATTATTAGGAAAGGAGTGGACATTTGTTTTTAAGTGTACTTCCTTCTTCTAATATGGAATTTCTTGCGTAAATGAGTGTTGATTGAAAATTGATTTAATTTGGGTTAATGAGGATAAGGGATCTCTAGGGGTTATTATTTATCATTATTTAATATTATTATGATTATTATTAAAGTGTATGGATTGGGTGATATCGAGTTATTTACGAAAGTCTATTATTTTAATTGTGCAATATAGTATTTTATGAAAATTATGTGTAAACAAGTTTTGATTATTATTTGAATTATTTTTGGGTCTTTATGGAATATATGCTTCAAAGTTTATTTTCTATACTATGAATAAATATTTCAGAAAATTGAATTAAGGAAGGGAATATTATTTTTATAATATTTAAATAAGGGTTATAAACCTCACCATCATGTGTATCTTCCCTGGTCACTATACCCACATGTGGTGTTGGATTTTCTAGTGTGTGGGCTTCTTTGGTTACTGGTTTCTAGTTACTTTACCACACGTGGCGTTGGATTTTCTGGCAAGTGGTAAAGAACCCAGACACATTTGATATTGATTGCTTTACCTACACGTGGCGTTAGATTTTCCAGCGTGTGGGCTCACTTGGTTTGGTTAAGCCACACGTGGCATTGGATTTTCCACCGTGTGTGCTCACTTGAATACTGGTTACTTTACCACACGTGGCGTTGGATGTTCCAGCGTGTGGTAAAGGATCCGGACACTTTGGTTACTGTTACTTTACTACGCACGGCGTTGGACTCTTCGGCATGTAGTAAAGTAACAGGTAGAGGGAAAAGGATTATTATACTATATCGGGTAAAATATTAATGTTTAAAAGAATTGTGTTTAGTATATTGTGATTTTAATTAAAGGGAAAAGATGATTCTAGAATTAACTTATTAGTATTATTGAAAATGATTGTATGTTATTTGAATCATGATTGTTGATAAAAGAACTACGTGTGGCTTGATCCCTTACAAAGGGGTATGTAGATAGCCTGGGATTTTACCTAGGTGTAGGCGTGGACTAAATTTTATTTCTGGAACTTTAATTTGGTCATTTGGATATAGTCTTACTTTTTTTGTTTTTGATGAGTTTGGTTTTGACTTTGTCGATGGTCCTGAAACTCGATTGAAACCGATGCGTGATTAAATGATTGTTCATATTCCAGTTTGACTAAGTGGGGGTTGTTAAAATATTTTTGTGCTTAAGACAGTTATGAAACCTGTTTTGGATTAATGTACGATTTGGGCCCGTGTCTTTAAACTACTTGCAATTGTGTTTGGATGATAAAGATCGTACGATGAAAATTGGGAAGATATTTTATATTGATTGCAATGGGCATTTATAAATTTGTTTGGGTTCATTATTTGCATTGTTTAATGTATTATTTGACTTAAGAGCATTGCCGGTGGTTCTGCTTTGAATTACTTGAAGAATGGATGCCTATTCTGTAAACTGTGTGATATTGCATTGTGTGTGTTGGCAATGTTAGAAATATACCCTTAAAGCCAACTAATCATGTAATAGTTAGAGTTAAGGATATCTTTGATAAAAGATATATTATGTTATCAATGGGCAAGAAAGATTGTTTTATATATTAAATCATCCTATATTATCTTTCAATATGTAGAACAACCATAGTCCAAGGAATACACAAGTGGATATGAGAGCTAGGTAATGAGATTGCATACATGGAGACTTCTCATCATCCCTAAATCATGAATATGTTCCTGGTCATAGGAATATTGATTGGGCGTCAATATTCCACATAGACCAGTACACACAATATCGTTTCTATATGTAGGGAATGGCAAGGTCTCAAGTCATTAAGTGTGGAGACACATCGATATGTGTGTAGGTGCTTGTAAAAGAACAAGTACATTGAACGTGATCCAACACATGAGTTACAACATGGAAGTCTTTATTCACATGTTAAGCTGGAACTCATAAATTGCAATGGTGCAAACTAATCCTTAGACATGAGGCATAATAGATGTTTTGAGGCTCTGTTGTTAATCTTTGAAGGCACTATACGGTCATGTTGAATTAGGCATACCTTACAGGTGCTCATCAGGATTCTCAATAGAGTCATGGAAGCAAATGAATGTGCAACAAGGAATCTCTACTATCAGTAAAGGAGTGAGAATACTCCAAGATATGATTGGTCAAATCTCTGCGTAGAGTAATGGATAAGACTTGAAAGAAGAAGTCTTCAAATCTTATCAGGATAATCATATAAAAGAAATGATTCACATTAGAATATTGACAATCGGATTCCATGATCTAATAATGTGAATAAGGAGTACAGACATAAGAGAAGGATTCAATTGCACGGTCATTCCAATTTGAATAGGTTCTTCCACAACGTTTCATTTAGCTCGGATAACCGTTACTTGCTGCTAGGCAACCACGGTTTGTGGATGTCCTAAAAGGTTTCAATTAACCTTTGTTAATAGGGAGAATTAAATTGTGGAATTTAATTCGTATATCATTTTTGAGGAGTTAAGTCAACCCACTACCTTGTTAAAGGAACCTATGGATCTGCACAACCAAAAGAATGTGGTTAGAGGTACAAATGAGAAGAAATGAAATGAGGAGACACAAGTCAATGGTTGATAATCAAAGGTCAAAGTCAACGGTCAAAAGTCAACATGTTGACCGGAGCAATTGACCAAAGTCAAATAGTTCGATTGGGTCAATTAAGTAAGACTATAATTATAATTTAATAGTTAAATTATAATTAAAAGATTAATTATGGAATTAATATTGACATATAGAAATATTGGATTTTGTTTTTAAATATGATTTAAAATGAAATGGACAAAATACCCCAAAAGGCTATTGGGCCCAAGGGATAAGTTGGCATAAGATGACATGATCCAAAGACCAAATGGAGCCCCAATACCCACCCAAAAATTCAGCAACTAAGGGGGAGCTCTCCCCTTGCCTTTTTGTGTTTTCCTATATAATCTAAGTGTTGGAGAAAACCTAGCTAGGGTTTTTGGTTTCCTATTTTGGTTGATGAGTGATCATCTTTGTATCTCATCTTCCATAAACAAAAACAAAAAAAACAAAAAAACATTGGTCCAATCAGGAAGTAGACTTGCATTCCATACTTTTTGATTGCCTTCTCTTCATCTCTAGGAGCATTTGGTGTGGTGAGCTTGAGGACTCCAATCTTGGACCCTTAAGGTGAATGAGTCAAAATCAAGAGAAAGAAAAGACCTTTCCAACAAAGGTGTTCATTCTTGAGAAATCAAGAAAAGGTCATCAATGGTAAAGATCTATTCCCTTTTTCCTTTTTCTATTTGTGTTCAAATAGACTAGGCTAAGATACTTGGTTTAAAATGAAAAATGTTTAGCTCAACTAGTATAAACAAAATGAATCCGCCATTTAGAATGTTTTTTGTTGTATAGGTTGTGGCTAAAGTTCATTTCCTAATTATTAGATGCATGTTTCCTTCAGGCAGTTGGTTTCTAAAACTGCTATATTTATAGGTGAAAATAATTTGGTAAATGTCCATTTTTTAGGGGAGACTCTGCCAAAATTTCAGCATAAAGTGTAGAGCCTCTTTCCCTTTATTTTCGGAGATGAGGATGTTATTGGCAAGTGGGCCCGACATCTGTTTGATGTTATTGGAAAGTGGGCCCCAATTGTATAAGAAATTGGGCCTTATCAAATCAAATCCTACTGCTTATTTATTTTCGAGAAAAAAAACTATTTATTTATTTATATTGCTAGCCCATTCCGAACGTATCTATAGGTCCAACAGAGTTTACTAAACACGTCCTGAGAGTTTGGTCTCGATCGAGAGATCAAATTGCTCTCGATCGCATGATTAGACGGTAACCAGGTTACCCAACCCTAGAATCAATGATTCATAGTATACGGGACTTCGATTCTCGAACAACCAGTTCCGACATGATCCTATAGGCACGGGGAACAACATATTTGAAATTGGGACTGATTGAACGATCGGAACCTGTTGAACCTGGATATCGCATAATATGTGAAGTTTCATTCGATAGTCAAATAATAACCTATCGCTAATCTGAGCATACCGTTGTGCTAGGGACAACATGAGGATTATTTTGGAACCATAAGAGCCACCAAAATGGGTCCCACTGGCAGCCACACAGGCCGGCAGCGCGTAGGAGTCTTGAGTAATTTCTGGAGATCGAAAAACTCCAAATCGCGACCAATACCTATACCTATAGAACCACCACAACTAGGGGAGTCACTTTTGGTCTTGGACTTCGGCCAAAAAGTGGTTGAAGCTAGCCAGAGAATTATCTCAAAGTCGGACAAAACCTAGGTTTCTAATCGAACACTCAAGACTCCAAATCGACCCAAACCACGTATGCAGACAGCTAGAACACGAAAAATGGAAGAAGAAGCATACCTCAATTGACCGATTTGGCGACCGGAGTCGCTGGAACAACATTGAAAACCGTCGAGATTTTCAGTTGTCAAAGTCAACGTTACAAAGTCTTTTGAGCTCAAATAAGGGCTGGGTTGGGTAGAGGAGGACAAGAATTTGGTTGGTGAGAAAGCCAGCCAAGAATGGACCTTTTGTTGCGATCTTGACAAGAGAGAGGGAGGAGAGAGAAAGGTCAGGGGAAAGAGAGAGAGAGAGAACGGGTGAGAAAGAAGGAGACTCGGGTATTTAGGGTTTTTAACAATTTTCAAAATTACCGTTACGTCCTCTCAGTTTTTTGACCTTTACAGATTTGTTACAACTCGAAATTGAGCATGTCATGCGTATGCAAACTCATATTGACGAGCTCTACGCAACAGTGCCACTCAATTACCCAAAATCCTCCCAAACTAAAAAGTGACTAAAGTGACCCTACCCCCCAAGGGCAAAATTGTCATTTCACAAATTAATTAAATAATTAATTAATTTGGGTTGGGATGTTACACATATATTTCCTTAAGTCTAGTACAACCCGCCCCGGCCTAGTCCAAGTCCATTAGGCTGAACATCTTAATGATAAATAGGCAACCCTTTTTATCGTTTCTCATTGCCTCAGATTACTTATCATTCGTCAGAGTTCACAACAACATTTGCTGGTTGTTGTTCAATAGCCAGCTCATGTTACACTCCCTCCTCTGTAATTTCTTGAACAGCCTTGATATGATGTTCTTCTTCCTCCACAAGGTGTTCAACATCATGTGTTGGATGTTCTTCCTCCACCTGTTCTTCAAATGTCAGCACACGTTGCTCTTCTTCCTCCACAATTTCTTGAATAGCCATGAAATGATATTTTTCTTCCTCCACAAGGTGTTCAACATCATGTGTAGGATGTTTTTCCTCCACCTGTTCTTCAAATGTCAGCACATGTGTTGGATGTAACAATATAATCTTTTTTTAATTGAGGTTGTGCTTGACAGTGAATCTAAGATAATTTGAAGTTCGATTGTTATGTAATAATGTAATCTTTTTGTTTGGGATACTTTAATTTTTTTTTTTCTAAGTTGTATAAGAAATTGGGGCTTATCAAATCAAATCCAACTGTTTATTTATTTTCGGAAAAAAAAAGTGTTTATTTATTTATATTATTAGCCCATTTCAGCCCAACACATTTTGGTCCCCTTGGCCTGGCCTGACGAGGCTCGTTAAAGCCTAGCCCATGGCACGTGCTCGGGCTTTGATTTTGTAGAAAAAGTTCAGCCCAGCCCGACCCGTATATTTCCTTTAGTCTAGTAAATGGAATGAGCTCAGGCTTTGATTTTGGGAAAAAAGCCCAGCCCCGCTCGACCTGGCCCATATATTTCCTTTAGTCTAGTAAAGCCCAACCCGACCTAGCCTAAGTCCACTGGGCTCAACATCCCAATGATAAATAGGGCAACCCTTTTTAACTTTCCCCATTGGCCGCGGATTACTTCTCCTTCGTTCGAGTTCACAACAACATTTGCTGGTTGTTGTTCAATAGCCAACTCATGTTGCACTCTATCCTCCACAATTTCTTGAGTAACCATGACATGATGTTCTTATTCCTCCACAATTTCTTCAATAGCCATGACATGATGTTCTTCTTTCTCCACAAGGTGTTCAACATCATATGTTGGATGTTTTTCCTCCACTTGTTCTTCAAATGTTAGCAAATGTGTTGGATGTAACAATATAAGCTTTTTGTTGAGGTTGTCGTTGACAGTGAAATTGAGACAATTCGAAGTTCAATTGTTATATAATAACATAATCTTTTTGTTTGGGAGACTTTACTTTTTATTTTTGTAAGTTGTATAAGAAATTGGGCCATATAAAATCAAATCCTACTTTTATTTATTTTCGACAAAAAAACTGTTTATTTATTTATATTGTTAGCCCATTTCAACCCAGCCAATTTGGCCCACTTGGCCTAGCCCGTAAAAGCCTAGCCCATGGGGCGAGCTTGGGCTTTGATTTTGTAGAAAAAGCCTAGCCGGCTCGCCCGTATATTTCCTTTAGTTTGGTAAAGCCTTTCCTGACCTAGCCTAAGTTCACTGGACTTGGGCTGGGCAAGCCTAGCCCCGCCTATTGACATTCTCTACATTTAGGTAGGTAAAAATTGCAGAGTTTCCTACATATTTTTCTTTAACTAACTTTATTCTAGGCATTGATAGTTTTCAAAGGACTTAATTATAGATTTGTTTATGTTGTAGTGTTCTTGAGGCTCTCATTATCGTCATAGGGCTTTTCATCATTCAATGGGGCAAGCGCAAGGCTAGTGCATCTAAGGACGGCTACTGCACTTGGTATGACTTATAACACAATGATTTCAGTTATAATTGATGATCATATGAGATGTTGGATATGCTTTTTATTTATTTATCAACTTAATGCATGTTTTCAGTTCAATGGAAGGATTCATGGAAGGGTGGCTGCTCAAATTTAAAGTGAGAAGGTGGCGCTTGAATTGGTAGATTTCCGCAGCACTTGAGTAGGCCTAGATGACACTCAAACGTATGAAATTTAAACAACAAAGTCTGATGAAGAGAGCCTTGGAACTCTTGGCACTTTGTCCATAACTGTCCAAAACCTGTTTCTAGCTTAGACACTGCAACATTACACATTTAGATCCAAATGTGATAGAATGCAACTCTTTTTGTTTAGGTGACATTAATTTTTATTTTTGTAAAATGTATAAGAAATTGGGCCTAATCAAATCAAATCAAATCATACTATTTATTTATTTTCAACAACAAAAAAACTGTTTATTTATTTGTATTATTAGCCCATTTCAGCCCTGCCCTTTTGGCACACTTGGCTCGGCCCGACGAGGCCTATTAAAGCCTAGCTCATTCGGCTAGCTCAGGCTTTGATTTTGTAGAAAAACCCAGCCCGACCCAACCTGTACATTTTCTTTAGTCTAGTAAAGCTCGGCCCGACCTAGCCTAAGTCCACTGGGCTTGGGCCAAGCCAGCTTAGCTAGGCCCATTGACGATCCCTAATATAGATGCTGTGAGAAATAGAGGTGAGGCACCCGTCCTCTTGGTTGTCGTTTCCTAATGGGGTCACAAGAGAAAAGAAACCAGTAGATTCAAAATGAATTCAAAGTTTTCAAACTCGCATCATCGGCAAATGTAAAAGATGAATTTTTTCAAACAACGAAACTTACCATCAAAATGTTGTACAAAACATTGATGAGCTCTGAGAATTTCACCAGCAATAGCCTCAGATCCAATTCTCGGTCAGCCGATGAGATACTACATTTCGGCAGCTGATCTGCGAGGGCTACAACACTGTGAAGGTTGGGCCATTATACAGGCCGACAACCAAACCTCCAGTAGTCAAGGTATTAGTAAGATGTATGATTATAATAAGTTTTAAAAAAATACATTCAAGTGGTAATTTTGGATCATACAGTAAATCTAGGAGGCAACTAATGTCAAGGCTAGACCAATGGCAATGAGACAACTTGAGAAACTCACCGACGTGAATTTCAGTCCAGAAAATACAGCAATTTAACTCAAGACCGGCCTATTCAATTGAAATTGATTAAGTTATTCATATTTTCTATTATCCATATGAAATTACAACAATAAGCTTCATTTTTGTTTCGAAGTAGTTCCTTACTCAGTGCGCTCAATGCTATGATCTGAATGATAGGCCAACATGTCATTTTGGACCATGGTGTTCTGAAAGAAGAAAAACATTGTGTCAAATGAGAAAGAAAATAAACATTTAAAAGGTATGATCTTATCCACATTAACAAAAAATAAAAAAAAAAAAAAAAAAAAAAAAAAAAAAAAAAAAAAATACGAACACTGGTAATCAATGTAGCCACAAGTAACACAATGAAGGCTATTGTCTTTTTATAAAATAAAAACATGTTTATACCAAAATGAAGAGCCAGTAAGCATCGAACACGTGGACCAAACTGGAGCTATGGAAGCCTTCGGCACCTAGCTTCGGTACCGTTCCTACCGATCGCACGATTAGGGCAACTTCACCTCTAGGGACATGTGGCAGTCCCACAATTGGAGTCCACAGTCCCACATCGAAATTCTAAACAACTTGCACACATCCCAAGGCCTATAAAAGAGGACAACTATCCCAACTTGGAGGTAATCAATCAGAACTTACGGCATACTGCCTATTGATCTGTAGTTCAATCTTACTAAATCCGTACTTACTTAAGCATCGGAGGGCCTTCGGCCAGTACCACACTGGTGCCCTAGGTCTTACCGAGCATTTGTTATCTTGCAGATCGAACGCCCTACCGAGGCCCAGAGCATACCGAAGGCCCAACATCACTAAGTTGCGCGGGAAAGTGGCGAACCATTTTTCTGCGTCAACAAAACACATTAAACCTCGTTTCCTCCTTTAATTCCCTTTTTGTGAGGATAGAGTTGCTCCTAATCAGCATTTGGATCAACATCCAAAAGATAAATGGGACAACCCTTTTTATCTTTCCCTATTGGCCTTAGATTGCTTCTTCGTGCTAGTTCACAACAACATTTGCTAGTTGTTAGAGGTAAATATGAGTCCGTACTAGCATTTTTCTAGGAATTTTCCAGAGCTCATAGGTATTTTCAGTGAATTTTTGAAGTTCTTCGAAATAGTAATTTTAATTAAGTGGGACATGTGACGCGATCATTCCCATCCACGTAGGAATATGGAGCACATCGTACCGACTCACTGCGATGATGACAATGAGCTTTTATTTTATCTAAAAGCTTATGATTTTTCGACCAAAAAAAAAATGCTTATGATGTTAGACTTCTACTACTACTAGGGTTTAGCAATGGGCCATTTGCTGCCTCAACTACAAAATTTTATGTTGCACAATTTCGGGGCATAGAAGCTATTATTGGTCAGAATGGGCTCAGCTCGAGTCGAGTTGGGGTTCGTCCATAGGACACATTGTAACAAGTTACTTTTTGTCTAATTAGATTAGGAACCCAGTTACCCAAACATGAACACGGTTTGGATAAGGTGAGAACGCTTATGTGAGAACGTTATATGAGAACACCATTGGATCTAATCTAACGGCTTTGCGAAAAGCAATTGTAAGTGAAACAATTGTATACAATTGCACTAGAACAAGGTCCTCACCTCAACTTGTTCTCTCTCTTACGTCCAAAACTTTTCGCGAAATTTATCTTTTTTCAAGCGCCATTTTTTCCCGCATTGTCTCTTATCCTGCCCTTGAATGGAGATATTTTTGCCCCAAAATTATATTAAAATACTGAAAGCAATCAGCTTTACCCATACCCTTCCAGTGGACTTTTCAATCTCCATGAGCTACATCCCTCTTTGGTAGTGGACTTTTCAATCTCCATGAGCTACATCCATTTTGGGACTTTTAATGGGATCCTTACAAATCAATGGTGTTCATGGTGGATTTGGGTTAATTTGGGGCTTTAAGGGTTCAGATCTACACAGGACGTGGAAATAGTCTTTTCTACCTTAATCGCTTTTGGGTTATTATGCCACTGGTGCTTACCACAGTCTTGCTCTTGTTGGTGAGTTTTAGCTTGTAGTCAAATTTTGATGTTTTCACTAGTAATTGGGCTCTCAAAAAAGTGAAAATTCCATTATGAAATGGGCGTTTAGAATTGTTCAGATGATTGTTGTGAGTTTATTCAGTCTTTGATTCTTAGATGGTATGTTGGTGTTGCACAAATATAAAGATTTATTCTTGTGTTTGGAAATTTCAATGCTTTGGAAAATATTGTATTTGTTCAGAACCATAAACTATGACCTTGTTTTAAACGAAGATTTGTCCATTTTATTGTTGATTTTCTTGTTGAAGTAACTTTTCATGTTTTTGGTTCTCACATTGCAGAACTCTAATGTCAGTTGATAATTCATTTGGAAAGCTTCCTGATCATCTCCTAAATAGAAATTTTCATTCGAGTTCCAGTCTCAAAATGGGCACAAATATCCTGTGTCAAAAAACAGTGTGTTTCATGGAGAATGCTTGTGGCAAGCTGCTCTTGCTACAACATATCCTTTGGCTAACCAAGCTAAAAGGTGGCCTGGACCTATCCCTCAAGGAACATTTCTCCTTGCGATGGTCATTTCTTTTTTCTTGCTTTCTATCCATTTCTAACTTTCCAATTTCTCTTATCTCTTTTAATAATTACTTTCTTATGAGTTTTTTTGTTCTGTTGTTCTGGATTTCTAGTGAAGAATCTCCTTTCCCATCCTAAGCAGATAGCTGTGACTCTCCCCTAAGATCCACGTTATAATCTTGTTTCCAAATCAATGCAGAAAAAACTACTTAGACTTACAAGTGCAAGGATATCTTTTACAGCAGCTGCTGGTCTGATGCATGTGCTTCACTTCAAAATCCATGCATTATATTTTGCTAAGCTATTGACAATTTTATCAGGAGATTTGCAGCTTTATATGTTTGTTCTAACTTTACTTGTGTGATGGCAGATGATGGATCAGTTTGGTGCTGGGGTTACAACATATGTATCCTTCACTATAGGGTTATATATGTGCTTTCATTAATTCTCCACAATGAAAGAATTTAGTTATGGAAAGTGCATCCCTGGTTCTTTGTGTTTTCTCCTTGTTTATATTGTTTACATTCTTACCTGTTGAATGGATGGCCAACCTTGTGTAAATGGAGAAAATTTTCTGGTGCCCTGCTTGTTGGAATGGTTCCTTGAGGTGTGATCTGCAACGAAGAGTCAAGTGCCATTACAAGTATGGAAAGAATTGTTTCACTGCTGCATTAAATACTTAATGAAGATTAGAGCCTTATGTTTTGGTTTTGTTGTTGTTGCCAAAGCTGTCTACATAAGGTTTGTTCTATTAAAGCTGGAGGAAATCTTGGTGGCCTTTAGATGTGGGGTAATTCCCACTTAACCAATTCTACATTATATGTGAACCCACTATTGTTATATCATCTCTACAATTAATTTTAAAAAAGATAAACCCCAAAGATGTAGAAAGTGTCACAAGAAGTTTGTAGAATTTTTTTTTCTTTTTATGTATTTTTCTGCTATGTGAATTTTTATGATTTTTGGAAGTTAAATAATTCAAAATTAGTAATAAGTGGAAGAGAATGACAAGTGGCAGCACTTGAATGGTGCGTTGTTAGTGCTTCTGACAGGTGTCATTCTTGTGAGCGACATGTGTCATTAGAGTTTCAATTTTATGTGTTAACCTTAAAAATTTCCCAAATTTTTTATAAAAGGTTATAAAAATACACGGAGAATTTCTACAAACTCACTGCAACATTATCTTCAACTAGGGATTGTGAAAATCTAAATTTGAAGTAATAATTAGAGGAAGTGTAATGATCTTCAACTTAGTGTATCATGTTTGTTGCATATTTCAGGCTATCTATGAGGATAATGTAGGGGTGGGCATTATTACCGAAAACCCGACCGAACCGACCGAACCAGACCGCTTAAGGTGGTTTGGTTCGGTTTTTAGACTGAAAAATTGATGAACCGGTAAAAAAACCGGCCGAACCGGACCTGAACCGGGTTGGACCGGTTTTAATTGTCAGCAAACCGCCCAAAACCGGACCGAACCGGATATTTTAATTATATTATTAAAAATAAAAAATAATACACGTGTGAAATGATGACTCGTCGAGTGTAAGCCATTTCCTACTCTCCGCTACACACGATCGAGCGAAACCCTAATACATTTCAAGGGCTTCGATTTGTTTTTTCCATTCCGCCTCTTTCTTCTATTTCTCCTCTCAGACTCTCTGCCTCTCTCAAGAACTCTCGCCTCTTCGCTTCCTCCTCTCAAACATTTCTCACCAGATCTCTCTCAGTCACTCTCTCTCTCTCAACCGCTCGCTCTCTCTCTCTCTCTCTCTCTCTCTCTCTCTCTCTCTCAGCCGCTCTCTCTCAATCACGCACGCTCTCTCTCAGTCACTCATTCTCGTCTCCCTCAGCCAGTTTCTCCCTCTCTCATTCATTCTCAATCTCCCTCTCACGATTTTTTTATTTATGTTTCAGGTAGTAATATATGGAAACGGTGCAGATCAGAAGCTTTAAGATCTGCGGAAGTTTCAAGGTCATCTTGTTCAAGAGATCAGATCTTCTCAACTGGGATTCTTGTGATTTAGCACTGTCAGGTTTTCGGTTGTTTTTTCTTGTTGCTGTTTGATTTTGGCTGTTGTCATTTATGCTCTTTATAAATTCATGGGTCTTTCATGATTTTTAGATTTCTGCATGTTTGTCTTTTGGTTTTGATGTTTTATGCTTATTTGACTTTGATAATTCCCAGGCTCATGTATGTGTACTAGTTTCGATGATAGAGCATAATATAGGTTTCGATCTGTGTGGCAGATCTGTTTCTTTTTTCTGTGTAGTGCAGACACTCACTGATATATTGTGCAACCAGCTTGAAAAAGATGAGCTTAAACTGAACTCAAAGGTTTTGTCACTATCTTACAGACAGGGTGGGGGTCTTTTCCCCAAGGCAATTCAATTTCACCATATCCTATGATTGAGGATACAAGTGAACTTTAAAATTTTCATTTATAGATGTTGGACTCTTAAGTGCTCTTTTTATAGGTGGATTTTAAAGTAATCTTTTTGGTCAAATATGATGTGGGTTCTCTTTGATTTATTTAGTGGTTTGCTTGATCTTTGTTTGTTCGGCAGCTCATGAAGAAACATGGTGCTAAGCATGGAGATTACTATTGAAGATTTGAATGCTTCTCAATCAAGACTAATTTTTGTGAATTACTTGTTTTGATTTGGATTTTCTTTTAACTTCGAAAATATGCAGATTGTGATTGAGATTACTCTCACAATCTGCTATGGACTGTAAATAATGATTTCTGTGATTGAGATCATCCACCAAATATGCAAATTGTGATTGAGATTACTCTCACAATTTGCTATGGACTGTAATTATTAATTTCTGTATTTTGAGATGTGTGGTGTATGATTTGCTATGGTTTTAAGGTTTTTTTTAAGTATTTGAATGATGAAAAAACTTTAGATATGCAGAGTTGGAGAAACTGGAAAAACTGTACAGTTTCTGTCAAAACTTGAATTGTTGAAATATGTCCAAAAAAACAGAATGGGCCTGGAAAATAATAATAAAAAAAGCCTTCAATTGTTGCTTTTGTTGAGCCTCGGCAAATACCCGAACCGAACCAACCCGGCCCGCCTAACTCGGGTTTCGACTTAACTCGAAAATGGGCCTAAAAGAGAGGTCCACGGTTAAGCATTGGGGCCTGCCGACAAGGCCCGGTTCGGCGTGCGGTTTGGGCCCATAACCGGCCCGAACCGACCCGTGAACAGCCCTAGGATAATGGGTCATTTATGTATCATCATGCACCCTACGGCACATATGCAACATCTTTGTTGAATTTACTTTTGAATATCAGCTTTGTTCTTTATATGTATTTTTTAATGCCCCTTCCAATTTGGTTTAAAATTCAGGACCTTGATAAACCACCTCTTATGTGAGAAACTTTTTTCTATCCTGGCATCATTGTGTATCATGCTTGTTGCATAGTTCAGGCTGTCTATGGGGATAATGGGTCATTTATGTATCATCATGGATATGGTTATGCACCCTACGACACATATGCCACATCTCTGTTAAATTTACTTTTGAATGTCAATGTCCCTTCCAATTTTGTTTAAAATTTAGGACCTTGAGAAATCACCTCTTACATGGGAAACTTTTTTCTATCCTGACATCATTGTGTATCATGTTTGTTGCATATTTCAGGCTGTCTATGGGGATAATGGGTCTTTTATGTATCATTTCAAGCTGTATATGGGGTAACTTTACTTCATCTTTCTTTTCTTTTCTTTTTTTCATGTTCCTCACTCCTTTGCCTCCCCTTTTATTCAAAACAAGGGCAACCATTATCCCATTTCCACCTCTCACAACTAGAGCTAAGCTAAAGCACAAGGGAATTTTGCAAGGAGATATATTTAATATGTGCAGCATATTTTAATTTCAGCTATTTAATTTGGGAATTTTAGGAGCTTAGTTTGATTTGTATTGTGTTTATTTAATTTGTGCAGCCTTCATTTAAAGCTTTGGTTGCCTTTGCGATTGGATGAGGATTGATTTCATGATTGCTGTGAAAGTAATCAAATATAGAAAAGAAAAAAAAAATTGCTTAAAACACGTTTGGTACTTCTACATTTTTTGTTGAGTATTCCTCTAAATGTTAAATTGTGACTTTTTTTTTGGGTTTAATATTGGAATTTTAGCAGCTTGGTTTTATTTTTATTATGTTAATTTAATTTGTGCAGGCCCTTGTTTAAAGCTTTGGTTCCCTAGACAATTCAAATATGGAGAGTCGTTCCCAGGAACTTATAGTAATTTTACCTATATTTTTATAATAATAGAGAAATGACACAAGTCATAATTGCAATGCTGCATCATTACTTGTTTGCCATCAAAATATCTTTCGTAAACGCTTCAAAAGTCTTCATTAGTACTTTTATGAATGTTTTAAGATGAACTCAAAAGATGTGGAAAGTGTCACATTGAGTTTGTAGAAATTTTTGGTGTGTATTTTTATGTTAATTAATGAATTATTATGATTTTTGGAAGAGTGCATCATCAGTGCTTCTGACAAACGTCATTTCGCGTAGCGCCATGTGTCATCAGAGTTTTATTTTGTGTCTGTTTATCTTTAAAATTCAAAAAATACATCCTTAATTTCAACAAATTTCATGCGACATTATCTTCGACTATGATGCGTGAAAATCAAAATTTGACTTTGAAAAACTTGAATTAATAATTGGAAGAAAAGTTTTAGTGAGGAAGAGGAATGATCTTAAACTTGGTGTGTAGTTAGTATAGGAACAAACTTGAGTTTGAGAACTTATTTGAATTTTTCTTTATATCATAATAAATCTGAAAAATTCACTATAAAAAAACCCCGAAATCATTGTGACATTTCTAACATCTTTTAAGACTTACAATATAATTTTGACTAAAAGAAAAATTCAAATAATTTCACAAAGTCAAGTTTATTTCCATACTAACAATAATACTAAATTGAAGATCACTAGTCTTCATCACTACAACTCTTCCTCCAATTATTACTTCAAATTTTTCAAAGTCAAATTTTGATTTTCGAATATCATAGTTAAAGATAATGTCGCAACGAATATGTAGAAATTTTCGGTGTATTTTTCTGATTTTTTAATGATTTTTTGTGAATTATTTAAGATAAACTCACAAAAATGAAACGTTAATGCCACTTGGCGCTATGAGATACTGACACCCGTTGGAAAAGCTAACGACGCACCCATCAAGTGCCGCCATGTGTCATTTTCTTCCATTTATTACTATTTTCCAATATTTTGACTTCCAAAAATTATAATAAATTTGAAAAATTCACCAAAAAATACCCTGGACTCCTTTCGACATTTCCAACATCTTTTGAGACTTAAAATATAATTTTGACTAAGAGAAAAATTCAAATAATTTCACAAAGTCAAGTTTGCTTCCATACTAACAATAACACTAAGTTGAAGATCACTAGTTTTCATCACTACAACTCTTCCTCAAATTAATACTTCAAATTTTTTATTGCCAAATTTTGATTTTCAAGTATCATGGTTGAAGATAATGTCGCAAGGAATATGTAGCAATTTTCAGTGCATTTTTCTGATTTTTTTAATAATTTTTTGTGAATTTTTTAAGATAAACTCACAAAAATGAAACCTTAATGACATGTGGCACTATGAGATACTGACACCTGTTGGAAAAGCTGACGATGCACTCATCAGGCACTGCCATGTGTCATTCTCTTCTATTTATTACTATTTTCTAATATTTTGACTTCCAAAAATCATAATAAATCTGAAAAATTCACCAAAAAATACAACGGACTCCTTGCGACATTTCCAACATTTTTTAAGACTTTAAATATACTTTTGACTAAGAGAAAAATTCAAATAATTTTACAAAGTCAAGTTTGCTTCCATTCTAACAATAACACTAAGTTGAAGATCACAAGTCTACGTCATTGCAACTCTTCCTCCAATTAATAATTCAAATTTTTTAATGTCAAATTTTGATGTTCGAGTATCATAGTCGAAGATAATGTCGCAAGGAATATGTTGAAATTTTTGGTGTATTTTTCTGATTTTTTAATGATTTTTTGTGAATTTTTTAATATAAACTCACAAAAATGAAACATTAATGACACATGGCGCTATGAGATACTGACACCCGTTGGAAAAGCTGACGACGCACCCATCAGGCGCTGCCATGTGTCATTTTCTTCCATTTATTACTATTTTCCAATATTTTGACTTCCAAAAATCATAATAAATTAATAAGAAATCTGAAAAATTCACCAAAAAAAACCCCGGACTCCTTGTGACATTTCCAACATCTTCTGAGATTTAGAATATAATTTTGACTAAGAGAAAAATTCAAATAATTTCACAAATTCAAGTTTGCTTCCATACTAACAATAACACTAAGTTGAAGATCACTAGTCTTCGGGCCAATTTGGCATTGCTGTGCTGTGAAAATAATCGATGTCAGATTTGCTGTGAGAGAAATCAGCTGTGAGAGAAAGCAGTTTGGCGTTTGGTAAAATTTTTGTTAAAAGTGTTGTTGGTATTGATTTTACGCACAATCAGAAAATGATTGCTGCATAATCATTAAACCCAACATCTCTTCGAAACTAATTCTTGCATAATCAGAAAATGAAAGCACCTCATTAGCTGCTTTCCCTTATAGCTTTATCTCACAGCAATTTTTAACAATAAGTGATTTTTTCGTAGTTTACCAAACGGGTCGGGCTTCTCAAAATTTTTTAAAAATCACTTATCACCCCAAATAAGCAATGTCAAACTGGCACTTCATCACTACAACTCTTCCTCCAATTAATACTTCATATTTTTTTTATCAAATTTTGATTTTCAAGTATCATAGTCAAAGATAATGTCGCAAGGAATATGTAGAAATTTTCAGTGTATTTTTCTGATTTTTTAATGATTTTTCGTGAATTTTTTAAGATAAACTCACAAAAATGAAACATTAATGACACGTGGCGCTATGAGATACTGACACTCGTTAGAAAAGCTGACGACGCACCCATCAGGCGCTGCCATGTGTCATTTTCTTCCATTTATTACTATTTTCCAATATTTTAACTTCCAAAAATCATAATAAATTCATAATAAATCTGAAAAATTCACCAAAAAATACCCGGACTCCTTGCGGCATTTCCAACATCTTCTGGGACTTAAAATATAATTTTGACTAAGAGAAAAATTCAAATAATTTCACAAAGTCAAGTTTGCTTCCATACTAACAATAACACTAAGTTGAAGATCATTAGTCTTCATCATTACAACTCTTCCTCTAATTAATACTTCAAATTTTTTAATGTCAAATTTTGATTTTTGAGTATCATAGTCGAAGATAATATCGCAAGGAATATGTTGAAATTTTCGATGTATTTTTCTGATTTTTTAAATGATTTTTTTGTGAATTTTTAATATAAACTCACAAAAATGAAACATTAATGACATGTGGCGCTATGAGATACTGACACCCGTTGGAAAAGCTGACGACGCACCCATCAGGCGCTGCCATGTGTCATTTTCTTCCATTTATTACTATTTTTCAATATTTTGACTTCCAAAAATCATAATAAATTCATAATAAATCTGAAAAATTCACCAAAAAATACCCGGACTCCTTGCGACATTTCCAACATCTTCTGAGACTTATAATATAATTTTGACTAAGAGAAAAATTCAAATAATTTCACAAAGTCAAGTTTGCTTCCATACTAACAATAACACTAAGTTGAAGATCATTAGTCTTCATCATTACAACTCTTCCTCTAATTAATACTTCAAATTTTTTAATGTCAAATTTTGATTTTCGAGTATCATAGTCGAAGATAATGTCGCAAGGAATATGTAGAAACTTTCGTGTATTTTTCTGCTTTTTTTAATGATTTTTTGTTAACTTTTTAAGATGAACTCACAAAAATGAAACATTAATGACATGTGGCACTATGAGATACTGACACCGATTGGAAAAGCTGACGATGCACCCATCAGGCGCTGCCATGTGTCATTTTCTTCCATTTATTACTATTTTCCAATATTTTGACTTCTAAAAATCATAATAAATCTAAAAAATTCACCAAAAAATATCCCGGACTCCTTGCGACATTTCTAACATCTTCTGGGACTTAAAATATAATTTTGACTAAGATAAAAATTCAAATAATTTCACAAAGTCAAGTTTGCTTTCATACTAACAATAACATTAAGTTGAAGATCACTAGTCTTCATCACTACAACTCTTTCGCAAATTCATACTTCAAATTTTTAATGTCAAAATTTGATTTTTGAGTATCATAGTCGAAGATAATGCCGCACGGAATTTGTAAAAAAATTTGGTGTATTTTTCTAATTTTTTAAAATGATTTTTTGTGAATTTCTTAAGATAAAGACACAAAAATAAAACATTAATGACATGTGGCGCTGTGAGATATTAACACCTGTTGGAAACTCTGATGATGCACCCATCAGGGGATGCCATGTGTCATTATCTTCCATTTATTTCTATTTTCCAATATTTTGACTTCCAAAAATTAGAATAAATTTGAAAAATTCACCAAAAAATACCCCGGACTCCTTGCGACATTTCCAACATCTTTTGTGACTTAAAATATAATTTTGACTTAAAAAAAAATTCAAATAATTTCTCAAACTCAAGTTTGTTCCTATAGCACCTATAACACTAAGTTGAAGATCATCACTCTTCCTCACTACAACTCTTCCTTCAATTATTAGTCCAAATTTTCAAAAGTCAAATTTTGATTTTCACGCATCATAGTTGATGATAATGTCTCAAGGAGTTTTTAAAAAATTTCAATGCATTTTTCAGATTTTTTATTAATGTTGTGTAATTTTTTTTGTAAGTCAAGCACACAAAAATGAAACTTTGATGGCACGTGGCACTACGAGATACTGACACCTGTCGGAAACTCATCATGTGCTACCATGTTTGATAATTACTATTTTTCGATGCTTTAACTTCCAAAAATCATAAAAAATTTGAAAAATTCATTAAAAAAATCCTAGGAACTCCTTACAGTAATTTTTTTTTTCATCTTTTAAGTTTTAAAATATAAATTTGACATATAAAAAGTTCGAATAATTTCTCAAGACACTATCACTAGTCATTTTCTCCCATTTATTGCATTTAATATGAATTTTTGAAGTTAAAGCGTAGAAAATATATAAATAAACCGAACATAATGACACATGACAACAAAAAAATCAGTAAGTTTTATTTTTGTATGTTTATCTTAAAAACTTCACAAAAAATTTATAAAAAATCAGAAAAATAAATGTGTCAGAGCAGTGTTTATAACACGTGTCATTGTCCAATTGCACCACGTATTTCTAGAATTACTCTAAGTGGAGAATAATATTTCACCAAATATATGGGTTAAAATATGTTCCATTAACATTTATACAGTCAATAGGTGTTTGCTAGAACTTCAGTAGGTGTACAATAAGGTTTCAGCAATAGGTTTGCAATGAGGTTTCAATAAGGGTACAAGAAAGTTCAACTGAGGTTTCACACCTATTTCACGTAATATGCACTAATGTTTCACTTAGTGTTCATCTGAACCTAACTTGAGCAATTATCGCCAATTAGAAGAGTCATCAAGCCTTTAATTACTCTACACTTCTTCACCGATCCTTCTGCAACCAAAGATTTGAAAAATAACAGAAATTGTCAACAACAAAAAAATTTATCCCTCTCCATTAAGGATTAATCACAAAAAAAGAAGAAGAAGAAGCATATATCAAATAAAAGCCATGAGCAAATGCTCCCACCAACACATTAGTAAACAAACGGTAACCGTACAACTGAGTTCTTACCTAGCGAGAGTCGAACTGCAAAATCAAATATCCACAGAGAAAATTGTTGAAGGGCACAAGACCTAGATGGGAAATATCGATAAAATCAATTAAGTAAAAAAAAGAGTTGAGAAAATTGCAAAACTTACTGAGCGGAAGAACATGGGCATATATAGGAGCAACCAAGAACTTAAATTGGGAGCCCGTGCTTCTCTTTCTAATAGCAGCCTTCCTTTCAACATATTCATGTACACAATTTGATATCAATTACTAATAAAGAGAATAAATTTCTATGAATTGAAAGGCAAGATCTATGTTGTGGGTTTGGCGGAACTTACTGATTTGAGGGATTGGACGATGAGGGCCAGGAGGCCATGGCGGAAAAATTTCTGAAGATGAGAGGAGTGATGCTTTGTACAGAAATGGAAGCAAGGAAATGGGTGTAGATGGAAAGATAGATGAGAAAAGAGGGATGTAGCTCATGGAGATTGAAAAGTCCACTGAAAGGGTATGGGTAAAGCTAATTGCTTTCAGTACTTTAATATAATTTTGGTGCAAAAATATCTCCATTCAAGGGCAGGATAAGAGACAATGCGGGAAAAAATGGCTCCTGAAAAAAGATAAATTTCGCGAAAAGTTTTGGACGTAAGAGAGAACAAGTTGAGGTGAGGGCCTTGTTCTAGTGCAATTGTATACAATTGTTTCACTTACAATTGCTTTTCGCGGAGCCGTTAGATTAGATCCAATGGTGTTCTCATATAACGTTCACACATAAGCGTTCTCACTAAATAACCGCCCAACATGAACATACTGATGGTGTGAGCCAGACAGCGAAATACACTAGTGCAAGTTAATGCTTTTCATCATAGGAGGACACCTTTATTCAACCCATTGTCCTCAATATTGTGTCCCGTAGCCTTACTCTCAAACTCCATAGTAGTGGTCATATTATCGTTACATATCTCTTGATAATGCTTCCCCATTAAATAAACCACATTTAAAGGCAAATTGTAGGTGAACTCTCATAATAAATGGCTTTTCATTCACCCAAGTAAATTAAATAGTTAAAAATTATTTACCAAAATAAAATAATTATTAGTCCAATCCAAACAAACAATGGCACTCATAATTGCAAGAATTAATGATAAAGCTTACCCATCATAGCACACTGGGACAAGGTTTTTTTGGAGATCCAAAGTCTTCCTGCAGCTAACCTCTGCAACACCTTCCATCCTTGGCAAATCTTTCTCCTCCTTTCCTGCTTTGTTCTTTACACGAGCTTGTAGAGGAAAAATAGATAAAGGTGCTAGTCTAAAGGGTGCTACACTTCCAGCGGCTCATGTATCAATAAGAACACGCTCCTTGGAGCCTGGTATGGTTTCAATGGGCTAGTCTGATTTTGGTTTATTTTTAACAACGGTGTTTGGGATTTATTCTCTAGCATGCTTACCCAGGTGATTGGGCTCAAGAAATGGGCCTGGATTTTGGTGCTCCTAAGCAGCCCAAAACCTCCATTCCTTGAACCATCACTTGGCCTTATGGACACTCAAAATAAAGATTTTTCGCCTAGCGTTGCCTGTTATTTGGTGTGTTTGTGGTTGGGCTTCACCGTATTGCAATGGGCTATGACCGAACTAAATGGTGCTTAACGGGACAGTGGGTGTAGGTTCACAAAATCAATACATCTTTACGGGCTTATTGCAACCTCCCTACGTGCCAGGTTGCGTATTTGCTTGGCGTGGCACGTGGACCGTAGCTTATGTAAGCACATACGAGTCATAACAAATCCTCGCATACCCCAGTCGGGTTTCTTTTTCGGTGAAGTGTTGCATTGGACTTGAAATACTTTGGGCATTCCTTCGGATTTTTTGGGCCTCAACAAGTGTATCTACAAATGCCATACATTATTTTCACTATACAAATACCTAATTTACGTCGTATTTATTGCCATCCTATTTTTTAAAGTTGCATTCAAAGTTTTCTTGAAGTACCTTTTCGTCATTTTTTTTTCACTGATACAAAATAATAATAAAAATTTCAAAAATTTCAAAAAAATTATATCAATAATATTAAGCTACTAATATTATTGTTGATATAAATATGAATGTAAAAATTTTCAATAAAAAAAAGTACATTATTTCTAGTAAGTTTTATTTGTTGTTGTTATTCAAAAACCTATTTTACCATGACATATTATACAAAAACTCATATAGAGCCTATTTGGAGAGTAAAACCCAAAATTAGCCATTTGTCATTTTTTAATTGGTACTTAGTGTGTTAAAATTTTATAAGAACCAATTAGAAAATAACAAGTGGCTAGTTTTGAGGTTTTCACTCCAAATAGTCACTATAAGAACTTTTGTATATTATATCATGCTAAAATGGATTTATTAGTGAAATCCTCGTATATAAATTAGAGTGCTGCTAAACGAACCTTAGAATTAACTAAGTATACCATATGATTTAAGTACACCCTAATATTTTAATCAAAATGTAAAATTAACTAAGTACACCGTATTTAACTACCAAAAATACCCCTGATACACCCTAATACACTATAGCACACAACACCCTAATACCAATCATAAACCAAGTTTCTCTTTTTACAAGAATTCGTGCCCTCTTTTCAGATTTTGGGTTCGCATCAAAATCTTTAATTTCGCAAGCTTTTGTGGGAGTAGATTTGCTAGCACCTTCAATTCAAAGCTTGATTCTTGTAAATCCTTGTGATTTTCTTCGAAATATATGGAGGGGACTCAAACATCTCTGTCAAATTACTAGTGAAATGCATCATCACCAATCTGAAATCCTTGTGAATTTTGTATGCTTCCAAGTTAATTAGAAGAAAAGTTTAAACCCTGGGATTTTAAAGTCATCCACTTCAACTTTATTCTATGGATGACATTGAGCTAAGAAGTCAAACTGGAACAAACTTTTTCATTCAAATATGGCTGCCCATGTTTTGCATTAGGAAGAATCAAGTTCATGGAAAAACGCCGACACTTGTCTTTCGCCGTGTTTGTAAGGAAGCTCTAAGCCTTTGAAGCATCAAAGACCCTTAAAATTATACGAAGACTTCTCTACGTTTGATTAGGGTTGAATACGAAGACTTCTCCATGTAACTTGATTAGCGTTATTGTAACAACCCGGTCCTTAATTAATATTTAATTATTAATTTTTTTTAGTAAAAGACCATTATACCCCTAGAATATTTTATTAGTTTAAAAGTTGACTTTTTGACCAGGAAGGAACTTTGAGATTTCAGTTATACCGTTGCTCAGAGCGCAGAGAGATGAGTCCGTAGACACGTAGTGGACTCAAATCGGAGTTATAACGAAGGAGTTACGATCAAAAGAAGTTGAGTGGCATAACCGTAAATATTTTGAAGTTCAGATTTTATAAACCTAGAATTTCTGGGGGGGGGGGGGGGGGGGGGGGGGGGGGGGGGGGGAAGCAGGCCGACTTCTGGAGGTGTTTTCTTTCAACTCCGACCCCCAATTCGAGCAAGACCAGTTTCATAGAACCACCACACTTCCCTCTTCCATCCCCAGCCTTTTGCTTCCCCGATCCGCCTCCGTGGTAGCCGGAAACAGCCAATAAACAGGTGGTGTTCGACAGTTTTTTTCATAAACTTTCGCCGGCTTGTTCTCCGTCATCCGGCCACCATTTCCGGTGATCCAGGTATGGAAACTCATCTATTTCTCAAGACCTAGCTGCTGGTTGGGTAGGATTTCAGAAATTTCTAGCGTAGATAACTCGATCTTGGATCCAAAGTTTAGCCGAATTTCGGGTTGAGATTCCGGCCACTTCCGGCCAGTTTTTTGGGTAGGTCCAAGAACAAAAGTGGCTCCAAATAGGGTGTTATACCTAGGGTAGGAGTCTTGAGCCGTGGTTTAGAGTTTTTCCGGCGGAGTGTTATTGCTTTAGGCACCACGCGCTACCGGCGCGTGTGGCGGCGCGTGGACAGCAGGGTGGGGACCAGAGTCATCCCTAGAATAATCTCCTAGTCCCCACGAGCGCATAGGATTTCGCGGATCTTAATTCGGATAACGTTTGAACCCCGAACGGATCTCGCCTAGTGTGTGATTTCCGGGTTCAATACGTTTGAACCGTTGGATCGTAACCATTTTCAGATATGTTAATCTAAGTATTTCCAGGATCGTATAGTAGTTGAGAGATCGTAAAACAGAGTCTCGGTTACTCCAGAAATGTCAGCCCTAGAGTGAGGTTTACAATAAAACAAACTAGTTACAGGTCAGGAACAGAGGAAAGAACTACGTGTGGCTTGATCCCTTAGAAAGGATACGTAGGCAGCCTACAGTTATCAGGAGCAGCCACGAGTTAGGGGCTCAGGGTTTATGTTACTATTTTTCAGGGTATTTTGGTCTTTTACGACCCACGGTTACCAGGTGTCATTTTTAAACAGGATTCAGCCCGTATTTCAAAGTGGAATTTGGGTCGGGTCGTTTCAGTTATATTTGTTTCACAATTCCATATATCCTTTTTGGCATATGCTTTTACCATATGAAGGGGAACATGAAACGCACTTTCAAATTGAAAAAACGTGATAAATTATTGCGATACTTTGAACAAGCTGCGAAATCTTATGGTATTGCTGAATTTGATCATCATTTTCGCAAGATTAAGGGAAATGATGAGGTTGCTCAATATCTTGAAAGTGTAGGATTACACAAATGGTCTAGAGCTCACATGGATGGACGTCGATACAATGTAATGACAACAAATATTGCAGAGTCAATCAACTCAGTCCTTTGGTTCGCAAGAATGGTACCAGTGGTGCATTTGATTGATGAAATCATCAATCTGCTTGTGAAATGGTTTAGTAAACGTCATGATTTTGCTTTGAAATGTACATCAACATTGTGCCCTGACTTTGGCGAGAAGAAGTTGAGATGCAGGTTGGAATGTGCTTCAAGGATGAATGTCTTGAAACTAAATCATGTAGAGTATAATGTCGTGGACGGTGATATGGACGGCCATGTACATTTGACGAATAACACTTGCAGTTGTAGGAAGTTTCAACTTGAGCAACTACCTTGCAAGCATGTAGTTGCAGTTTTTCGTTTCTTGAAACTAAATGTATACTCCATGGCTTCTAGTTATTGCACTCGAAATACATGGTTAGATACTTATTCAGATACCATCTACCCGGTACATTCCTGAAGATGTCCAAAGTAGAGTTGTGAGTCCTCCCAATGCAAAGGTCATGCCAGGTTGATAAAAGAAGCTAAGGATTCCCTCGCAAGGAGATGATATCATCAGGAGAAAAGGCTCAAGGTGCAATGGCACATGCCACAATAAAAGCACCTGTAAAAACAATGTTCTACTACCTAATCTTGGACATACATTATGAATTGTGTTGGTTTGTTATGGAGTGTGAATTTGAATTGTATTTGTACTAGGTTTGGTGTTCTGTAGATTGTGAATTCTGTTAAATTTTCTTAATTTGGTATGTATTTGCGTATTCTATGTGCTACATTGTTGTTAAAATATGTCATTTTTGGGCCTATATTGTGTATTCAAATTTTCTGATTCAGTGGGTCGAATTGAGGGTGGGTATGTCATTCGCATCCCCATCCCCACCTTCAATACCACAAACAACTTGACAAAAAAAAAAAAAAAAAAAAAAAAAAAAAAAAAGATAAGGGGCAATACACTAGCAATATACAAGCAATAAAGGGCTATACAATAGCAATACACATACTCCTATAAATTTATTCCAACACAGACTTGAAAAAAGAAGATATACAGGGGCAATACAGTAGCAATACACAAGCAATAAAAGGCTATACAATGGCAATACACAAACTCCATGCTCCCCCTATAAATTTATTCCAACACTGACTTGAAGAAAAAAAGATATATGGGGCCAATACACTAGCTACATACGAGTAATAAAGGGCTATACAATAGCAATACACACACTCCCATAAATTTATTCCAACACAAACTTAAAAAAAAAGATATACGAGGGCAATACAGTAGCAATACACAAGCAATAAAAGGCTATACACAAACTCCATACTCCCCCTATAAATTTATTCCAACACAAACTTGAAGAAAAAAAAGATATACGAGGGCAATACAGTAGCAATACACAAGCAATAAAAGGCTATACAATGGCAATACACAAGCAATAAAGGGATATACATGTGCAATACATATGCAATACATATCTGTCATGGCATTTGCCAATTAAATCACTGATTTGGTTACATTTGTATTTTTTTCTTCTTTGCAAGGGGAACGATAAAACCATGGAAACTAGAGATTGACAAATTTCCTTCTAACTTGACTTTCATAAATTGATGAACTAACAATGTTATCTCATTACATCTTAAGATATACATAAGAAAGTGGCAAAAAATAAAAAATTTACATCTCCTCTTGGTCGGGAATTTTAACACATTAGCAAAATTCGATGACATCTCCTCTTAGAACCGAATTTAAGTTGAAAGTTAGCAATTTCCTCCCCAAGAGAACGCTGCCACTTGAAACAAGACAATCTTCCATCTGTATGAAACGAATCAAAAATGCATATTAGAAGCAAATCATTCAATCACAATGGAAACAAAAACATAACATTCAATCACAACTGAAACCAATTTCAAAATAGAAACCAATTCCAAAATTCATAACATAAACCAATACCAAAATAAGCTCAGACATATTTACATGCACTACAAGTATCATACACATACATTTACATGCACTACAACAAATAGAGTGGATAAATGTAAAACTGCAGTATGATATACATTTTTTAATAGAAGAAAGAAAAAAAATTATGATATACATCATTTAAGAGCTGAGCTTGAAGTTTGTTGAGTTATATATACCTCTGAGAAATCTATATGTGATTTCTCCAATGAAGGACGACCTTCAAGAACCCTATCTTCATACAGATTGTTGGCCTTTTTAAATTACTCAATTCTTCATATAGCAAACTTTCACAAGATAGTACCATTGCAAAATTGAAGTTCACATTCATGCACACGATTTCGTACTACTCAATTACAATATAAAAGTTGTTATAAACATGGGTGAAGTGAATGTGTGTCTTGGCAGGCGAATAAAAATACAAATTAGGAAATCATCAATAGTGCATTTGGCATTGTTCAAACAGTTAAAGAAGCACAATCTCATAGAAGAAGAAGAAGAGCAAGACAATGGAACTAGATAAATGCAAGAGTTGTCAAACCTTCAAGTTTTCCAAGAACCCTTTTCACGGCACCAACACAATCTTGGCATGATACCAACCTTGAGGACTATAGACTGCACAAAAACATATCCAAGATTGAATTATGAAAAATAGAGAAAACCAAGATCCAACATATGCCAACTTTACAATATCAAACTTTTGTTAAAATATTGGCATTCTCATAAAACTTATAAACTCCACAGTCACTTTTGGAGATATCATCCACCTCAAGACATAATCAATTTATGTAGTTCATTCAAAAAATCACATCCCAAAACAGAACAAACAAATTTAGATCATTGAACCAAATAATTGTGTTTCTTCAATTGTTTTTTGTCAGAATAAAAATCTAACTCAGTAATTAAATTCAATAAGCAAAAGAAAATCTTCAAAATCATTGTAGATTGAACAAGCTTCAAGCATAATATTCCATAAGACAAACTGAGAAATATTTGTTGCACAATCTCAAAATTTTGGTTCAAAAAGTTCTTGTATAATCCCACTGAAATAACATTATCTACACAAGCTGAAAATATTAATTGTAAACAAAGAGAGTAAAATTTTAAATTAAACCCACAATTATGTTTCAACAAATTTATGTACAATCTCACCCAAATTTGACTTGGAGGGACTTGAACTCACATCAAGCACCAAAAATCCAAACCCATATATGAAATTGAAACAAGGAGAAGAAAACCCAAATGTGTAGGAGAAAAGCCAAGTTGTCTACCTGAGATGCCATCTCTAGACATGGAGGTCGAAAGAGGTGACAGAGAGTGAGAGATGGAGGTGGAAAGGTCGTCGTCGTCGTCGCCGATGTGGGTTAGGTTTATGAGGAGGTGACAGTGACTGTCGTCGATGTGGGTGTGAGCAAGAAAGAGAGAAGAGAGGAGAGGAGGGCTGAGTGAGTGAGATCGAGAAATTGTGAAAGAGGATTTAAGAGAGCTCAGAATGACTAAACAAAAGTGAAAGATGGGCAATAGGTTGTCGATAAGGAGTTTTTATAAGGGGCATTTGTGATTGGGTTTCAAAATAAGGATATTAGCGAATAAATTAGGTGAGCCAGGGGTAAAGCCGCCAATTTCCCAAAAAGAAAATCTTAGGCTCAACTAGTGAAAAATGTAAATTTCTGGAAATTAACCTCAATTGTTTAGAGGTGCCTATTTTAATTTACTGCAAGTGTTAGCAAAAATATTTGGAAAGATTATTTGGAGAAATTGGGGTGAGAAAACAAACAGTAGAGGTAAACACAAGTCCATACCTAGCATTTTTCTAGGAATTTTTGACAGCCTGTAAGTAGTTTAAGTGAATTTTTTTTAAGTTCTTGAAAATAGAAATTTTATTTAAATGGGACACGTGGAACGATCAGAGCCATCCACATAGGAATACGAAGCAGATCGTACAAACTCAATCCACTACCACAGAGCTTTTATTTTATCCAAAAACTTATGTTGTTTGACTTCTTCCAATGTTTAGCAATGAGGCCATTGCTCGCATCAACTCCAAAATTTTAGAGTCATGTTGTGCAATTTTGTGGCATCGAAGCTACTATTGGTCGGAATGGGCTTGGCCCGAGCTAAGTTGGTGTTTGCCCGTATGACACATTATAACAAGTTACTTTTTGTCTAACTAGGAGCCAAGTTACCCGAACATGAACATAATAGCGATGTGAACGCTTTCCATCATAGGAGGACACCTTCATTCAACCCATTGCCCTCAATATTATGTCCCATAGCCTTGATTTCAAACTTCATAGTAGTTTTCATATTATCATTACATATCTTTTGATAATGTTTCTCCATTAAATAAACCACATTTTAAGAAAATAATAGGTGAACTCTCATCATTAGGGGTGTACGTTGATTTGAAACCAATAAAATTTGAGTAATGCTACACTTACCACATTTATATCCCACATTTTTATACCACCTTATGTGGCAGATGAAGTGGACAATCACATCAATTAAAAAGTGTCGATAAATCATAAAAGATAAGAAAACGTTAAATTAATTTTAATTGATGTGTTTTCCATCTTATCTGCCACATAAGGTGGTATGAGAATGTGGTATACAAATGTGGTAAGAGTAGCATTATTCATAAAATTTAGTCAATCCACATCTGATCCAATATAGATTGGATTGTGATTTTTTCAGTCCGATCCAATCATATTAAATGTTTAAATCCAATCCGATCCAAAATATTACTTGGATTGGATTGGATTGGGATGAACGGTTTTTATCATGAAAAAAGACTAATGAAATATTAAAAATTTATCCTTAGATTTAATATAACCAAACATATTAATATATGTAAATGAAAAATAAAAATGTAATACTAGAGAAAATTGTTTTGATTATATAATACATTAAACATAACTCATTAAAGGACTTAAAGTATTCATAACCTTTTCAACTACAAATATCTATAAGAGCAAAATAAGCACAAAACTAACTAGATTGGATTAGATTCTCATGAGCAAATCCGTCATCTGATCCAATTATGTCAATTTTGAAAATTACAAATCTAATCTAATCCGTCAAATCATAGAAACTAATTGAAATTGGATAAAATTGGATTGAATCAGTCAGTTTGGGTGGATTGAATTGGATCTTGCGCACACCTACTCTTCATAAATGGCTTTTCGTTCATCCCAAGTAAATTAAATAGTTAAAAATTATTTACCAAAATAAAATAATTGATAGTCAACCAAATACACCACCTAAAGGTTGAGGCAAGTATAGGTACATATTAACATTAGGTTTTACATTTGTATAATACAAGGTGTTTGAGTAAATTTCCGCAAGGGGAATATTTGCGGACTAATTCTTCACCCTTTGGGCTTCCTCCTCTCTCCTCTCCCTTGATTCCGGCAAAAAAGACTGGAGTAAATAGACTACACGCGGAAGTGTTAGCCAAAGGCCCTATGATACCTAAATCAGTTAGATGGTCTTGAGAAAGATATGAAAATAATAGAGAATGTAAGAGTTTTCTCTGATGGGAGCCGTGTGAGGAAGAGAGAGATGGCGTGAGGGAGAGAGGGTAGGTAACTAGTACAAAAACCGGTTTACTTGCCTTCTTTCCGTCTCAACCTCCACTAGCTATAAATGATTATCATAACCATTGATCTTCAATTTTATGGTCTATTTATGCATGAAAATTGCTGTATTTTCATCAATTTTTTTTACCATAGTCTGAATTACTAGTAGTTCCTTCGCATCATAATTAACTTCCAATTAATCATCCTTCTCTACTGGCCATCAATTCCATCCACACCCATTGTCGGATTCTTTCCAGTCAGCACCTCCAACACAGCCAAATAAATGATATAATATATATATATATATATATATGCATAGAAAACAACCAGAGTAACCCATCTTCGGTTCTCGTAAGAGCAATTTTGTATTTGAAGCAAATTATAATTTAAAATTTAAAATAAATAATACTATAAAGTATTTGAAGCTTGTGCAACGATCATAGCATTACAAGAACAACAGAAAACATAAGGAGCTGCTATAAAACAAATGAAATCAGCGGTAAACAAATGCTACTTACAAATAACATACTTTTTTCTTCTTATTGCAGTAAGCATACTCAAAATGTGTTATACATAAATACATATTTTACAGAACGGCACCAACCTGGTCAAGAAATCAGTAGACTTTGCCATGAGAGTGAAATTGTGAATAATATACAATGATATATTCGAAGGGAAACTTTCATAGCACCTTAATAAACGCTGACGCTTTTCACACAACAAAGCAATCCCCAACTCAAGTATATAGTCTCAGGCGTGTTGATATGGGTTCTCGACACAAAGGGCATGAATGAAGACTCAGCCCACAATCCTTGCATGTCTTAACCAAGAAAAAGCACACGGTAAGTAAATATGGTAGCCATACATGTGAAGCAATTTCCACTTAAATAAATGAAAACTATACATCACTAAATTCCACGGAGTAAGGTGCTTGACAATAGGATTCATTTGGTAAATAGATGCCAAAAGCACAAAAGATCCTTCAGTTCTCCACTTTAACTCTATCAAAAGATTTAAGATGGCTTGGCAAAATAAGAAAAAAAAGGATCGACACCAAAAACTCGAGGACAACTTAAGCCATCATTTAATTCAAAATAATCTCTTCCCTCCTCACGAGGCCGAAACGCAGACATCACTCATTCAAAAGACAAAAATTTACTTTCATAGCTGCACTTACTGTATGACCACATCCGAAAGCCATATCCTTTGGATTTGTCAGGCAAATGGGACAGACCTTAAACATGAAACAAATTTTAAAACAATAAGTTCGCATGAACAAAATTTTTCATCTAGAAATAGTAGTAGAAACAAGGGAGAGGGGAGAAAGAAATACTGATTCCACAGGAGCTACAGGAGCTGTTGGCTCAACTTTCTGCACGTTTGTAATTTGTGGGATTGATTTAACTGCATTATCATGATTAATCACTTCACGTGGAGGTGGAAGTGGCCTTGTACGAGGACCACCTACTGGTTCATGACTGCATAAGTAGAAAAGAGTCAAATATTTGGAAATCCCTGAATCAAAACTATGCATTTCCTAGAAACTTCAAGTCCCGTCCTTACTTGACAAAATGAAGACTTTGGGTGGCTCTGTACTGATATGGAATTTCCATGAGGGCAGCAAGTGCAAAGGCGGCTTCCTTCTTTGATATATCTGTGTTCTCTGACATGATTTTGGTGAAGTTGACAAACTGTAGGAGGAAAACGTGTAAGAAGGTTTGCATCTGCTCTCCAATTGAAACCACTCAACCAATCTCATCTACTTGAAAATTAGTACTAAGAATGTTTGCAAGATATGCCATCAATATTCTCTATTTTCAATTCCATGAATATCCCCCAAACATACCCCAGCTATCTGAGTATGTATTTCAATCAGAATTACGGATACAGTCAGAAGGTTTACTTGGAGATGTATTTCAATGCAGTCATTTTGAGAGCAGTGAATGCATCACCTTGGGTTTCAGATACTACTGAGATACAATCAGAACTTTACTTCCGTAATTCTCTAATTCCTTATAGGACCCAAGCTGGAAATTTTTATTTTTATCTCCATAAAGACACAAGAAAAGAAAGGGATCATAGTAGAAGTAAAAACTTTAATTGTCAACTTCAACTCAGTCTTTAAGTCTTCAATTTTATGCAAGTAAATGACCAAAAAAACAATGGATATTCAGACGAAACCGAGAAAATAAATCCAAGGCAATTCAGTCTGGTACAAGCGCTTCTTGGATATATGAACCAAATACCTTATGACAAAAACAAAATCAAATATATCTGACTTGATATTTATTAATTTACCCCCACCATATCCTATGATTATTATCCTAGTTTTCAAGACTAGCCACATTGATATGTCCTTGTGTCACGGCTTACTTCATAGTTGTATACGAGCTTCACAGAGCAACACAAATAAAAACGCACGAAACTGATGTTTCATTAGTTGCAGACAGAATTCCTTTTAAATTATATCAACAAAATCAAAACATACACAGAAGGCACTGTAATGTCCAACATAGATAAAAACTAACCTATGATAAAATCCAATTTTGGTGTGGCACATCATTAAATACCTGGAAGTTGTCAAATGAGCGCTGAGGAATGTTATCGTCAAATTTCTGCATTGCATCCCATGGTCCATCTCCAACTCCAACCAAGATAATTGAGAGAGGATATTGACTGTTAAGGATTCTGATGGTCAGGACTCAGGACACTAGAACAAAAACAGACCTACTACTCAAGCTGCAGAATGCATTGCTTTACCTAGCAGCAACAATGGAATTTACAGTTGCTTGTTCTTGCTGACTGAATCTTCCAGGAGGAGTATCAGGGCTCCTGGTAACCTATGTGAAAATAGAAGCATTCCCAGACCATAAGAAGAATATAGAACAATAGGAAACAAAAAGAAACCTATGATAAAGAAGGAAAAAGAAATGCATAAGAACATGCTTCACCAACCTGTCCGTCTGCAATAATGACAAGAACGTGGTATTGCCCATTGCTTTTTTCAACAATGTCAATTGCCGCATCAATTATTGGGGCAAATGAGGTAGGACCTGTGAATAAGGAAACAAAGATTATCATATCAAATGTATGCACCATGTTGGACTAACAGAAATCAGGGTATATCTGAGCCTACAATGACAACAAGTTATAGCAATGGTTAAACAAACAATCATGATCACATATATGAACTTAAGCTGTTGCAAGAAGGATTTTTTAAAAAGCTAAACGACAACATAGACAGCATTATTTAACAAACTCAAAACTCAAATGACATGAAGAACTGAGAAACAGTGCAAGAGGCTAATATAATCAGTAAACTTACAAAATACCCACCTCATCTACTGCTGTTAAAAAATAGAGAAAAAAAAACCATGTGATTGACTGACTCGAAAAAAAAATGTCAATAAAGGAATAGAAATGAAGCCAAGGACGTCCTAGGTATGTACATATGCACTTCAGGCGGATGTGACTTGCAGAAGGAAGTTGCATAAACAAGAAGGAAATTTTTAAAGAACCTGACAACTTTTATAACGGAACCATTTCAATATTTAGGATGGAAAACATAAATATATCTTGTTTACAGATATGTGACCTTCATGACACTTGTAAAAGGCATAAAAGAAAAGAAATGTAGCCAAGGGCATCCTACATATGCAGGTAAGTATGCAAATCAGATGGAAGGGACTTTGCATAACCAAGAATGAAATTTTTGAAGAACCTGATAACTTTAATAACGGAACAATCTCCCTATATCGTGCAAGAGCTTCCTCGAAACCGTGACAATATCGGCCCTCAGGATAAAAACCGAACACCCATTGATCATGTGTTGATGCTACAAAAGAAGATATAATCAGAACAATTGTTGCTGAAAAATCACCAATTATTCGACCAAAAGTAAAGTCATCCGTAGACACTAACCATCGCCAAATCCAAAACAAGGTATTATATTATCTTCATCGAAAGGAGACAAAGTACGGCCAATTATAGAGATTGCTTGCTCGTAAGGATTAGGCGTGCTACCAACTGCATGAAGGCTTTTCCTATGGAATGAATATCTTCCTACAACCATTGAAATGCAAATTTTATCTCCATTTATAACTCATGTAGAAATGCTTATTGACAAAGGAAAATCACCTGTCCATTCATTGCTCTTTGTGAAGTCGATACCAAGTATTAAATTTGATGATTCAAGGCCAGCTTCTCTCAATGATGAAATAACCTGGCAATATAGTGATGGTTCTGGTTACAAGCATTCTCCATTCATGTCAGATAATGAAAATGCTTATTACCACATACACCTAAAACCCAGCAAGCTTATCAAAGGATAGAAAACATAAATAGATCTTGTCTACAGATATGTGACCTTCATGACACTTGTAAAAGGTGGTTGAAATGTATGGCCATACATCTTTTGTCAATTTAATAACATGTATATTTTTTTAGTTTTTGTATAAATGCCAATGTGATAAATGTTCTATCATTCTTCTTAATATAGTGAAAAGTACAAACTAAGCTTAGACTGGTTTGATAAAAGTGAAAAGTAACCACTGAATATTTCAAAACAGAAAATTTTGAAAAGACCTTATGGTGCTGAAAACTTAATTCGTTGACTGGGAAGTAGAATAATATAATTACTCAATATGAACATCTCAACATGGTTTGATGTCAAAATGAACAATGAATGAGAATCAGTCTTGAGTTGATTGCCTATATATTGCCATGCCATCTTTTAATGGTTTGTGCTGTTCAAGTACTCAACAGGGACTTAATGCATTAAACAAAGTTATGCTGATATGTAGCATGGAGAAAAAATAATTCTTTGTAGGCAAATCTTCTAATATATCAATAAATAACAAATTTAATTCCAGTGCTTAAAACCTGATCCAAAGAGTTAAAATTGTCGGCTATGTATGCGGATTGTTGCTTTGGTTGATGACTAGAATCCATTGAAGTCCCTGCATGGGAAGGTAGTTCATGAAGAGAATCATCATGAGAACCATCAGTATATGTAGATTCCCCATTCCCCATATTTGGGAGGTAAATGTTCCCTGTGTCAAAAAAGGAAACAGAAAAGGTAGAGTATGTGGAGAAAATTTAATACTTGACCGGTGTGCACACACACACGCATATTGTAAATTAGTGTTCTTAGAATTGACAAATTCTTTAACAAAAGATATTTTGTATGACTTATTTTCTTGTGTAGTTAAATGCAAGCAAAGCTGACCAGCTATTACTAACTGAATGGGTAGTTCTGGTTTATAGAACAATAGCTCAAAGTAAGAAAATTATGGCATTCAGATTTATAGAACAAGTTTTTCTAGACATCATCTCCATCCCAAATCCAACCTCAGTTATTTAAGCACACCTACTTATTTCAAGAGTTGAGAAATACTAAATGGTTATAGATTAATCATGAAAAAATTCTTAGTTTTTCTGAGAATAAATCAGAATCCAAGAAATACATGCTAGTTAATAAGAAAGGTTGGCAATTTCCTGATATGACATCAAACTCAAGACACCCAGAACTTTAAAAAGGCCCAATTCATCATCCACATACCTTATCAGCCAAATTAAAACTAGAAACCCAATATCCATCCAAGAGCAGAAAATAACTAAATATGAAACCAGAACTGTGTTTCAATCAATACAGACAACAACAAACAAGAAGATAAGGAAAGGGAGAAAGCAGAAACCTTTAATTGGTAGAGAGAGACTCAAGAGTTGGGATGAGATGAAATGAGATACAAACAAACAAAGGTCTTCTCTTCTGAGAGAGAGTCGTGTTAATTCATTTTTGTTGAGTTCGCTTTGCTGTGCCTGCCTAATTCATTTGGTGCTCGTGCTCCATTTGGTATTTTCTTATGATTTCTTTACACATGCGTGCACGCGTTGAAAAGTCATATTTATTTACTGGACGCACACAAGCACACCCCTAGGAAAATTCTACAGTAGGACTGGTGTATGGATGCGCCCACTGTTATAGACCATTGGATGAATAGTTGGTGATGTGGAGTTATCCACACCGTTGAGTTAATTACCGGTTAAATCAGTCAGACATTACAAGTCGAGTTAGGGTTTTGGGTTTCTATTTTCCCTCTCTCTTCGAGTTCGACTCTTTCCAAAGTCGGTCCTCTCCTCCTTCTGTGACGACGAGACAGCGCGACCAACACTCCTCTCAGGTATCTCTCTCTCTTCTCCATAATTGTTTCTCTCATCTCTATTTCTCATGGTCTCTCAATCTCCTTCCCAGGCTTCGTTTCAAAACCAAACCCATACCAAAAATCTCAGCCCCAATCTAAACCCCCATTTTGCTCGATCCCTACCGTCTATCTCTCTCTCTCTCTCTCTCTCTCTCTCTCTCAATCGTTTCAGCCTTCACTCTCCGTCTCTCACTCGATTCTCTTTCTCTATAGCTCTGTTTTGCTCTCTCTCTCTCTCTCTCTCTCTCTCTCTCTCTCTCTCTTAGATACGAGCACCAGACTTGGGTCCGCACAAATCTGTGAGTGATGGGCATCCTTTGAAATAGAAAGTTTAGGGTTTCAATTTTGTTAAACTGAAACCATCTTAGCCAGAAACTTTAGTGATGGGCATCCTTATGGGCATCACTCTCCTTATACCAAAAGATTATTTTAATTATTCAAGGTTTGAGTTTTCTAATTTATATTGTAAGTTTTAGGTTTTAATTTTGGGCTGTGGTCTGTGCAGGTTTTCAACTTTTTAATTTGTATTTGGACCATTAATTTGGAGACAAGGTGAGGATTTCATATTAGTAATGTCAGCTTCTCTCTTATCTCTTCTGTTTTTCAACTTGAATTTATAGAATTAGGGTTTGTTTGCTGTTAATTTGGGGCTTTTGTTCTATTTGAGCTGTAGGAGGTTTGTGAGGTAAATTGAAATGCTTGATAGAGGATTTAAGGGGGATGCATGATGTTGCAGATATCATTTTGCCTTGTGTTATAAAATATCTCAGCTGCTTGGTCTTTTAACGTTCTCCTTGTGCATATGATTTTGTGCGTTTGAAACCCAGGCTGAGAATCAGTTTTGTGCTGTCATGTTGCATTCACCAGCCATGGCTGAAGAGGCGGGTATGTTTATGGTTCATCAAACTGTTGGCAGTGTACTATGTTGCAAATGCGGTATCCCCATGGCACCAAATGCTGCCAATATGTGTGTCAAGTGTTTGCGCTCTGAAGTTGATATTACGGAAGGTTTGCAGAAGCATGTGACCATTGTTCATTGTCCAGAGTGTGATTGCTACTTGCAGCCTCCAAGAACTTGGATCAAAGCCCAATTAGAATCAAAGGAGCTGCTAACCTTCTGTGTTAAGAGATTGAAGAATTTGAATAAAGTTAGGCTAGTTCATGCCGAATTTATTTGGACTGAACCTCACTCCAAGAGGATCAAGGTTAAGTTGAAAGTTCAGAAGGAGGTTCTTAATGGAGCAATACTTGAACAATCATATGTTGTAGAGTATGTTCAACAGGAGCATATGTGTGAGTCTTGTTCAAGGGTTCAGGCCAACCCTGACCAGTGGGTTGCATCTGTGCAACTCCGCCAGCATGTTTCTCACCGACGCACGTTTTTCTATCTGGAGCAGCTGATCCTGAGGCATGGTGCTGCTGCTAGTGCCATAAAAATAAAGCAGATGGAACAAGGTATCGACTTCTTTTTTGCAAACCGGAGTCATGGTGTGAAATTTGTGGAATTTGTTGGTAAAGTTGCTCCAGTAAGGAGTCGCAGTGACAAACAGCTTGTTTCCCATGATTCTAAAAGTAATAATTATAATTATAAGCATACATTCTCAGTTGAGATAAGCCCCATTTGCCGTGAAGATTTGATTTGTCTGCCTCCCAAGGTCAGGTCCAGTTTGGGAAACCTCGGTCCTCTTGTGATCTGCACTAAAGTGACCAACAGTATTGCTTTGTTTGATCCTTTCACCCTGAGACATTGTTTCCTTGATACTGATCAGTATTGGAGATATTCCTTTAAATCTCTACATACAAGCAGGGAGCTAGTGGAGTATATAGTGCTTGATATTGAGATTATTTCGCCTGAAGTTAATGTCGGTGGCTCAAGGTTTGCTTTAGCTGATGCACAAGTTGCTCGTGTCTCTGACTTTGGGAAGAATGATACTATTTTCAACATAAAAACACATCTTGGCCATCTTTTAAACCCCGGGGATTATGCTCTTGGTTATGACTTATATGGGGCTAACAGTAATGACGATGAACTAGAGAAGTACAGGGGTCTAGTCATTCCTGATGCAATTTTAATAAAGAAGAGCTACGAAGAAAAGCGACAGAAGAAGCACGCGAAGGCTCGTCCATGGAAGCTTAAATCCCTTGGCATGGAAGTTGATGATAAAGCTAAACTTGATCAAGAAAAGGTGGACTCTGAGTATGAGCAGTTCTTGAAGGATCTGGAGGAGAACCCTGAGATGAGGTTGAATATATCATTATACCATAATGAAGAGTACCAGCCGTCAGAGATGGCATCCATGACTGATGGGGAAGATGCACCTTCTGTCCCACTTGAAGAGTTGCTTGCTGACCTTGAACTTCGTGATGGTGAGGATGAGGATGACAGTAGCATGAGGGAGTGAATGAAGAAAAAACAGAGGTGATAATTGGTTAAGTTTATCACAGAGTAGTTTTTATGAATCTGGTTTTCCTTTCTACTTAGATGTTTAAAATTATCTTTCATATGCTGTTTCCTGCTTACAACAGTGGCTGTTTTTCAACATAGAGTTGAGTGAACCCTCTTTGGGAGCCATTGCTGCTTGGTCTTTATTACAGTAACTGAGTGGTGAATGCACAATTTTGATTTTCTCACGATCGTATTTTATTGTAGCTGTAAATTATCTTTAACTGAGAAAGAAATTAGAAAAACAACTTGTCATATCTCATGGGGTATGATGCTAATCATCTGGCTGATGCTACTGTTTCCACTGAATTTCATGCTAGTATATTTACTTCCAAGATGCCAGTTGATACAATCTACCCTAACTTATTAGTACCTAGGATCAGTTTCAAAGTCCCATCTAAACTACAAGCTGATGCAAATATGGCCCAACCTGTTGGTACACTTGAACAATTCCATAGCCCTGTTGGGTCAACTTTATCAACTCATGCTACTGCAACAGTAAAAATACAATTACCAAAATTTAAAATGAGCTTAAATCTCTTTGTTCAAGATTACCACCAATGTTTTAGCCTTGATCATAGTTTTGATTCAAATCTATTAAGTTCCTTTCTGAATCATATGCAACCTCGTATTTCACAGGCTGATGCTCAAAATCTTATAAGCCCAAATTGATCTATCGATACGACAAATTGGTGGTCTTAAAGCACCACGACCCGATGGTTTTCATGCCATTTTATTTATAAAAAAATTGGAATATTATTGAGGAAAATGTTTATGCTATCTTAAGGCCCTTCATTCGAATGTCTTTGTAATCTTTCTTATAAAATCATCTCCAAAATCCTTACGACCAATTCTGCATTCTTGTACCTCTCAAAATCAGGCAGCTTTTGTACTAAATCAGTTCATTTTTTATAATATTCTTATGGAAATAAAATTTTATCATATTTTCCTCAGTATTTTTTTAATAAGTCTCGTATGGCAATTAAATTATATATGAAAAAAGGTTATGATAGAATCAATTGGGATTATCTCTTTACTTGTCTATCTAAATTTGGTTTTCCTCCACTCTTTGCTAAATGGCAAACCTTATGGTATGATTAAAACTTTGTGTGGTTTTAGAGAACTATGTCGTTTATTTGGCGGTCATTCAAGGGGGAGTGTTATAAATATATGGAATGTGGATGACCACCATAACATCCACTACCTCTAGATTTTAATGGTTTGTAACCTATTGTATTACTATTGTTATTAGTATCTTTAACCTACAATTTATGAGTTAATTTCCTATGGTTGTAAGCTTATAAATAGGTGATTATCAAGGATGAATGATACAAGTTTATAGAACAAATTCTATTGTCTTTCTCTTCCTCTTATTTCTCTAAACAATTTCCCCTAATTTTATAACACGTTATCAGCACGATACTTGTTTAAGAATAAAAAAAAAGTTTCTTATTCTTATTACACATGAATATAATGTCATTTTTTATTTATTTGTTTGTTTATTTAATTTTAAGCATGATCTTAATTAATTATAGCTTGTTATGATGAATTTGTATTATACAAAATATCAAGGCCTGAAGTTCCTCAATCCTCATCATATAACTAGATTAGGAGTTGGAGTCCTTTTGATTGAATCATAACCTAGAGTTCTTTGATTCCAAATAATTGAGGGCGTGAAGTTCTGCGAATTTAAAAAGCACATAAGGACATGAAACTCCTTGATTTTGTATTAATCAAAATCAATTCCATGAGGCCTATATATGTCAAGAACCCAACGTAGAAGTTTCAAATGTATATACATTGATTTGAATATGAAGTTCAAAGCATAACTATTAATTCAATTTAATTAAATCTACATATTCGAACCTAAAGCTTCGAATATATGTTGATATGAACCTGAAGTTCATAGCTTGTCATGGATCTTAATATTATATATGAACCTGAAGTTCATTACTTCTTTGTGTTTATCTGCCATTTGAACTTCATAGAATCTGAAGTTCTATATCCATGAGATGAATTATCAAAAACTCAAATTTTATGATTTCATGGAAAGTAGCCTACTTTGATGCACATTGAATTGGTTGGAAATCCGATTCTTAAACTTGTAGTTCTATCTACATATTGAATCCACATTAATATCGAATTATCTTGGAATTTCATAGTCTTTAATTAATTTAGTTTACTCCACTTTACTCATTTATTATTATTATTTTTAGATTTTATTTAATTTTATTTATGTTGGGTTATTAGTTAATTTCGTTTTACAAATGGTAATGTTTTGTTACTGCCCTAGTATTGACAGCCAGAGGTGTTTATTGGAGAAACTTCATACTTTCTTTTGTAGGTTGTATTACACAACCATTAAAGTAGTTGAAGATTATGATGTCATGAACCAGAAGTTCATTGACCCTATAACTTTTATGTTGTGACATGACTGTCATGGAAATCCATAGTCCATAATGATGGATAAGATTTTTATAAATTTGTAAGGACATTGTTTAAAGACTCAAAATATTGTCTTGTCTAACAAATACCATTGCAAACCATGCTCACAAAGAAAAGCTATCATAGGACCATCTCAGTAAAAAATTGACTTTGACCCCTCTTTTTTTAAATAATTCAAGGGGATTGTGAGCCTATACAACATTTAATTATGGACCACTTCACCAGTTTTACTGGATGCCCCTAACAAATGGTCACATTTTTGTTTATTGTCAAGATGCTTATGCGCACAACTCCTACATTATCCAATCCACTCAATTTGACTCGATAATTATAGTGAGTTTATTTTCTTAAATTTTGAGACAATTTCCTCACCGTTATGGGCAAAATGACAGTTCCTGAAGAACGTCGTGAAATAATGTTGAATTAGTCTGCTTTTGTCTCATCAAGATAATGCATATATAAGTTATTCATATGCTAACATGGCTTGATTTTCTCGTATCATAATCCATTAACATAACAATAAGTGACTATATATGTTGCATGACATAAATATAGGCTCTAAAGACTTAACTCCCTAGAAGTGGAGATTATTTGAAAAATTCAGACCTTGTCGAAAATAACGCTCTATAGGAGGTTATGATCCACATATTCTAAATAATTCATCTTAAAATAGATGTTTGTCTCATAAGTGACAATAGAAGCCCTTAAAAAAGGTATTGGTACCCCAAAGCAATGAGATGCTAATAACTTATGCATGCACATGCACATGTAAATTGTGGGATCACGAATTGCAGATACATTTGGTTTATTAGTAACTACTACAATAATCAAGATTTATGATGATATTAAATTATGCTTCATGAATGTTGACAAGTTAAGTGATGGGCCAAAATATAGAAATAAGCAATTCCATTTATCACTAAATATGAAGTGTTGGATATTGAACCTATAACTAAAACACCAAATTACAAATGTTAAGTATGAACATTACAGATTGGTGTTTGTGAAGTGAAATAAGGTCACTAATATGACATAAGGTTCCCTGGTAGAGACATGATTTAAGTCTGTATAGGTTTTTTTTTTATACCATATGTTAAATGCATATTTATTAAGACTGTATAGTACAAGGAAATTGTAACATTCCACATCGACCAACAAAGAGGGGGTGATGTGCCTTATATGTACATGCCCACCTCCATCTAGCACGAGGTCTTTTGAGAGCTCACTGGCTTTGGAGTCATGAGAACTCCGAAGTTAAGCGAGTTTGGGTTAGAGCAATCTCAGGATGGGTGACTCACTGGGAAGTTGCTTGTGAGTTCCCATAAACAAAACCGTGAGAGTAGAGAAGGGGGCCCAAAGCAGACAATATCGTGTTACAGCAGAGCCGATCCCTGGATATGACAGAAATCCTCAAAGCTCATGAAATATTTGAGATATATCACATGAAGCGACCCCTTGAATTTGAAGGATATAAAGTACCTATTCTAAATTAAGAGTTAATACTAAGAGTCTGAGTATTTTAAATTCAAATTTGATATTGGTGTAACATATTCTAACTATTAGATTGGTTGATGATGTTCCTAAAGAGTTCAATCATTTGAAAAGTGAAAAGTAGGTTGAATCCTGTGATAAATGATCATGTATGAAGACAATGTTGCTTGTATTACTCAAATCAAAGAAGGGTTCATCAAGGATGACATAGTTTCAGAAAAAGTCAAGAGATTGGAGTCAAACAAATTCGTTCATAAGGTAATCTGGCGAACCTTTTTTTAATGAAGCTTTTCTGAAGTTTAGATTCCAGAAGTTATTGAAAATCTGGGGAGATATCAATCAGGGGGAGCATCCTAGTTCTACTACATACAAGACATATGCGCGTTGTACTTTTTTCCCTTCGACTAAGTTTTTGTCCCGCCGGGTTTTTCCTAGCAATGTTTTAACAAGGCAATATAAGCCCTTCCAACACCATATCAATGATCCAGAAGAATGTTGCACTCTTTTTTTGTTCGCTTAGGCTCCACTGGGTTTTTCAATCAAGGTTTTTAATGAGGCAACTATGTCGTTTATTTGGTGGTGTTTATTTGGTGATCATCCAAGGGGGAATGTTATAAATATATGGAATGTGGATGACCACCATAATATCTACTATCTCCAGGTTTTCATGATTTGTAACCTATTGTATTACTATTGTAATTAGTACCTTTAACTTCAATTTACGGGTTAATTTTCTATGGTTGTAAGCCTATAAATAGGTGATTATCACAAATGAATGATACAAGTTTATATTTTCCAACAAATTTCAGGACAAAACGTTAGCTATCATAAAATCATGATTTACTTCTCTTACCATACTAATAGACAACTCAAGGAAAAAAATTCCACAATTTTATCTATTAGTTCAAATTGGGGCTAAAGGGATTTTTAGTAAGTGGGTCCGACATTGGCGAGATGTCGAAAGAGCAATCGGATTCGTCACAGATTCGAAGAGGGAATACGGGGCGAGTCCTGTCATGCAACACATGATAGTAGATTTGTAAATGGGGGCGATGGTGTTCGGGACGGCAGATGACTGACGGTGGTGGTTGGCGTTAGTGTAAGGTGGCCCCTTTTTCTTTTTTCTTTTTTTTTAAAAAAAAGAGAGGAAAAACGTAAACTTAACCCCATAGTAAACATGCCGACAGGACATGATAGTAGACTTGTATATCGGGGCAGTGGTGTCCGGTGGACGACGGATGATCGACATTGGTGGTTGGCGGTAGTTATAATGGCCCCTTCTTTATATATATAAAACAAAAGAGTAAAATTGTAAACTTAACCCCATATTAAACATGCCAACAACACATGGTAGTAGACTTGAAAATGGGTCAAAGGTGGATCAAATATAGAGTGATCCGATTCGATTTAAATAAATAAAAAATTCAATGTAATTTGATTCAATAATCCGACGGATCATTCACGACTATATCCATATTCGGATTGTTAGATTATCGGAAATCATATCCAATCGATTTCTTTTCTGACATATAAATAAATAAATAAATAAGTTGAAAAGTATCCTTATATATTGACAAAAAAAGTTCACAATATTTTTACATGTGCATATATATTTAGTAAATAAAAATATAATAAAATACAGGGGTTTTACCATATAAGGACAAATAGAAGGGCACAAAGACAAACTAGTCCAACGCCTCCAAATAAGTACAAGTCGGTCCAGTTATTATGACCATGTCATTCTTCAACAGTGACCTTGATCATGTCGTTCTCTGACAATAACATGATTAGTATTTTAATTTTCAAATGGGTGCATTTTTTTTGGTTAAAATGATTGGTCTCTAATGGAGTTTTTCATTCACTTTTGTGGTCTTGACATAAAAAGGTGCATAGGAAGTATTGTACATCCAAGTTTGGCTTCACTGCAAATTCAGAACCAGCATAGTTTCTCATACAGACTCAACTATAGCAGAGCATATACTACTAACATTACATATGACTTTGTAATTGGGTTTCATTGGGTGGGGAAGAAGAAGAATTGCACATAATAAGTCAGCAGCAACTGTGGTTGCACCGGGGGAAATTGTGTTTTCTAGATTTCTAAGCTTTGCAGCCTCAAGTGTTAGCTTGATTGACAACCATGGTTGTATGTTCTAATTGAACATACTTTTCATTTAAAATCTTTTTACTTTGATGTAGAACGTCTATCTGTAATATTCCCGGCATAATTTGTGTCAGTGTAACCTTCCAGATCCAAGTGACCATTTTTCTTAAATAATAAACCTCTCCCAGGAGCCGACTTTAAATAACTCAGAATACGCATCATAGCAGCCATATGATCCTTACTAGGTGAATGAATAAATTGGCTAGCAACGCTTACAGCATAGGCAATATCAGGGCGTGTCAATGATAAATCAATCAATCTCCCAACTAACCTTTGATATCTTTCTCTGTTAGTTGAGACCTGATCCACATAAACACCAAGTTTATGATTCTCAACAATAGGTGTATCAGTTGGTTTACAGTCAAGCATTCCAGTATCTACTAGCAGGTCCATGACATACTTCCTTTGTGAAAGAAATAAGCCATGTTTAGATCGAGTGACTTCAACTCCTAGAAAATATTTCAAACTACCCAAATCTTTCATCTCAAATTCAGATGCTAAACGTTTCTACAGTTCCTCAATTTCTACAGTATCATCACCAGTCACAATCATATCATCAACATAAATAATCAACGAAGTCACCTTACCAGCCCTATGTTTAATGAATAGAGTATGATCAGTATTAGCCTGTCGATAACCAAACTTCTTCATAGCTATGGTAAATCTGCCAAACCATGCTTGAGGAGACTGCTTTAACCCATACAACGCCTTTTTCAATTTGCACACGTTCCCCGTTTCACCGATAACCCTATATCCTGGTGGAAAACTCATGTACACTTCTTCTTCTTCTAGTTCACCATGTAAGAATGCATTTTTTACGTCAAATTGCCCAAGGGTCCAATCCAAGTTTACTGTTAAGGACAACAAAACTCTGACAGTATTCATCTTAGCCACATGTGCAAAAGTATCATGATAATCAACTCCATATGTCTGAGTGAACCTTTTAGCTACTAATCTTGCCTTGTACCTCTCCACAGTACCATCTACATTATATTTAACTGTAAACACCCATCTGCATCCTACATGCTTCATTCCCTTTGGTAGATCAACAATGTCCCATGTATTATTTTTTTTGCAATGCCTCCATTTCAATATTCATGGCTTCAGCCCACTTTGGATCATTAAATGCCTCCTCAACACGGGTTGGAATTTTAATATTATCCATTCTGGTCACAAACGCTTTGCACTCAGGAGATAACCTGTGATCAGACACATACTGGGCAATAGCATATCTCGCTTTGCCTTTTGGTGAGTAACGATCAGGTGGAACCCCACGGTTCCGTCTAGGCGGTAAAACATAAGAATTATCAGAAGTATGAGTAGAAGCACTTACCTTAGGAATATCCAGGGGAGCTTGATCGGGTCCTATTAGAGAAGCTTCATGAGGGGCAATCGATTCAGTGATAGTAGTGACATCAGTTAAAATAGCAGGTTCAGCTAGTGTAGCAAGTTCTGCTGGTGTAGCAGGTTCAGCAGGTTCAATCAGTTCTTTCCTTTGTATCAAACTATCCAATACTTCTCCCCTTTGTAAATCTAGCCAGCTATGTCCTTCACTACTAGTTTTTCCTTGAAGAACATGCTCGGGTGTATCAGAGAAGAACATTTCATCCTCAACAAAGGTAACATCCATAAAGACATATAGACATCGGGTTGCAGGATGATAGCATCGGTAACCTTTCTGATGAGGAGAGACCCAGAAAGACACAACGGAGAGCACATAGGTCCAGCTTACTCCTCTGATTCTGATGGAGGTGAATATAGACGACACAACCAAACACCTTTAGAGACATAGTCAACATAGAAGAGGCAGAGACTGATGGGTCAATACTTGCATAGGAGTTTGAAAATCCAAAACTCGTGAAGGTAGACGATTCAAGAGATAGACTGCATAGGTAACAGCATCCATCCAGAACCGCTTTGGAACTGACGCACCAAGTAGCAGAGCAAGGGCAGTAGTAAGGATTTGCCCATTTTTACGTTCAGCAACCCCATTCTGTTGTGGTGTTTGAGGGCAAGTAGTCTCATGGAGTACTCCGTTAGTGTGAAAAAAATGGGATAACGCCGAATTAACAAATTCTCCACCATTATCAGATTGAAAAATCTTGATAGGGAGCATAAATTGAGTCTGAATAATATGATTGAAACGCTGAAAAATTTCGACCACATCACTTTTATTTTTCATCCCATATAACCACATCATACGAGTGCAATCATCCACAAATAACACAAACCAATGAACTCCCAAGGTTGTAGAAACTGGGGAAGGTCCCCAAACATCAGAATGAACTAAACCAAATGGCATAAGCCGTTTATTACAACTTGGAGGGTAGGATACCCGATGACTCTTAGCTAAAATACAAGTCTGACATTGGAAATCAGACTCATTGACACCACTAAATAATGCAGGAAACAAAAGCCGTAAATATCCAAATGAGGCATGACCAAATTGGTAACGTAGCAACCAAATCCGGCGATGTTGAGAAGTTTCGGCGCTACCAGCACAAAGAACCCGACTAGTTGCCACATCATCCGCATAATAAAGCCCATCTTTTTTAGTACCACGACCAAAGATCTCCCGAGTCTGGATATCCTGTAGTAAGACAAAATATGGATACATCAGTACAACGCAGTTTAACTGCTCAGTAACTTGCGGTACAAATAATAAATTACTCGACAAAGATGGAACCAGTAACACTTTGTCCAATGGTAAAACAGGTGTCAAGAGTATAGAACCAGCCCCCGTGACAAGAGCAACATCATTATTAGCAGTCAGAACATGATCACGATGAGGCGGAAGAGTAGTAGAGAATAAAGCAGAATTATATGTCATATGGTCAGTAGCTCCTGAATCAATAATCCAACCTGTATCTCAGGTATCATGGGCATGGAAAACCTTGCCAAAGTTACCCGAAGGCGGAAGTGTTGGAGTGCTTGAGATGGCGGTCAAAGTCGGTGGAGGAGTAGCAGTAAGGTGGTCGTGCCTAGTGGTGATGTCAGCCACAGAATTGGGGGCAACAGCCACATGAGCTTTGCTGTCCAGTTGTTCCTTTTTTAAACGCCTCTGCTCCTTCTCCCAATCTGGTACGCCATGTAATGCCCAACAGGTGTATATAGTATGTCTCTTTTCACCACAGTGATCACACTTCAGTTTGTCTTTTACTGCAGAAGTCAGACGACGAGGCGGAACATCAGAAGAGCCAAACCCTGTACGCTGAGAAACCAAAGCAATGTTTTTGGAAGCAAACACAACAGTAGGTTCCCCAATCTTGGTGCCGAATCCAAGCATAGTAATCTGGCGTTGAGCCTCTCGACGAACCATAAAAAATACATTTTCAATACTTGGAACTTTATCACTTCGTAGAATATCACTTCGGACCTTTTCATAAGTATCGTCAAGGCTAGCCAAAAAAATCATACACACGATCTGCCATAACAGCAGCCTGAAAAGTCTTCATATCATCAACACACTTCATTTGAAAAGGACGTCTCTTGTCCAATTCAAGCCAGATTGCCTTAAATTCGGCAAAATAGGTAGAGACAGGACGACCCTCTTGCTTGAGACAGGTAGCCTGGCACTGCAGTTCATAGAGCTGGGATATGTCAGAGCCATCATAAAACATCTGATTAACAGCATCCCAAATTTCCTTAGCAGTAGTTAGAGTATGAAACATATTCAACAAACTGGGTTCCATAGTTCGCATCATCCAACTTTTCACAACAGCATCATCAATTTTCCACTTCCCAAATTTCGGGTCTTTAGAATCAGGGGCATCAGTGTCGCCAGTCAGGTAACCTAATTTGCATTGTGTAGTAGCATGGAGTTCGATCATCGAAGCCCATATCTTATAGTTGGATCCATTCAATTTGAATCCCATAGGTAGGTTGGTGGACGATTCAGTATGAACCGTCACAATAAGAGTAGAAAAAGAAGAGTCAGTGACATCTGACATGGTGATAGATAGCGGCGGCAACAAAAGATTAGGTGACGACGACGACAGTAAGAGATATAGGATAGCACAGGCTTAGGTGTATAGGCTAGGTGCAGTGGAAATAGGTATTTTTAGGATTAGGGTTTTGATGTTGTAGAGACGGATCGGAACCCACTCTGATACCAACTCAAAATAATTAGGGTTTAAAACTGATATGTTTATTCTTCTCTCAAGGAGGAATATATATACTACATACAGAGTGGTTACAAATAAGAAATATGTACAAAATCTCCTAATTCTACTCAAATTAGATAATTACAATAAAACAGAAATTCTATTCCTAATAGAAACGTTGACTCACGCCAACATTTACATGTGTGGGTTGGTGTTTGAGGACTTGCCGGAGCAGGGTGGTTTGGGTGAGATTGAGAAGAACAACAAGTGGAAGACTGATCTTTTGTACAACGCCATTGATGAGAACAAAGGGTTTTACAGGTGCCCAGTTGAGAAGTCTGTGAGGTCATTGATGAATGTGCCCTTCACGCTTGAGAAGTCAGAGTTGGAAGCTGAGTTTGTGAAGGAGGCAGCTAAAGAGAAGATGGTTCAGCTCAAGGGGCATAGGTCAGTGGGAGGGATGAAGGCTTCTATTTATAATGCTATGCCTCTGGCTGGGGTTGAGAAGTTGGTTGCTTTCATGAAGGATTTCCAGGCAAAGCATGCTTAAGATTTAGTAGCATACATTACTGGTAGAGTTGTTAGCATGTTTGGTTTGTTGTGTTTGCTATATTTTTGTTGTTGAATGTGAGTGGACAACAGCAAGAACCGCATGTGTTAATGAAATTCTTGTCGTGTGGGATGAAGTTAATGCCCTAACAAGTTTAGGAATTTAGGCCAATATCCACTGTTTAAAACTTTGTTGTCAAAAGCTGAGAGTAATGAATAATTCAATTCTGGGCTCTTCTTTCATATCAAGTTAAACCTCTCTACTTCTTGGGGCAATCGTGCTGTATCCGAGTAGAAAAATCCTTAGTAACATCGCATGTAGGGAGACTGAATGTTTATTGAAAAAAAGGACCCATCATCAACATCTGCCTGCAAACCACCAGATGCTAAAATGGAAAATGGATGGTCCCCCAACTCAGAAATTGATTCACAACCATGGAACTCATCACTTCAATGGCAACGCGAACAAGAGTGAGTCAGAGACACAACCAGCTGCCTGCTGAGGCTTTATGTCAAATATCAGTTATCTTTGCCAGTTCATCTGCAATTTCAATTTCGTATATGCTCAATTCATACACATTCTATAATTTACTAAGACTTTCAAAAAGAATTTCCAAACTCAAATCAACCAAGCCAAAACAACCAATTGTTGGCTAAAATGTGCAAAATCTAGGCTTCTTGATACCTGTTGGCTATGCCGCCGATTCTCACTCCAGCTCCTCAATTTCCTCCTGAGTTGAAACCAAAAACATGTATCAGAACTGACCTAAAGAATAGTAGTAATCAAGATGAGGGATTACATAGGAGTTCAGCTTTCCTGTTACCATAGAAAACCAGGGACAAAAACATAGAAACCAGGGACAAAAACATAGAAAAACAGAGAAATAAGAGAGAGAAAAAAAAATCACCTTGGTTATAACTTATATCAATAAGCCATTTCGGTCCGGCCCGGTGCACCTTAGAAAGCCCACCCCATTGACGGGCCCTAACCTATTCTGTTACCTCATCCATAAAAGGACGCCACATCTCCAACCCTCAATGTTTTCACGTTTTCTTCTCTTTGGGCGCCGCACTCCCATTCTGAAATCTCCGCTTCTCGACATGGCTTTCTTGCACTCTCTACCCTTCCGATTTCCCCGGTTCAGTTCTTTCTCAGCCAAACATCTCTAGACTAGTTCTGTCTAACTCTCTAACGGTTACAGCTTTGCCTCTTCTTCTGTGTCACTATAAGTTGTGAGAGCTTTGAACTTCAAATCCATCTAAACTTTTGAAATTAAACACTGCCGGCTCTCTTTCCTCTGAGAATAATTAAACACCGCCGTCTCTCTTCTCTCGTATTTTGATAAGTATTTATTTAAAGTTTTGTTAACCGGAAGAGATGGTGGTGGATCAAGTGGGATCGACGAAGATCGAACAAAGTTCTATGGAATCGGATCGCCTCCCGAAGTGCCTTCGTGGGTTATTTTCCAAACCCTCCGATCGAGTCGGATCGACGCAGATCGGACAAAATGAAACGGAGGTTCCTACTTCTGTCGTAGACGCGGCTTGGCAGCGGCTTGAAGAGATGTGCTCATCGTGGAAGCAGTTTCGTGGGACTGAATCCAAACCTTCCGATCGAGTCGGATTGACGCAGATCGGACAAAATGACACGGAATTCAGAACGTTTGTTCCTAAGTCTATCATGGAGGACTCTCGTCGGCGGATTGAAGAGGAGTACAGAGAGATTGAATCCCATCCCTCCGACTATTTTGCGTGCCGCAGGCACGAGTGGAACTCATATGAATGGCTATTTGGAATCAGAGGCCCTAGTGGAACTGAATACCAAGATGGGATTTATCATGGGAAGATCCACTTCCCGAAGGAGTACCCATCGAAGCCTCCTTCATTCATGTTTCTTACGCCCAATGGTCGCTTCAAAACCCGCAACAAGATCAGGATAAGTCGACTGGATGAGTGGCAGCCATCATGGGGGGTGCGAGATGCTTTAAATGCACTTATCGATGAAATGCCTACCGACCCAGATGGTGGTTCAGTAGAATATAGTAAGAAACAAAGGCGAGAGTGGGCAAGCAGATCTCGTGCGGCCGCCCCAGAATGTAGCACTCCTGAACGGCAGAAGCTAGTTGAAGAGATTCATAATTATCTGCTAAGCAAGTCATCACCTGATCCTGTTCCTTCCCAAAATCATGGAGCCAAAAGAAAGCACGGCACAGGCAGCGGCGGTGGCGTCGTGAATGTTATTGGGAATATATTTAATGCAAATAATTCAAACGGAGTAGGGATTTTGGATTCTATGAATGAGGCCTCCAACCCCAAGAAAGCAAAACTAGACGACCATGTTTAGGATGCCAATTCTTCAGCCCAACACTTGTGTTTTAGTGCACCGTTGGTTGTGTAGGTAAGAATAAGTAGTTAGATTCAGTATGAATTGCCCTCCAGTCGAAATCATTCGAATTTTATTTTAATTTGTGTGCATATGTTCATGAAATTCTTGTCGTGTGGGATGAAGTTAATGCCGGAACAAGTTTAGGAATTTAGGCCAATATCCTCTGTTTAAAACTTTGTTGTCTGAGCTGAGAGTAGTGAATAATTTAATTCTGGGCACTTCTTTCATATAAAGTTAAACCTCTCTACTTCTTGAGGCAATCGTGCTGTATCGGAGTAGAAATTTTTTGATATCCTGGCTGATACTTATTTAGTCAAATAAAATTAGTAACATAGCGTGTAGGGATGCTGAATGTTTATTGAAAAAAAGGACCCATCATCATCATCTGCCTGCAAACGACCTGATGGTGAACTGGAAAATGGACGGTCGGCCAACTCACAAATTGATTCACAGCCATGGGACTCATCACTTCAATGGCAACGCGAACAACAGTAATAGTCTCAAAGACACAACCAGCTGCCTGCTGAGGCTTTACGTCAAATATCAGTCACCTTTGCCAGTTCATAAACAATTTGAATTTCGGATATGCTCAATTCACACACATTCTCTATAATTTACTACAACTTTCAAAAGGAATTTCCAAACAACTGAAATCAACCCAGCCAAAACAACCAATTGTTGGCTAAAATGTGCAAAAATCTAGGCTTCTTGATACCTGTTGTTGGCTGTGCAGCCGATTCTCAATCCAGCTCCTCAATTTCCTCCTGAGTTGAAACAAAAAACATGTATCAGAACAGACCTCCTGAGTTGAAACAAAAAACATGTATCAGAACAGACCTAAAGAATAGTAATAGTAATCGAGATGTGGGATTACATAGAAAAACAGAGAGATAAGAGAGAGAAAAAAAAATCACCTTGGTGCTCCTTAGGAAGCCCAGCCCATTGATGAGCCCTTTGAACAATTTGCGTCTCTTCAACTTGGTAATTTACTTATTTCATCATGTAACAAGAAAAAAAAAATCGTCAATAAATAATTGATTTTTTTTTAATGGTAAAAGAATTGAGCTTTATATGTAGTAAATAGCGTCCCATGTAATAAAATAGCTATACATTTAAATAACTAAGTTTAAATACATATGTAAATGGGTTGAAGTACAATATTTTGCGTTTCAATGTGGAGTTAAATACCTAAATATGAGGTACATGTAATACCTACAACATAGGTTGAGAAGCAAATAGATTTAAGTCAAAAACACAAGGAGAACCAGACTCATTCGAACATATATCATACCTACAACATAAAATGTGAAACACCAAAGAGCCAAAATCGTAAACAAACAACCATCTTACCATTCTTACCTACTAAATACAAGGCTACTCATTGGATTTACATCAAAAATTACAAACGTGTTGGTTTTTCCTAATCAACCCCAAAACACTTGGGTTTCTATCTAATTTTCTATCCTTTTCATGTAATCGCCCATTTGGGTAGGACAAGTTTGATGAGAGTACACTAATGAGCGGTCATGTCAAGTTTGTAGCGCAATTATCAAAATATTTAATCTAAAAAAAATTGCTTGACGGAATGCCTTCTAGAATGAGAGTGAAGAAAGAAGGGCAGAGAATGTCTCTTTCCTCGATAGCCAGTCACGTTTTGTGTATATATATATATATATATATATACACACACACACACAGAGCTTCCATTGAGGGATCCCTCAAATAAGTTTATTTGAGGGACACCCCTTGTAGGCCCCACTATGAATTGTATTTCACTAATCCAAACCGTCTATTTTGTAGATACTCATTCAAAGATCATCTCTACAAAAAATCACTTGAATCCGATATCATTTGACCACTCAATTGAGTTATTGAAATTTTAGTACTTTCTTGAAGCACTGTGTTCATTGATTTTGTAAGACACAATTGGATGTCGAAACGATTTTCGATTTGTCTAATTTTTTGTAAGGATGATCTATGAATGAAGACCTAAAAACTATATGATTTGGATCATTGGAAAAAAAATTGTAGGGTACCCTAAAGGGCGTCCCTCAAATAAAATTATTTGAGGGATCCCTCAATAAAAGGGGACTATATATATATATATTTATATGTATAGTCGAATCTCCAATACAACTATGTTGATTACATTGATGCATGTACACAATCTTCCTTCATCAAACAGTTGATTTCAGTCACTCTTGGTTCATCAATTTTGATAGTAAATTCAAGAGTCCTTTTTCCTATTGGTTTCTTCATTGGTGGGAAAAACATGGCCCAGTTGCTGATATTCTCCCCACACAAATTCATAATTTGACCAACTACTTTTCACACAAATACAAATTCAACAAGGCAGAATTGTTCTTCCCTCAGTTGCTCATTTTCATTGCCAGATCAAAGTCCCCTGGATATTAAAATGGTCTTATCATGTTAATTGGGATTCCAGAGTCTTCTCACGCCAATTTTCAGTCAAATGGTGGGATAAATTCAAAGTTGACAGAATTGCAGAATATGTCTACAGAGATTTTCCTCAAATTGCAGATCCTCCAAAACCTAAGCCATCCTCTTCCAATGGAACTTCACAGTCTTCCCTCCAAGTTGAAGGATCAAAATCAGAATTGCAAGAAATTGCCCGTCAGTTGATCATTCAAGCTTCTCAAATGGAAGATGATGATGATGATGCCAGTCCAAATTCTCAGTCATCTACTAGTCAGCCTCAGTTGCCTCCGAACCAAATGAGCCCTTCCCAAAAGATGCTTTGGGTGGATAGTCAAGATCCCTATGACCTCAATTCAGACTAGTCAAAAGCAGTCATCATGCCCTGGTTTTAGCACTCAGTAAAAGCAAAAGCTTTCGCGTGCGTCAACAGTTGTTATTCCCCGAAAAGTTACTAAAGTAAAAGTATAAGTATTCTGAGTTAAAGCCTCTGTTGAATTCTCGTGTTGCTACACGAAGATTCTCAGCATCCAAATGTATGGAATAGTCTAGTTATTTTCTTATTTAAGCCAACTTTGGCTTCAATTGTCCGCATAATATATTTTCTTCTATTAATTTTTTATCTAGATCATTTTTCTCACGGACTTTGAAAGGACTGGCAGGTATCTGGGCTTTCCTGTGATCAATTATTATTGTTTCTACCGGAGGATGACTGGCTATTACTTCAGTATTGTCTTCCATTTTCCATTTTTCTTTGGTTAAGGTTTTTAACTCATTAGACATATAACGGCTTTCTACAAAATCAAAGTAGAAAATTTCTAACTTAGCAGTGCGCATATAATCTTTCCATTCATTAAAGATTTGTTGGTGTTGATCTCTATTAGGGTAAGTTATGTGGTAACTATTTCTTCGAACTAGATTTTTGGGAGCATGAAGATGACTATCTAAGTTTTTCCAATTAGGATTGAATTTTCTATTAAGGGTTCTTAATTGATTTTCTATAACTCCTGGGAAGTTATCTGTCTCAAAATCGGTTTGTGTAGGAGATTCTGGTGATTCTGGTTTATTTTCTTCTTTAACTGTTTGTCTATTGTAGCATGGATGACTAACTTGGGAGTTTTTTTCTTAAAGATTCTAGCTTAAAATCTATCATTGCCTTTTCTAACTCTAGGTCTCGTTCTAGAGTGGAAGAGGAGGCTGTAAATGAATGCCTAGCAGGGATGTGTCTCTGGGATTGACCAGGTGTAGGCAACTGTTGTAACTGGACTGTAGACTTTTAGGGAGGTTGATTATCGAAATTAATTTTGACTATGCCATCTAAATATTGTTGAATATACTCTAAATTGTTTAGATTATATTGAATTGGGGTAGGCTGATTCTCAGTGGTGAGTGTCCAATCTAAAGGAAGGGTGACTTCTGTCCATTTGATTGTGTGAGGGACTCTTATATTTGCCTCAGGTTTGCTACTTTGGATTAACAGAGTTTGATCTTTTGGACTCTTATTAAGGGCTTGTAAATTCGTATTAGTACTTGTGACTTTATAATAGATTCTATATACTAGGGCTAATGGCTGAGTTCCTGGCAAGACTTGATACCCGGAAGTTTTAATATTTAAATTTAAAGTTTTCAAAATATGATAAGACTGACTATAAAGTCTGGGTAACAATCAAAATGCACTAGACCATTAAACAGACTGGATTCAATTATTCCTAGTGTACTGTCCCTATCTTTGACAAACAAATAGGTCAAGGTATAGAAGATGGAGTCAATACTTTGTTTTACACTATAATTGATCATTTTTTTGGAACACCTAGTAATACTACTGCCAGAATTCATGATCAGCTTAGTAATCTCCGATACCCCAAGTTGTCAGATTTTAGATGGTATAAGGATGTTTTCATTTCTAGAGTTATGGTTAGAGATGATAGTAACCAACCATTTTGGAAAGAAAAATTTATTAATGGTCTTCCAAATCTATTCGCCCATAAAATACAAACAGTCCTTAGTAATGATCAAGGCCACATAGATTGGGATAATTTAACCTATGGTAACATAATCAGTACAATTAATCAAGTTGGTGTGAAAATGTGTGTTGATATGAAAATAAGTAAACAAATACAGTCTGAAAGAAAATCTACTAAGTATGAGTTAGGAAATTTCTGTGAACAATATGGTCTTGCTAGTATTCCCCCTTCCAGAAAAGCTAAGTCTACTTATCATGACAGACAAGTCAGTAAGCGTTGATATTATTCGCGTAAAAAACAATCCTTTAGAAATAATGATAATAATGAATTCTATAGCAAAAAGAGATTTAGTCCGCGTAAAAGTTGGTCAAAAGCATCGAAAAAAGAAAAGAAAAATCACTTTAAGAAAAGCACCAACAAAAGAAATGTTAAATGTTGGAAATGTCAAAAGAATGGTGACTATGCTAATGAGTGCAAAGTAAAAGACACAATTAAACAGTTGAAAATCACGGATGAGGAAAAAGACAAATTGATTAAAGTTCTAGAGTTAAGAAACTCTGAGGCTAGTGAAAATGAAACCATGGTAACCTACACCGAGTCAGCTAGTTATCATTCCTCAGATTCCTAGTCCAGTTCTCCAATAGTCCAATTCGGTTGTAAGGATAAATGTTGCAATAGGATAAAATCTATTAGTGTCCTCACCAAACAGGAAGAACAAGAAGAATTGTTAATTGATCTAATTAGTAAAATAGAAAACCCAGAATTAAAATCTGAGTACTTAAAAAAGCTAAGAAAAGTCATAAGCCAGGAAGAGTCAAGCCCGTCGATTTCCCAGAGAATAAGTTTGAACACAACCTTAAAAAAATTAAACAAAAGAAAAAATCACCTTACAAGACTTACAAATGGAAGCCAAATTAGTAAAAAGGGAAATAGTTGAATTAAAGCAAATAAGTCATAAATTGCAAACAGAAAATTATGAAATTAAACAAGAATTGGTTGATTTAATAGAAAAAGAAAATTCTGAGTCTAGAAGCCAACCAGAGAGTCCAGTAAACTCAGACAGCGAACCTTCAAACAATGACCAAGCTATTAATCTGATAAAACAAGTAAATTTTAGAAATGCTATTCGAAAGTCACGATATTTGTAAAAAAATTTGAACTCAATACAGTTGCCCTTTTTGATTCATGTGCCGATCTTAATTGCATCCAAGAAGGTTTAATTCCCACTAAATATTATAAAAACTTTAAAGAATCATTAAGCACAGCTTTAGGAAAATCACTACAGTTGAATTATGAAATCCCAAAAGCTCATGTCTGTCAAAGTAAAATTTGTTTCAAAACTTCATTTGTCTTAGTAAAAAATATCACTGATGAAGTCATTCTAGGATTACCCTTCATAAGCCTTTTGTATCCCTTCCAGGTTGAGTATGATGGAGTCATTTCTACTCACTTAGGAGAAAAGGTCAAATTTGAATTTTTAACGAAACCTGAGTTGCATAATCTAAAAGCCTTACAAAAAAGTGCAGTTTCAAAAACAATCAAGATAATTCATAAAAAAAACAAACAGCTCAAATCTCTTAAAGAAGAAGTCAAATTCAAAAGAGTTGAACAACAGCTTAAGGATAAGTCTTTACAATTGCAAATTCAAAAATTTGAAGGTAAGCTAAAACAGGAAGTCTGTTCTGATTTACCTAATGCTTTTTGGCACAGAAAGCAACACGTAGTCAATCTTCCCTATGTTAAAACCTTTAGTGAGAAAAATATCCCCACCAAGCTAGACCAATCCAGATGAGTCAAGAGATAATGGAATTCTGTAAAAATGAAATCACAGAATTATTGCAAAAAGGAATAATCCATAAAAGCAAGTCGCCCTGGTCCTGCCTAGCTTTTTATGTCCAGAAAAATGCTGAATTAGAAAGAGGAGTCCCCAGATTAGTCATCAATTACAAGCCCCTTAATACGGTCTTAGAATGGATTAGGTACCCAATTCCTAATAAACGAGACCTAATTAACAAATTAGAAAAAGCAGTTGTCTTCTCTAAATTTGATATGAAGAGTGGTTTCTAGGAAAATCCAAATCGATGAGTCAGATAGGTATAAAACTGCATTTGTCACTCTTTTTGGTCATTATGAATGTAATGTAATGCCTTTTGGTTTGAAAAATGTGCTAAGTGAGTTTCAAAATATAACGAATGAAATATTCAATCCCTTTAGTCATTTCTCCATTGTTTATATTGATGATGTTCTTATCTTTTCCCAGTCGATCGAACAGCATTGGAAGCATTTAAATAAGTTTCTCCAAATAGTCAAACAAAATGGTCTAGTTGTCTCTGCTAAGAAAATTAAGTTATTCCAAACTAATATTCGTTTTCTTGGTTTCAATATTTGTTAGTCTCAAATCAGTCCAATTGACAAAGTCATTCAATTTGTTGATGAAACGACCCGACCCAAATTCCACTTTGAAATCCGGGCCGAATCCTGTTTAAAACTGACACCTGATAACCGTGGGTTGTAAATGACCAAAATATCCTGAAAACAGTAACATAAAACCTGATGCCCCTAACTCGTGGCTGCGTCTGATAATTTTAGGCTGCCTACGTACCCTTACTGAGGGATCAAGCCACACGTAGTTATTTCTTCTGTTCCTGGTCTGTAACTGAACTGTTTACTGTAAACCTGATTCTAGGGTTGGCATTCCTGGAGTATCCGGGACACCGTTTTACGATCCGTCAAATACTATACGATCCTGGCCAATTCTAGATTACCATATCTGAAAATGGTTATGATCCAACGGTTCGAAACTATTGAACCAGGAAATCACACAAGATGCAAGATCCGTTAGGGGTTCAAACGTTAACCAAATTGAGATCCACGAAATCCTACGCGTTCGTGACGACACAAGGATCATTCTAAAACTGAATGTGATCTCCACCAATCTGCCCACGCGCCGCCACACGCGCTGGCAGCGCGTGGGTGGCTTGATCAATTTCCGGCGACCGGAAAAACTCCAAACCGCTGGCTCAAACTTCTAACTTAGGTAAAACACCCCATTTGGAACAACTTTTGTTCATACCCCAAAAAGTGGCCGGAACTGTGCTCTCAAAATCGGCTGAAACCTAACTCGTAAATCGAGCTATCTACGCTTGAAATTTCTGAAATCCTGCCCAACCAGCAGCTAGAGCGTGAAAAATATCTAGAAAACCATACCTCACTCGTCCGATTTGGTGGCCGGACGACGGAGAACGAAAGGTTGGAAGTTCTGTCAAAAACTGTCCAGCACCGCTTGTTTCGTGACTGCTTTCGGCGACTATGGCGGCGGATCGAGGCAGTGAAGGGCTGGGGTTGGAAGAGGGAAGTTTCGTGGTTCATTTGGCACTGGTCTTGCCTGAATCGGATGTCGGAGCTGAGAGAAAACAGCTCCCAAAGTCGGCTGGTCGTGCCCCCGCATCCAGAAATTTCTGGGTTTATATAAACTGAAGTTCGAAATATTTATGGTTATGCCACTAAACTTCTTTTAATCGTAACTCCTTCGTTACAACTCCGATTTGAGTCTACTACGTGTCTACAAACTTGTTTCGTTGCGCTCTACGCAACGGTACAACTGAAATCCCCAAATTCCTCCCCTGTCAAAAGTCAAATTTTAAACTAATAAAATATTTTAGGGGTATAATGGTCTTTTATTGGAATAAATTAATAATTAAATATTAATTAAGGACCGGGTTGTTACAGCTGATAAGTTCCCAGATCAAATCCTTGATAAGAGTCAGCTTCAGAGGTTTTTAGGATCTCTCAATTATGTGTCTGATTTTTATCAAAATCTGAAAAAACAATGTAAGCCTCTATTTGATAGGTTGCAGAATAATTCTCCTCCTTGGTCCTCAGTCCATACAGAAATTGTCAAACAAATCAAAGTCCATGTCAAGACACTCCCTTGTCTTGGAATCCCTTCAGTTGATTCATTCAAAATAGTTGAAACTGATGCCTCTGAAATTGGTTATGGAGGGATTCTCAAACAAAGAGTCGATCCAGATCATCCAGAACAAATTATTCATTTTCATTCTAGAATTTGGACTCAGTCGCAATCTAATTATTGTACTATTAAGAAAGAAATATTATCTATAGTATTATGCATTTCAAAGTTTCAAGATGATTTATTAAATCAAAATTTTTAGTCCGAGTTGATTGCAAATCTGCAAAGCATGTATTAGAAAAAGATGTTCAAAATATTGCATCCAAACAGATTTGTGCACGATGGCAAGCAATTTTAAGTATTTTTTATTTTGACATTGAATATTTGAGAGGTAGTTAGAATACTGTTCCTGATTTCCTTACTAAAGAATTTCTGCACGATAAACAATGGCTGCCAGAAAAGATAAACAAAAAGCACCAGCTAGCCAACCCCAGCCATCCCAGTCGCTCAGAATTCTTCCCGCATCCATGAACCCCATCAAACAAGAGTCGCCTTCCCAAATTGTTCCCTTCCCGGGATGTAGTCCAATCCAAGTCAGTAATAGATTTTCCAGTTTAGGGACCACAGTCGGTCAAATACGCCCAAAGTATCAGTCTGTACTAGTTTCCAGTTATGATCCTTTCCAGATTAGTACCCAAGTTGCTCAGTCACCCAGTCCCCTTCGCAAATCACCTCCTTATGTCCATAAAGACAAATCCCATCTTTTTATTATTGAACCTGTTTTTGACAATATTGCTGATCCAGTCGCTTTAGCCAAACACTATTTTCCCCCAAATTGCCACTTCATGCCCCGAAGTCCATTCTGGAATTTGGACTCATACGCAATCTAATTATAGTACTGTTAAGAAAGAAATATTATCTATAGTATCATGCATTTCAAAGTTTAAAGATGATTTATTAAATCAAAAAATTTTAGTCCGAGTTGATTGCAAATATGCAAAGCATGTATTAGAAAAAAGATGTTCAAAATATTGCATCCAAACATATTTTTGCACGATGGCAAGCAATTTTAAGTATTTTTTATTTTGACATTGAATATTTGAGAGGTAGTGAGAATACTATTCTTGATTTCGTTACTAGAGAATTTCTGCAGGATAAACAATGGCTGCGAGAAAAGATAAACAAAAAGCACTAGCTAGTCAACCCCAGCCATCCCAGTCGCTTAGAATCCTTCCCGCATCCATGAACCACGTCAAACAAGAGTCGCCTTCCCAAATTGTTCCCTTCACGGGATGTAGTCCAATCCAAGTCAGTAATAGATTTTCCAGTTTAGGGACCACAGTCGGTCAAATACGCCCAAATTATCAGTCTGCACTAGTTTCTAGTTGTGATCCTTTCCAGATCAGTACCCAAGTTGCTCAGTCGCCCAGTCCCCTTCGCAAATCATCTCCTTATGTCCATAAAGACAAATCCCATCTTTTTATTAATGAACCTGTTCTTGACAATATTGTTGATCTAGTCGCTTTAGCCAGACACTATTTAAGCCAACTTTGGCTTCAATTGTCCGCAGAATACATTTTTAGAATGTAACCCAAGTTTTCTTTCAGTTTTCAAAGTTATCCTTGAGACTCCCTCAAGCTAACTACCCTTGTAAAATATGAGTGTTTCAACTTAATAAAATCTTCCAGTCAAGATTTCTGAAAGTACAATGTACCAGAAGGGCTCATGGAGATAGTGAGGAAAGACAAATAATAAAATATGTGGAATTTATGCATGCATGAAATTAATGCATAGATCAAAATAGATATAATTGAAAACATTGTACTTACAGAAATCTTGAATGGAAGATTTTATTAAGTTGAAACACTCATATTTTACAAGGGTAATTAACTTGAGGGAGTCTCAAGGATAACTTTGAAAATTGAAAAACAAAGCTGAAGTTACATTCTAAAATGTATTCTGCGGACAACTGAAGCCAAAGTTGGCTTAAATAAGAAAATAACTAGACTATTCCATGCATTGGATGCTGAGAATCTTCCTGTAGCAGCACGAGAATTCAGCAGAGGCTTTAACTAAAACTTTTACTTTTACTTTAGTAACTTGTCGGGAATAACAACTGTTGACGCATGCGAAAGCTTTTGCTTTTATTGAGGGCTAAAACCAGGGCATGATGACTGCTTTTGACTAGTCCGAATTGAGGTCATAGGGATCTTGACTATCCACCCAAAGCATCTTTTAGGAAAGGCTCATTTGGTTCGGAGGCAACTGAGGCTGACTAGTAGATGACTGAGAATTTGGACTGGCATCATCATCATCATCTTCCATTTGAGAAGCTTGAATGATCAACTGACGGGCAATTTCTTGCAATTCTGATTTTGATCCTTCAACTTGGAGGGAAGACTGTGAAGTTCCATTGGAAGAGGATGACTTAGGTTTTGGAGGATCTGCAATTTGAGGAAAATCTCTGTAGACATATTCTGCAATTCTGTCAACTTTGAATTTATCCCACCATTTGATTGAAAATTGGCGTGAGAAGACTCTGGAATCCCAATTAACATGATAAGACCATTTTAATATCCAGGGGACTTTGTATCTGGCAATGAAAATGAGCAACTGAGGGAAGAACAATTCTGTCTTGTTGAATTTGTATTTGTGTGAAAAGTAGTTGGTCAAATTATGAATTTGGGTGGGGGAATATCAACAACTGGGCCATGTTTTTCCTACCAATGAAGAAACTAATAGGGAAAAGGACTCTTGAATTTACTATCAAAATTGATGAACCAAGAGTGACTGAAATCAACTGTTTGATGAAGGAAGATTGTGTACCATGCATCAATGTAACCAACATAGTTGTACTGGAGATTCGACTGAAGGGTTCTCATATCATAAGGGTGGCGACTGAATTCTTCTTGACTCATGATTTTGTGATATAAAGTGAATGGTAGAAAATAATATGTGGGTTTTCTTGATGTTTGATAGGCTTAATTTCAACTGATTGGGTTTCATGGAGGATATCCCTATAATATTTGAGGGATTTATATGGACTTTGGGGCATGAAGTGGCAATTTGGGGGGAAATAATGTTTGGCTAAAGTGACTGGATCAACAATATTGTCAAGAACAGGTTCAATAATAAAAAAGATGGGATTTGTCTTTATGGACATATGGAGATGATTTGCAAAGGGGACTGGGCGACTGAGCAACTTGGGTACTGATCTGGAAATGATCATAACTAGAAACTAGGGCAGACTGATAATTTGGGCGTATTTGACCGACTGTGGTCCCTAAACTGGAAAATCTATTATTGACTTGGATTGGACTACATCTCGGGAAGGGAACAATTTGGGAAGGCGACTCTTGTTTAACGGGGTTCATGGATGCAGGAAGGATTCTGAGCGATTGGGATGGCTGGGGTTGACTATCTGGTGCTTTTTATTTATCTTTTCTAGCAGCCATTGTTTATCCTACAAAAATTCGCTAGTAAGGAAATCAGGAATAGTATTCTCACTACCTCTCAAATATTCAATGTCAAAATAAAAAATATTTAAAATTTCTTGCCATCGTGCAAAAATCTGTTTGGATGCAATATTTTGAACATCTTTTTCTAATACATGCTTTGCAAATTTGCAATCAACTCGAACTAAATTTTTTTGATTTAATAAATCATCTTGAAACTTTGAAATGCATAATACTATAGATAATATTTCTTTCTTAATAGTACAATAATTAGATTGCGACTGAGTCCAAATTCCAGAATGAAAATGAATGATTTGTTTTGGATGATCTGGATCGACTCTTTGTTTGAGAATACCTCCATAACCAATTTCAGAGGCATCAGTTTCAACTATTTTGAATAAATCAACTGAAGGGATTCCAAGACAAGGGAGTGTCTTGACATGGACTTTGATTTGTTTGACAATTTCTGTATGGACTGAGGACCAACGAGGAGGATTATTCTGCAACCTGTCAAGTAGAGGCTTACATTATTTTTTTAGATTTTGATAAAAATCAGACACATAATTGAGAATCCTAAAAAACCTATGAAGCTTACTCTTATCAAGGATTTGATCTGGCAACTTATCAGCAAATTGAATGACTCTGTCAATTGGACTAATTTGAGACTGACAAATATTGAAACCGAGAAAATGAATATTAGTTTGGAATAACTTAATTTTCTTAGCAGAGACAATTAGACCATTTTGTTTGACTATTTGGAGAAACTTATTTAAATGCTTCCAATGCTGTTCAATCGATTGGGAAAAGATTTATATATATATATATATATAAATAGATATAAAAAAACAAACAAACCCATCACTGTACCCACCCCATCTCTCTCTCTCTCTCTCTCTCTCTCTCTCTCTCTCTCTCTCTCTCTCTCTCTCCCCCCCTTTTCTTTTCTCCCTGCCTCAAAATACCAAGAAAAAAAAACCCATATCGAGAATTTTAAAACCAAAAACTCAATCCGAACCTAAATCAAGAGAGGTTTGAGTTCATGGTCCTTTGCTCTATGTATGTGAGTGGGATTGTAAGAATGGATTTTATTATGGTGGGAAGCTGGGGGTTTGATTTTCTTTGGCTAGACATGACGGAGTGGGGAAGCTGGGGTAAATAATGTAAATGAGCAGTTTCTAGTCAAAACATGAAATAAACGGAAACAACAGTGCACTTTATGAGAAAACATAATCTTCAAATTTGAATAGAAACCAAAAGAAAGACATGTTCAAAGTACTACAATCTACAACTAATTTCAAAAACACATTTAACTCCATGAGCAGTTGTAACATTGCTATACACTTCCAATGAAGTTTATGAAACCAGTAACTGCAATGCAATTTCTGCTAAAACTGAAACAAACAGATGGATTTTATGACAGAAAATCTAAACAAATTCATGTCAATCAGCATTTGTAACATTGCCACACTTCCCATGCAGTTTATGAAACTAGAAACTGCAATGCAATTTCTGCTAAAAAACTGAAACAGACAGATGCAGTCTTGGAAAATAAAAAAAAACTTCGAATAGAAACCAAAAGGAAACTAAGATAAAGGTACTAAAACTAAATTCCAAAACCATATAAGTTGATATAAATGAAAACAGGTTTCAAAATACTCATACCTCAAGACCTAGGACTGTCAAAAGTCTCCACAACCAAACAACAGCTCAAAATTAAATCTGAACACAAACGAAGAAGATAGCGTTTAGCATTGAAATCCACAAGATTGTGCCACAAAATCGTGCAACAAAACTGAGCTCGAAATACCCGAACTAAGGAGAACATAAATCACCCAAAACTAACCCTCATTCCGCATGCAAATCGAATGAAAAAGTAGCAGAAAAAAGAAAAAAGAGAACCAAATAAAAATGAACGAAAGCCTACCAGCAAATTGAAGCTCCAATGGCAGAAGAAGAACCAGAGCTCCAAAACCTCAAAGCTGAAGGAAAACGAAAGAGAAACCAAGGCCAAATCATGCGTAGTTTAAATAGCCGGGGTAATTGAGTCAATTAGTTTGATTGGGTTAAAGATAGGCTAGGCTTTTTAAGAAGAATGGTGGAATTGTCTTTTCAGTTTTTATTTTTAAGTTGGCTCAACGAATTTGGGCCTCCTCTTTGGTATAATCTAAAATAGAAATAATTTATTAGGTATTAAAACCCAAACCAAAATACCTAGAGTAATTTTTGAGTGTTCCGGGTACACCATGTGGCTGGTGTACCAATCAATAGACGGAAGACATATGGAATATTTGCAATGCAGCCCGCCACATGTTATAAAAAGAAATGCAATAAGTTGTTACCAAAAAAAAAAAAGCAATAAGTTAGACAATAATTCAACATGTCCTATGTTTATTGGATGGTACACCAGCCACGTGGTGTACCTAGAACATATAAAAATTTCTCAAATAGCCAATGTCTCACATACTAATTAGTAAAGTTAATTATGTATAATACCTAATTTTTCTTTGATTTAAACCTAAAGTTTCTAAATATTTAGATGATAATTTTCATTAAAAAATAATTAGGTGATAACGAAAGAAAGGCGGATTCTGGAAAAAATGAAAAAAAGAAAAAAAAAGAAAGGCAGAGTGTTTGTTTAGTATGTTTTGAATTAAAGCGAAGACATTTTGGATGATTGATTAATGGGGTTCGAGGTACATTTGAAGCCTATCTTCGGCCACCCCAAGGTCGAGTGGGCTGCGGGTAACGCTTCTACTCCGCCACGTCGGTTCTTGTTCCACGTCCATGCCTCCCCTGATTATCTGCACCTCAGAATCCATGTCACTGATTTCCACTGCGACACCTGGGAGGCCGTACGATCGGTTTCCCAGCTTGACGACATGGTTTGCCTCTGACCCTTTTCTTCCTCATATTTCGATTTTAGAGGCACCCAAATATTTATTTATTCATTTTGTTTAAATCTTCGCATGTAACATAGTTAATGGTTAAGAAATAATGCTTAGTTAGGGACAGGCTGAATTATTATCCAGTTCGGGAAATATAGTTAAATGTTCTGTTTTGTGGTTAAAGTTCAGCTTTTTACTGGAGTTGCTGATGGATTGTAATGGTTGGAAGTAACTATAATGATTGAAACCTCCATCAACCTTTTATTTATTTATTTATTTGTGGGTTTTTTGGATTAAGTTGCTCTAATCTCATGTACAGAGGGACAGCATAGGTATAGGAGGCTCCTGGTCAGACTTCATAGACTATCTTATAGCTTCTGTAAAATCCGAAGATGTAAAGCTTGTTTTGGAGGGACATTCAAACTCCGACGGTAGGCATTAGCCTTCTCTTTTTTTTTCCTTCCTGTTTTTTCCTTTTAACAATGCATGATGGATGCAATACTGTAGGCATTAGCCTTCCTAAACCCTGTTTTTGTAATAGTGTATAACTTCTTGACAGTGGTTTGGTCGTGGCAAGAATAAGTACAAGAAAGTATTGATGTCAATCGTTTAGATCACATGGACAGTGTGAATTCTGTGCTAACCCTTTAACAGAAAGTGTTACACAAACGCATTCTTGTATCTACATCACTGTGTAGATGGAGAAACTTTGATAAGGGGAATATGCTCATTGCTTACATCATCCGTGCTATGTGTCTTACAGGTGCTGCATATGCAAAACTAGTGGCTCAAAAATCAAAAGGAATGCCTGTAATTTCCATTTCTCTTACAAAACTTGTGGGGACTGCTGGTAGTGAGGCTATTGCAAATCTATCTCTTCAGCTCTTCGAAGAATTCAAAAGCATCCATGAGTTTTATGTGGAAGGTTGTCTTCTCATTTCCATGCAGCAATGTGTGTTTGTTATCTATAAGCCTGTATTCTGATTTCCTTTCAGCAATATGTGTGTGGGCATGTGTTGTGTTTTTTCTGAATTCCCTTTTTCAAAATTGGAGGTGAAAAGCGGGAAGGGGAAGGTTAGGGTTGATAAGTTGTTCATTGATGAAATGTCGACAAGTAAAAATCAAATGTCAATAAGTAAAGAATTTCAATTGAAGATGCAGAAATTAAGTTTTTCACTACTTCACTAAATATGTTTATACCTATGTGTCTGTCAGTGCATCTGCACGAGTTGCCTTAGTTCTATATTTGTTGCATCACATTTGTTTTTTAGCCACGATTCCGGATCTTAAAGCCCTTCTTTGTCCATTACTGCTTGATGTGTGTACTTGGCACACATCAGAAATGTTTTGTGCTGGAATTGACTGTTACTACTTTCTCATTGTGCCCCAGAAAAACAGCGCTCTATTGAATTGTCAAAAGCGATATCAGCTGAAAAGGTATGTCTACCTGTTGTGCACTGTAATACTTTATGGGTATTCACACCATGCTCCCACAACACAAAGACATGGCAACATGTCAATTTTTTCTTCTGCCATACTCAATTTTATGTCTACATGTTCACATTTGAAAGAATATTTGAGATGCATTCTCACACATGTACAAACATATCATATATCATCATTAATTCTTTGCAGTACTCAATTTTCATCTACTTTTGGCATATCATTGGTGTGACTTTTGTGTTGTATGAAAGTGGTATTAGAAGTCTGGTATGTGCAATTGGGTTCGACCACTGATTTCAAAATGCAGCAATACTAGTGTTTTGTTCAAGTCATAGACAACATAAGTCGATGCAAGGGAAACACATTGATGCCAAGACCTCCATCCACTTTATATTCATATACGTTCAATATTTAGTGGGACAATGAATAAACCCATACTCAGTTCCAATTCAGTTGTTATTTGGCTTACTGAGAAAGTTGCACATTAAATGTGAACGGGCCCAATGGCCACAAAGAGACTGGTTTCAGACCAATTGGTGGTGATCTGAACCTTATGTGATACTATAATTAAATCTTTACTATCAGCAATTTGATATCAGAATAGGTTATGTGACTCGATTCACTAATACAATTCAGATAATAATAATAATTGAACTATGAAATTCTCTGGTTTGACATTATATCTTAAGGTCTGTTCCTCTTCTTCAAGTTATAGTTTAGATTATGGAGACCGAGCTGCTGCTGTAGAAACCAGGCCAATAATAATAAAAAAGTTCATTTTACAAGTGGGAGTTTGTGGATTTGTTGTTACTTTGCTTAGCATTAATTTTAAATAGTAGTGCAGGATTTTGTTCACCAGTAATGTGTTATTTCTCCGGAGTTATTGATTATTTGAAATTTTTGGCAGGCATATTATAGATCTGTTAGCATTTTTGTCCACTAATTTATCTTTAAATTATCATCAGGCCATTCCTTACTAAACTTTGTTCTTTTTTTTATGTTAGGAAAGAAATGCTAGTATCCAGAGCCAACTGGAGCAGTATTCCAAGAGGCAAAAGTTACAAAGGATTAGTTCCTCAGATAAAGTAGATGTTTCTGGACTATTCAGTAATGGTTTGAAAAGCTCTCCAGGTAATTCTTTCTGCCTGAAGTGTGTACCATTTTGGTAAAGTGATAAGTTCTGTATTTTCAAACAGAAGATTGCCATGTGTGTGTGTGCACTTTGTTATTAGTAAGAAAAATTACAAGTAAAACTAAATTGTGGATCATGTTTCTGGAACTTGATAGGTATGTTGGGTTAACTTTTAAAAATCTTCTATCATGGAAAATCTCTTTTGTTGAGTGCATCTCCATTTTGCCAGCTATATACATGTCCTCTTTTGGGTGTTTGTTGAACTTCTAATTGTCAGAAAATAATTTATCCACATGCCTTCGCTGCTAATATTCATTCATTCTCCCCAGCAGCAATTGACTTGATAGCACATGTAAGGCAGAGGACCTTTTTTTAAAGGTCTCTTTTTGCATGTTGTTGCACGGTTGATCACTCTCCAAGGAGCGATCAGTTTAGAATTGTTTATGTGTTCAATCAAAGTGTGAAAATAAGCCTCTTCACTCTCAAAGGGTAATTCAAAAGCTCAGCTGCATTTGTGTATGTTATTCATAGTGCATGGTAATTTTGGGATTTAGTCGATTTCTTATCCTTGTGAGCGAAATACTGTTCAGGTATCAATATTCAATAGAGCTCCTCCAAATGTCAACTTTTCATCTTGCATCATATCTTTCTATTGAGCTATTGATATTTGATTTGATTGTCTTTCATTGTTTCCTCAGCATTTTCAGATTCCCTACTTACAGATTGACTTTCTTGTTACCTGCCAATAATTGGAATTCTTCACATATCAATTTTATTATTATCAAGTGTCAACTGAATATTTATTTGCCAAAACTGCAGATAAAGAAGCAGCTCGAGATATAAACTCAACAGCAGTTGCCAATCGGGTTGTGCCTGCATATCGTAGGTAAGTTGGCCTCTCGAACACTGTTTACTACATGCATCCATTATCTGGGTATTCACACCGTTAAATACCGTATTACATATGTTCTCCTTACATAAATAACTGTCTATATTCTTTGGCAGGGCAAAAGTAAGAGGTGCCCTTCTGCAGGATACAGAAGAGGAACACAAGTGAAAGCTGGGGTGTCTGACAATTTGGTGTGCACCCTGTTGTGTGAATTAATTATAATTTTTTTTTCCCCTGTTTCTGGTACAAAAGTTAGATTTAGGTTTCTGTTTTTCATCCTTTAGACCAGGCTGTAGGACAATCAGGGAAAAAAACCAGTTTTATGCCTCTTTTTATTGCCATGATAAATATTTGAAGCTCTCGTTTTCCGCAAGTGCTTGCAATTTTGTACCAGTGCTAATCTAGAAGACCTTTTACTTTGTAGTAGGAAAGCTTTTAAGATAATTAGAGGTTGGCTATTGATTGAATTTATGAGCATTTAAATGGCCAGCCTCTTTCCATCGCAATGCTCCAATTGCAACCGAGAGACTATATATACCAGGAGATCATTAGAAGCTTATTGGATTGGATTCTGGTTTGTATTTTCTGACCCAGTTGATTGAATCTTGCTCATCCTCCTAACCCAAGCTACTTCCTAAGGTAGTTTAGTAGATAGATTATAGGGCTCCCAATGCCGTTGTGTTTGGATGGAGAAATAAATTTGAAATTTGAACATAAATTAGAATTTCTGAATTGGCATATCCTATTCCCTTTATTTGGGTTTATAAAGAAAGAGATTTAGAAATTCAATGTGGAAAAGAAAACACATAGAAGTCGGGAGTCGAAACTCGATTTTAAATTTCATCTCATTAAGGTGTCATCTCTAAAATTCAGGATACAGCCTATGTAATGCCTCTCTACCACCACCACCTTAGATACCACATCCTTACTGCAGCCATCACCACCACACCTCAACCACCACCATCACTCGTTTATCGGCCGATCATCACTCATTTATCGATCGATGTTTTTATAGTTAGTTTAAATTATGTATTTAAATCCCACTGTAACAAGGAACATTACAAATTCCCATCATTTTAAATACTCTCGATTTTTGATAGTTGAATTGTTTCTAGTAAAGGTTGTGTTTGGCGTCATTCAATTTTGTTGGGATTTTGAATCACGTATCATTTTATTAGCCAACTAGCAGTTTCTTTTAAAAATTGTGTCTAAATTGAACAAGCCTCATTTTCTTTAGGGCATACATACATATGATCGATATACATATACAGATAAACAAATTGGCAATATTTTCCTTTTACAATAAGCATCCCTATTGTCTCTTGGTTTTGCTTTTCTTGCTGTGGAAGAAGAACCAGCACCCAGGTAAGGTATTGCTCTCATCAGAAAACCTGCATATTCAACAAAACAAAATCAATTTGTGTTTCTTATCAACAACAAAATAATAAATAAATAAAATTTCAATTACATACCTAGTTCTGCTGCTGCAGCTGCTGTTGTTTCCCTGATTGTTTTTATTTACTCCTGCAAGGAAAAATGTCCTTATCTTACACCAATCTTTATGGTTGTCCTTTAATGATAATGAAGGGCTTGGGGTAACTTTTGAGGAGCGATTCCCAGGTGACTTTGGTTTCTTCTTTGAACCTAGAAAAGTTGGAAAGAACATCTTAATTAGGAAAGTTTCACATTCCATGCTTGAACAAGTCCTTGATATTTCGTAGCTGCTTTTCTTCTTCACGTTACTCTTTTGCTTCCTGATTTGGACTTCTTCACTGCAAAAGCTGAAACTTGTCTCTTTGGCATCAGTTTCTTCTTCTCTAACCCCCTGAGCACCTTGTTGCTCATCATCAACAATATCTTTTAGAGAAAGTTCGTAACATGACTCGGGCATGTCTTGGATCATTTCCATCATCTCCCTCCTACTTTGAACAATTTCTGCTTGTCTTTGTGACAACGTCGTCATTGTACAAGGATTACTATAGTGGTGGTTGTTGGGGAGCAAAGAAGAAGACTCATCTTCGATGTTCCATCTCAACAACGTGTTCGTTTCCCAGAAATCAAAGTCTTTTTCTTCTGCACTACCGGGACGACTGCTACGGACATGGCAGCTTGGAGAGAGATGATTCCTAGGAAAGTTTTGACACTGGTGAAGATCAAGCATGGTAGTATATGAAACGAAGAAAGAGAATATGTAGGTGCTGAAACGTTAAGCAATAATTTTTTGTTTTTTTTTTTGGAGTGTGGGAGCTACAAGTAGTATGGCTATGCTGGCTGCTGCTGCTGCAAATTATAATATCATATCATATCATCACTGCACTGATTTGGTCAATGACATTTTCTCCGGAGTTCAATTTAATTATAGGGAGGGAGAACTAAAGTCATTGCCGTCTAAGATGGGAAGGTCAATTAAACAGTCCAAATTTTCCAATTTTCCACCACTTGTCTAGCTCCAAGTTTTTCTTCTAGACAAAATTTGATGACTTTTATAAGTCCTTATTTTTTTTCTTAGCTTCTCTGTCCTGACTTTACTACAATAATTTCTCTCTCCACCATAAAAATAGTCTTGTCTATTACAGCAAATAGTACTTCTTATTTGCATCTTTAGTACGAATTCATGCTTAACGAGAACACAATTCAATGGTTATTGTGATTACTAGTAGAAAAAGACAACGGTAACAACCGCAATCACACCAACTACGAATTTGTAACTTAGAAAAATCTGAACTTATAACATGGAAAAATCCGAACTTAGGGTGTGGATAAGTTCATTGAGTTATAGAAAAATGAATGGTCCAAGTCCTAAAAGCTTAGATGGTCATTCAAAACCATTTAAGCTGATTTAGGACTTGTTGCATGCCAGCATGGTGAGAGCGATCCAGATGTCAAAATAAATTTCCTTGGAAAAATTGAGTATCTGATGTTGAATGATGTTCTAGCAGTCAGTGTCAAAGCTCCGTAGTCCAACATTTTGATAGGACTTTGGTTTGCAACTTGACTTATAATTGGGACATTTTGATGTTGAATGATATCCTTTGATCACGGGTTCTAGACCTCTGACAATTATTGTGGCCAAAAAGATTTTGTTGTGTGATTTGCTTGGAATGAGCTGCGTAAAAATTCAATCAAAAAGCAAAGAAATCATTCAACACAAGTTGATCAGCATGAACACAATCCTTTACTTTAAACTTTTAAAGTTTTAAATGAGCATCTTTCGTTGAGTTTTTTTTTTTTTTTTTTTTTTTTTTTTTTTTTTTTTTTTTCCTCCAATCATCAACAAAACAATAATTAAACTCAACTCTCAAAGAAAACCATGACAAATTCATGAAATGGGATGAAACATACTAAGACTTCACATGGTCCCTGATAAATTGCTCCACCTCAGATATTTCACCAGTTACACCAGAAGCTTCTGCAACTTTAACTTTGTTCTGGCATTGGGAAAAAGAAAATGGTTCGCCAGGCACTCCAAGTGTAAAGTCGTTTGCAATATCAGCTGTTGATATCACACTTCTTGATGCACGCAATTTGTCACTATAAGATATTATATGACAAATACATGAGGATAATGAAATAGATACATAAATCAGAAACTTATATCACAGAGCACTCTCGACAAATGAACAATTAAAGAAACAAGGAAAAACAAAAACAAAACAGAATTGAATAAATTGAAAAATTTGTCTTGAATGTATCATGGATGAAAAATACGAAATCACAGCAAAACTGTTTAACTGTAAGAACTATATTTATGGAAATAACGAAAATAAAGGATATTTCTTATACAAATAAAAATAAAGAACAAAGATATAGGATATAATTTTCGAGTGCATATAACGAACAATTAATATAATCCCATACACAACCACTGAAAGGCTTGGAGTAGAACAATATAATCAATCGGATAAAAGACACCCACAGTAAACAAAACTCAAATCTTACATTTCTTTCTCCAATTGTTTTCGAATAAATTCCTTGCTATGTGCTGTCACTTTGTCTGTCTTGTTGCAGAGAATAAGAACTGGAATTTTCTTCCTCACCACACTCACCTTAGTCAAAATATCATACAGGTACCTGTTGCAAATAAAGTGCCATAGGTCAGCCATTATATAAGTGAAAATCTTATGTCGCATGCAAAGCATGCATCTATATTCTTAAACCCCATATTTAGGGTCCTCCATTCATTACTAGCAATTTTACGCACTCTATTGCCTTGGACCAATAGGACTGGCACCCTTTACCACCAAGTGGTAAAATGGATGTAAGCATATGGCAAGCAGAATAGTCATTTTTAAATAAATATCATATATGTAGCTTTATACTGAAAAAAGAAATCTTACTCTGAAGCAGCACGGCAATTTGGTAAGAACTCCAAAGCATCAACCACAAATACTATACCAGCTGCTTGAGGCAGGACATCGTCTAGTTTGGCTCTAAGCCGAGAATGCCCAGGAACATCAATAAGATGAACAGGATTTTCCTTTCCATTCTGTCAGGGACAACCGAAAGAAGGGTGAGCAAAATCAAGTTCCAGAAGGACAATCAACAAAATCAATAGTAGAAAGAAAGGGAAGAATATGTTTGTGGCTAATGTCTTCTGCACATTGAAGGCAAATTGATAAGTTAGATCTGCCCTCATTACAAGCAATATATAATAAAACATGGTTTATTCGCATATGAGCACGAGAAGCTGAAATGTACCTTCAATTTTTCAGAATGGAGCACAAAAGTTCCCTCATTTGGTTCCATTGATGTCACAGTACCATGATGAGAAGAGCCATCCCGCAGCTGGCACGTGCATAAAATCATGCCACAAAAGTTGGATCAACACTGCTATGACATAAATAGATCATCAAAGAAACTGAAAACGGGGGAAAAAGGACATACTTAATACAAGGCATTTAGAATTTTTAACCAAAATTTATTTCCCAAGTACTAAACAGTATCTTATCACAAAGAATGACAGAGTTTCAAATTTTATCAAAAGGAAAAGGATACAACATAAACAAAGGACAAACTCAATATTCAAAATAACATGATATTGTCTAACAAAGTTGAGTAATAAGACGAAACCTGAGATTCTTATTGCAAAACCAGTGTTTTCAGAAGTGAAGGTATGACAGGGCACTTATGTCTCGTCAGGCAAGAATTAAGCCTTGAGTCACATAAGCCTTTCAGGCCTCGAATTAACGTAAAAAATCAAAATACATATTGTCATTCAAGCACATGGTCAGTCGAAGGGTAATATTTCAGGTGGAACAGGCTTCTGCCTCTTATTTGGATGGTTTATTCCCTTTTCCAAATACCCCAGCCAAAGGATGTCGTCTGGGCTGGTAACACTTAAAAAAAAGGGTCTCTTCCACTTTTGCTAAAAAACAGTGAGAAGTATGCTACAATAGAAAGACGTGAGTCTTTGCAGAATTTTGTAGCTCAGATGGATGTCTGAGCCTCAAGGTGAGCCTCATGCAGGCCTTTGAAAACACTGCAAAATTAATTAGTAGAAAGCTTGCATAATTTTGAAGTTCTTAATTGGCATAATGAAAATAACCAGTCATATGGTCAAGATGTAATTTGTTTGCATTACATATCATGCACTAAGAAGCATGACGTTAGTCGAGTCCACTACACATTGAGTCTAATAACAATGTTTAAGGAGAACAAAATCCAATAATGTCAATGCTTACTTGATAGAAAAGAACAGTCTTTCCACTCCCGCTAAGCCCAGTCAGCAGTATGGTATTAGCTTTTGGGCGTTTAAACAACCTAACTACAACACAAAAGATATCAATAAATATTATCATAGTAGAATTTTTTGAGAAAGTGAGATAAAAGAGCATACCCAGTAAGAGTAAAAATGAGGTAAACAGCAAGATGGCGACAGCAGCATAAATCTGTTCAGATGGAACCTGATGAATGTATTCAAGGGCTTGAGATGACCATTGCCCTGCCAATTTCTTCAATCGTCCTGCTTGTGTCTTCAATTGTTCTAATCCTTCCATCTTCTTTTGGAATTTTAAGAAACTTTCAGTATGATTTGTGACGAATCCTGACCTCTTCACTCAAACTGAAACCCTTAGGGGAACGCCTCAAGAAGGAATGGAGCTCAAGTAGGGATAAAGTACACTAAGGGGAGACGGAAATGGGGGTGTTAGGGGCTTCTGATTAGAGAGTTGGCAATTATGGACGAAACAATATGATAGGGGTGTTTGACCAAGTAAACATGGAAAACATATCAAGATCCTAAAAAAGAGTTCCAAATCCCAAGATGTGCAATTCAAAAGACATGACTCCAACTAAAGAATGTGTACACATGATAACATAAACTATCAATCTTATGAAAACCTAGACAATTGTTTGATAAACAAAAAAATTTCAGATTCTCATTGCCTGTTTTAGTATGTGAAAGATACAGTCATAGAGAAAATTTGGCAGAAAATGTTGAAAAATAATGACTCTCAAAATTAAGCATTCTTTAAATTAATTGACAAGGATAAATGACTTTATCGATGAATCAAAGCAGCCGCACAAGTTACAGATATCTTACATTGATATAAAGAATGATGTAGGATATGGGTGAATTGGGTATTTAGGTAGTTTAGCGGAAGCGAAAACAATGGAAAACAGAAAACAGAACAAAAGGGATAGGTCTGGAATCACACCAGGGGTTTGGCTTCACACCAAGTAGTCTCCAATCTCTGGAAAATAAGCTTTTCTTTATATCTCAACAACTCAACTCCATAATGAATTACATAGACTGGGTATTTATAATAATCTAACCCTAGAGTGAAAAACAAAATTAAACTTATTCTAGGAAAGAAATCCTAATCCAAATAAAATAGGAAACTTAGAAATCCTACTGAAATCCGGAAAAACTAAAAATCCTAATGAAATCTGGAAAACTTAGAGAACCTAGGAACTAACAAATAAATTAGGAAACTAATTAATAATTCCCTCTTCCATCTCTTTCGTTTGTAAACCCTAATGGGTTTGACAAAGATGTCCTCATCAAAGAAAATACAGACATTCCCATCTAATGCAAGGACTTAATGGAACAATGACGAGTTATTACGAAAAAATTATTACACAAATAAAAATTTCTTATTAAGTCTAAGAGCAACCACAAAAAGAACAAAATCCAGCACGTCACAAATTTGTGAAATGTTCCCTTAGCCAAACTCTAACCAAATATAGGTCTAACATATATACTAAACAAAATGAAATTTAAGTTGTAGTCATTAGGACTCCATGGAGTTTCAAGAGCCACAACAAACTTGGTTTACAAGGATGTGAAGAGCAGAAGTTTCTTGGGGTTAACAAGTGACAACTTAATTAGGATGCTTTGCATGGCATCATTCAACATATTAGATTCAGTAGTATATGGTTATAAGCAGTAATAAACATAAGTGCCCCCGCTCAAATGTTTTTTGAGAAATAATATGTAATGTGTTTGTCTTATTTTACCTTAATATCCTGAAACAATAAACTAATATCCTGTGTGCTAATAAGCTAGCTGAAGTGGTAAGTACTGGCCGTAGGTGTTAGATTAAGCACTTAAACAATAGAATAAAGAAGAATATAAGAGACCAAGGAGAAGAAATATAGATTGAAAAGACGAGATAAAGGGCAGAAACAGTAGAACAAAGAAGAATATCAGAGATCGAGGAGAAGAAATATAGATCGAAGGGACGAAATCAGAGAGTTCTAGGAAAAGGTTTACTCAACATTCAAATCTACATTTTAAAGAACTACATGGGGGTATTTATAGCAAACTAAAACCTAGACATAATAGGATAAAAATCCCTTGCTTAAACAGAAATCCTAACCCAAATAAAAAAGGAAACTTAAAACTAGAAATCTGGAAATCTGGAAAAGTTGAAATCCTACTAGAATTTAGAAAACTAGAGAATCTAGGAGACTAACAAATACATTAGGAAACTAATAAATTTAGGTCCTACGTGTCCTGCATCAGATATACTAATCTATCTCACAATATATAATTCCAAAAACAAATCTTTGTTGCATAATTTTACACTATGGATACAGTAGCAGAGTTAGGCCTTTAACATTAAATAAGGTGTTTGTCTCTGTAGGTGTACACTACTATGGATACACTTTGATGAGATAGAGTGTTTGGCAGCTGGACTGTCATTGATCATGCCTATAACTAGAGTTACTTTTAGTTAATAAAGCCTAAAATTAGAGTTATTTTCAGTTAACACACAAGTGGATTTGCCAAATAGATATTCTCTCCAGCATAATCATGCATCATAAATACCATGACAGTGCTTCTCTAAAATGATTTCAGTTTATTGTATATCTACTAAAGTGCACAGACCCTAGCGAACAATGGTTCAGTCTAAAGCATCACACGATTAATTAGCTATCTTTGCAAATTCTAGTGGGCAAATTACATTATTTAATTTTATACAAATTTATAAATAAACCCAATCCTAGACATGTATTTATAAAAAAACCTAAGCACTATTTAAACATAGAAACACACCCAAAATCAACCCCAAAGTCAACTTTTTGGGTGTGTTTACAAATGGGTTTTGAGTGTGTGTAATGATGGGTTTTGGGTGTGTTTATATGTTTAAATAGTGCTTGGGTTTTTTTATAATTTCAACCCCCATTTTGGGTGTTTTAGTGAAACTCTCTTAATTTTATAGGATACAGAAAGGGTGATTATCTTGATTATCTTGATTATCCCAATTAACTATGACGACCACTTAATGGGCACAGGACAAGCTCCACAGTTAGAAATCTGAACCTACAAATTAATTCATCCTTAATCTAATCTGAAACTATAATCATATATACTAACCATGGAATTGTTCCAAAGAGGTTAATATGAACTAAGAAAATGTATTTAAATTTTTTTCACAATTCAAGAAATTGCAGAGAAAATCACATAAGAAATTTTTTTTTTTTAATAGAAACTTTATAATTTCAAAAGAGAGAAACAAAGAACCAAGCAAGTGGATAAGGAATCCACAAGAGAAAACAAAAGAAAAGCTGCAGCCTCCAGAACAAAACAATAAAGGAAACATTTATGGAAACACCAATCCAATATAAAAATAGACATCATAATATCCAATCTTCTTTATAAAAAATAATCATATTTTGATTCTCTGATGTCTGAGGGTAAGAGAGAGAGTGATCATACCTGAAAATCACAACATAGATCTGAGAGTCTGAACAGATACGGACAGAAAAATGGGGTGGGAACTTTTAAGCAAATTTTCCTCGGTCAAAATTTCGAAATAGTCAAACTTGCTTTCCAATTCCAAATTCTATTGCTTTCCAGAACTGAAATTGCATTTATAATAAAAAACTAATTAAATTGCTAATGTCACATTACCAATATCTCAATTATTTCATACTCAATTTATCTTATCTTAGCTCGGTTGTTGAGAATCATTCGGGAGTAAACTCAAACTAGGCAGTTTTCATTCGACTATTATATTTTCATTAATTTATACATGGATTCACACCCATGGGGTTCTTTTATTTTTTGGTGACCACTATTTTATTAGCAAAAACACATCAATGAAAAAATGAGCTTTTGCACTGAGAATTTATTCATGTACAGTTATACTAGTCTCTGTAGTTTTCACGTTTCAGAAGCTATTACAGTTTACAAAATACAGAGAAATAGCAGTCATTCAACTACAAAAACTTGGAAAATCATATCCGCTTCCCGTTCCTTGCTATTGAATATAAGCACAACCCACAGAAGCAAATTTTCTTCCCATGTATTTCCACCACACAAGTCTGTAATGTCATAAACCCTAAATCCCTCAAATTCTAAATCCCTAACTTAGAAAAAAAAACAGTAACAAAAGTTAAATTAAAAGAAGAAGAATAGTAAAATTGAAGAATTAAAAGAAGAAGAACTTACAGAGCCAGCAGCTGCAGAAGTGGGCACTGGCTGATGGTGAGGTCTGGCCGGCTGAGGATGGAGCGAGCGGCTGGGACGGATGTCGGAGTTTCTTTCGGGGTAAACTTTTGAGTAAAATTATTTTTAACTCCACAACTACAGGGGCATTCCATCATTAACGCATGACCATTTTGAAAGAGAGGTGATTTTCACACTCATCATTTATTCTCCTTTTACGCTTCTTATAATTGCATTTTTCTCTATTCTTTTGAGTTTTTTTATTTAAACCTCGCCCTTCTTTTTCTTCACTTTATGTTCTATGTTCACCTAAACTTCTAATTAAAATTTTCACACTTTTTTGGAAAACTCAATCATCTTCCCAAACTACTCCTAAATACACACCCAGTAGAAAAAATATAAAATAAAAGAATTTTTCTATTTAAATCTCACACTTTTCTTTGTTCACTCCAATACTTAAATCATTAAACTCTTAAGTTTTATTATTGTATAAAGACTTATTATCACAAAACGTCCCTAAGGTTTACGAAACTATCATATTGCATCCTTAATTTTTTTTTTGTCATTCGTGGTTCTCAAGGTTAGTATACATGATCACAAATGGTCCCTGCCGTTAGGTTCCGTCAAAAACTCCGTTAGTTTGCTGACGTGACATATATATATATATATATATATATATCACAAAACATCCTTAAAGCCAGACCCATACAAATGAGTCAAGAAATGATGGAATTTTGTAAAAAAAGAAATTTCAGAATTACTCCAAAAGGGAATAATCAGGAAAAATAAGTCACCCTGGTTATGCCCTACCTTCTATGTCCAAAATAGTGCCAAATTAGAAAGAGGAGCTCCCAGATTAGTCATCAATTACAAACCCCTCAATGCTATTCTTGAATGGATCAGATACCCCATTCCCAATAAAAGAGATCTCATTAAAAGAATAGGAAATTCAGTCATCTTCTCTAAGTTCGATATGAAAAGTGGATTTTGCCAAGTTCAAATCAAAGAGAGTGATAGATACAAAACTGCATTTGTCACCCCCTTTGGTCATTATGAATGGAATGTCATGACCTTTGGTCTAAAAAATGCGCCTAGTGAATTCCAGAATATAATGAATGAAATATTCAACCCTTTCAGTGATTTTTCCATAGTTTATATTGATGATGTCCTTATTTTCTCTCAGTCAAGAGAACAACATTGGAAGCATTTACATAAGTTTCTCCATGTAGTCAAATACAATGGTCTAGTCGTTTCTGGAAAAAAAGATTAAACTATTCCAAACCAATATTAGATTTCTTGGATTCAACATTTGTCAGTCACAAATTAGTCCAATAGATTGAGTCGTTCAATTTGCTAGTAAATTCCATATCAAATCCTTGATAAAAGTCAGCTTCAAAGCTTCCTAGGATCTCTCAACTATGTTTCTGACTTCTATCATAATCTAAGAACCCAATATAAGCCCTTGTTCGATAGGCTACAAAGTAACCCTCCTCCTTGGACTCCTAATCACACCGATATTGTCAAACAAATCAAAATCCATGTCCAAACCCTTCCTTGTCTTGGCATTCCCTCAGTCAACTCCTTTAAAATCGTCGAAACAGACGCCTCTGAAATTGGTTATGGAGCCATCCTCAAACAAAAAGCATCTCCAGATCAACCAAAATAACTTGTTCGTTCCCATTCTGGCATCTGGACTCAGTCACAAAGTAATTATAGTACTATAAAAAAGAAATTTTATCTATTTTATTATACTTCTCAAAATTTCAAGACGATTTACTAAATCAAAAGTTTTTAGTAAGAGTTGATTGTAAAAGTGAAAAACACGTTTTAGAAAAAGATGTCCAAAATATTGCATCAAAATAGATTTTTGCATGATGGCAAACAATTTTGAGTGTTTTTTATTTTGATATTGAATATTTGAGAGGAAGTGAGAATAGCATTCTCGACTTTCTCACCCGAGAATTCTTACAGGGAAAACAATGGCCGAAAAAAAGATCAGACAAGCAAAAGGAGCAAGTCAACCAACTAGTCAGAACCCTCCCAACATCCATGAATCCAGTTAAATCCGAAATTGTCCCTTTTCCTGGATATTCTCCAATCCAGATTAATAACAGATTTACCAGTCTTGGTTCCACAGTCAGTCATATCCTTCCTAATTATCAGTCAGCCATGGTATCCAGTTATGATCCATTTCAAGTCTCAACCCCACCGGCAACCCAGTCAGCCATAAGCCACAGAAAATCCTCCCCCTACGTCCCAAAGTTCACTAACAAACTCTTCGTCATTGAGTCATGTTACAATAATCTCTCTAGTCCCGCAAAAATTGCAAAAGCTTATTTCCCTCCTAATTTCCACTTCATCCCTCAGCACCGGTCAAAATCACTCAAATACTATCAAAACCCAAACCCTTGAAATCCGCCCTATCAAAGATAGAAATAATCCAGAAGTCATCCTCTACCACTCTATGTACATCCACAAGATCATTAGTGAACCTGAATGGGGCAACCACCCTTATTCACTCAAAACCCTTAAATCAACCCTTCAGTATAGTTATTACGATTATATCAAAGCCTAAGATGTCATCTTCCTTCATCAAACCGAAGATTTTAGTCATTCCTGGTTTGTAAATTTTGACAATAAATTCTGAAGCCTCTTTTCACTTTGGTTTCTTTCCTGGTGGGAAAAACACGGCCCAGTCATGGATATTCTTCCCGTAGACCTCCATAATTCAGTCGCTTATTTTTCCACAAAATACAAATTCAGAAATGAAGATACTTTCTTCTCAAGTCTTTTAATTTTTGTTGCAAAATACAAAGTTCCTTGGATCCTTAAGTGGTCTTATCAAGTCAATTGGGAGCCAAGAATGCTTTCCAGGCAAATCTCAGTAAAATGGTGGGATAAGTTTAAGTCAGAAAGAATTATTGATCAAGTCAACATAGAGTTTCCCCCAGTCAAAGTCTCTTAGAAGCCTTCCACCTCAGGCACCTCTCACTTTTCCCTCCCAATCGAAGGAAGATCGAAATCAGAAGTCAAAGAATTAGCTCGACAGTTAATGACTCAAGCCTCTCAAATGGATGATGATGAAGATGCCTCTCCTCGGTCTCCTTCATCTCAGGCCTCATCTTCCAGTCAAAAGGAGTCAACTCAAAAATTCAGATGGGCAAATTACCCAAACAGTCAAGATCCATATGACCTCCAGTTAAAAGACAGAAAAGGGAAAGCAAAAGTAAAGACAAGATAAGAGCAAGAATAATATTCTGAAGCTCCAGTTAAAGTCAAAAGCAAATAGCCCGCGCCTCTACAGTTAAAGCAAAAACAAAAGCAAAAGACCCGTGCTTCAACAGTCATTCTTCCAAGCATCCAATGTTGCCGACACTTCTGTAGTTCGGCTCTTTAAATAGAGGCTTTGGCCTCAGTTGTAAGCAAAATGTAATTTTAGTTTTCTATGTTTCGAAGTTTTCTCTGAAACCCTTTGAAAGAAAACTTTACTTGTAAGATATGAGTGCTATGCAATAAAATCTCAGATTTTCTGTAAGTCTACAATTCATATTTTCTTTGATTCACACATTGTTATTTTCATATGCATTAATTTTAATTTTCTTTTCAATTTTCATAATACGTATTGTTATTTTAAATCATAAATCTCAAGATTTTCTGTAAGTCTGCAATTCATATATTTTCTTTGATTCATGCATTGTTATTTTCATAAGCATTAATTTTCATTTTCATTTTCATTTTCATAATAACAATATATATCCCCACTTCCCACTCAACATGCAAACCTTTATACATAATAATGATAACGACAATAATAGTAATAATAATAGTAATAACCATCATAATATTGAATATATATTCTTTGAAATGCACATGTCACACTATAAACACCGAAACCAATCCGAAAACTCATTAACTTGATTCAACCATGTATAATCCTTCAAACCGTTCTCAAACTAAAATATGAATATGCACAGTAGACCATTTAGAAATTTGGTATTCATAATTCAAAGAATAAAGAAATGGATGTACATAATTCATCACTTTCATAAAAGCAATACAACAAATAATCAAATGCGAAACTAGAGAATAAAATAATAAACAAATCAATTCTTAATAACCCATTACTGTAATCCCTCGTCCTAAGCCATTATAAACCTTTCTTTTATTCATTCGTGAAACAGTTCACACTTATCAAACTAGCCATCAATTTTAAACATACATACACATTTAAAATCATCCCAAGCCATAATTGAAAATTAGTATGTAAAAACATCTTACTTGGAAATAAAATTGACAAATACATTGTCAGTAAATTTTTAATAAATTCAAAAGCATAAAAGCCAATTTTTGGAACAAAAGTCCATTCACCAATATAACTTACTATAAGGCAACAACCAAGCCGACATGGCCCACTGTCTAAGTCCACTGGGCTCGCAAGGCCCAAGACCTCAAATTGTTATCTGATAAATCCTATTGGCCCATAACAATAAGTTCAACTCAAATTAGAAATTTCGTCATGATATGACGGTTGGTTTGACCTCGATTGCGGAAATTGGTCAATTAGGCCCGCAAGGCCCACTACCTCCGATTTCTGATCCGAAGGTTTCTATAGGTCCAACAAAGTCTACAACCCAAGCCCCGAAGGTTTGGTCTCGATCGAGGGGTCGGATCACTCTTGATCAGATGGTTTCCAATTCATCTAAACCAAGAATCATTGATTTGTAGTATCCACGACTCCGACTCTCAGTCCACAAATTCCTACAAGTTCCTAGAAATACGAGGAACGACATATTTGAAAATGAGACCAATCGAACAGTCTGAACCTATGGAACCCAGATATCGCCTAATATGTGACGTTTCGTTCGATAGTCGAACAATAACCTATCACTAATCCGAGCATACCGTCATACTCCGAATGACATGGGGATTATTTAAGAACCTTAAGAGCAGCCACAATGGGTACCACGTGCCCCCACACTCACCAGTAGCGCGTGGGTGTCTTGAGTAATTTCCAATGATCGGAAAACTCCAAATCACTGGCCAAAACATGTACCTACAAAACCACCACAACTATGGGAGTCACTTTTGGTCTCGGACCTCGGCCAAAAAGTGGCTGAAGCTAGCAGGAAAACACCTCAATAGTCGGCTCAAAACCTAGGATTTAGATTCAGTTCAAAACTTTCAAATCGACCCAAACCACCTACCAAAACAACTAGAGGACGTTAAGGAGATGAACCATACCTTGGTCGAAGGAAATTGTTGCCAAAAACGACGATAGAAAAACTACGATATTTCTCCTCATTCCAGTCATTAAATGGTGCAAAATCGATCGGAGAAAACTAGTGGGCTAGGTAGAGGAGGAAGAGAGGAGGAATTTGGAGGGGATTTCACCGAAATCGATGGCCGGATGGCGACGAAATCCGCCGAAGAAGATGAAAGTACTGTAGCAACAAGCTGATTCAAAAAGGAGTGAATAGTGCTGTTAACGAATCTGATATGGTTTTAAGTTAGGACTTCGTAAAAAAATTACGATTGTGCCACTGCATTTCCGTATACCATAACTTCTTCGTTTTAACTCCAAAATTGAGCCCACTATGTGTCTACAAACTCGTGAGAGCGAGCTCTACGTAATGTGGCACTCAATTCCTCAAAATCATTTTGAAACAAAAGTGACTAAAGTGACCCTACCCTAAGGGCAAAATTGTAACTTCACAATTAAATAAATTGATTACAATGATTAAATTGGGTCGGGATGTTACAAGGGCAAGCATGCTTTTTGTATGATTGATTGCTTGTATAGTAAGATGAGTCAACCTCTAAGGAGTACTTTTCTAGTTTTATTGACTGGCACTATCAAATTATTAATGGCAAGTATATAAGAGAATTATACGCAAAAGCACAATTAAAAGTGCACAAAGTTAGAAGGGGAGGGGTTTTCTCGCACATTGCAAGGTGTCATAGGGTTTGAACCTCAGGTCGGATGAAAATAAAACTACTGTGACAAAACATCTAATAGTAAGGGATCAATATACATCAAGATGCACATCAAATGAACTAATAAGCTCTTTCCAATTGTCAATGCGATCTGGATATGGACTATACCAATCAAATGCTTGGATGTTGGAAATATCGAGCCAACGATTGATAACAGGTAGCATAGGATGGTGTGATTGCAACTGTAGCTATCAAAATAAAATAAAGTTGTCAAATGTATGGTTAAAACAACAAACAAATTTCATGAGGTAAAACTCCTAGCTATAAATTGTCACTCCCCGATTCGAAAATAAAGAATATTCCCGAATCAGGGTGTGAGTCATACCATAGTCATAAGAATAAAATCCTACAACCATGATATGATGAGAAAAAGAGCCACAATAAACACAAATTTACTTAACAACACAGAATCAGAGTCACAGTAGCTCGTAGTTAAATATACACTAAGATCTTTATCAAACGATTGACTACTTACAAAAGTTAATTACACAAATCAACAACAAAACCTAGTAGCCCGGTTGAAACCCATTTCCTCAAATTTCACCTTGAATCCTGTACAATCTATTAGGGTATGAGCATTCTAATGCCCAGTAGAGTCCCGTCAAACCCCTCAAGGTCAACTATCACAATTAATCAAAGTGTCATGCATCAACCAACACAAGATATAGAAATTATGCAACCATACCAGATAAATAAATTTGCATATGTGGTGGTGCCAGAACTCACTCCCTTATAATCCCACTAACTCATACCTTAGGGCAACAAGCCTGCATGTCCCATACCATGCGTTTTACAACTGTGGCTTCGAATACCCTAAAATTTGAACTAGCACCTGTCCGTCCCTTAACCCAGTTTTCTTTTGTTTACGCATTTCTCAACTTTCACTTTTTCATTAGAGGCCCTGCTCCCATCACCTCAAATTTCTCAACTTTCACTTTTCATTAGAGGCCCTGCTCCCATCACCTCACTTTTCGTTAGAGGCCCTACTCCCATCACCTCATTATATTCAAGCTCTGCTCCCGTCATTTGAATATATTTTACTTTTTTTATTTACTCTGCTATATATAAAACGACACACACACACACACACCTCAAACAGCATTGTCTTTATGATGCATATGTAATGTAGAGCAAACATAATTCATCTGTGTGGAATAATAATACCCAAAAAAAATAACAATAATATTTCAAGCTTCATCACATGAATAATAATATTCATCGAGCAAAGCAACAATAATATTCATATATATATATATATAATCACCAAGATTAAAAGTGATATAGCCCAATCATTGGGAATCAAGAAACCCTACCTCAGGTCCAGCTAGCTTAACCTTGTGCAGGTTCGTCCTTGAAAGTACGTAGACCTAAAGCCCCAAAAATAAAACACTTGACAAGTTGTTCGACCCGATCATTACTCCCTTAACCACACGTTCAAACAAGCATTAGAACCAAGCGTGAAGGAAAAACCAATCTATTCCCCTGCTATAATCGTTCTACATTTTGGGATGTTTAAATTAAGGTGGTTCGGCTCTAGACTCATAAAGAAAATTTAAAACATCAATTTAAAACAAAAACTTCAGTTTTGCTAAACATTTAGGTTGGAACACGTTAACTTTGAAAGTTCACTAAATATTGAGTTTAAATCAAAATAATGTAAAAATTTTCAGATTACAACTAGACATAGAAAAATTAAAAATGTCGAAATTTGATGGAAATTAGGGTTAAGGAAGCATGTCAAAATAGAAACCAAAACAGACTAGGCTGCAAAATGTTCTTTTTTTTTTCTTCGGGTTTGTACACTGTATTTTGAAAACTCACGAAAATTTCAATTTATAACCAAAATGGATAAAACTTTCTAGATTTGAAGAAACTACGTGAAAGTAAAACATATTGAAATTTCATGAAAATCAAAGTTTATGAATTTTTCAAACACGTATTCAAAACATGGCATGTGGTAGAATCATAACAATTCCAACAACATAGTCTCTACTTTGAAATTTCACAAAAAACTCAATTTAAATTCAAATGGCACAAATCCAACTTTGAAATAACCTTTGAGATATCAATTTTGATGTAACAAAATCCTAGAATGAAATTGGTACAAAATCCCATCGAAATAATCTAGAAATTCACATAAACACACTTTGAAAGAGATATATGTCATTGAGGCAATCTAACCAATACTTGATTTACAACTAGTACTCAAAGAGACAATAAGAAGATGAGCTTCATACCTTCAAAGAATCATTTACTTGAGATGATAGTGGCTAATTTTATCAATTGAATGACAAGTAACAAACCATTTGAGAGAAAGTACACATCTATAACAAGAAATTCAATATAATCAAAGAACAAGTTCCACTCTAAACTTTTCCAAGGTGGCTATAGAAGTCCGATCAATCTAAATTTTTGCTATGTTATAGTAGACAGAATTTCGAACAACTTTGATGAAGGAACCAAAGTCATTTGAGTACAAGAAATCATAGAAATATTTTGAAACCGAGCATACTACTGTGAAATCCGAAAATGGTAAACATACTGTGATCATACTAAGTTTTCGGATTCAATATTGATCGGATTGAGGTGAAAATGGAGTACGTTATAGGAATCACGTAAATGAACAACTTTCATGAAGGAAGGTTTCTCATTTGAGCTCTCTAAATTTGAGTTCTCAGCTGATCCAAGGAAGTGACGAATTTTTGAATTTTTGAAGAACAAAAGAAGAATGAAGATTAAAATATGTGAATGAGGAAGAAAGGGATGATACAATGAATGATGAGGATAAGAATAATTTCATGATTGAAGATTCTTAGAGGTGAGTCATCAATTTAGAGTGATAATACAATGAATGGGGAGGAAGAGAATACATTCTTGATTAATTAAGGAATCTTAGGCTAAGTGAGTCATCAGTTTAGAATAGGTGACTCACCACTTTCATAATTGCAAATTTGGAAGCTTGAGGCAAGAGGGGAAGAATGGGAGGAGGGTGGTTTGATGCCCTCCACGTTTCAATCTAATTTTTTTTTTGGCCTAAAGGGTATTTTGGTAATTTTCACACATAAGAGTATTTTGGCCATTTTTGTCCAACTTCAAATTAAACACACTTAATTTAATAATCTCAATCCAAAATTACTTAGTAAAATACCCGTAATCATTCTCCACAAAATATTATTTTTCACTAAAATATGAAAATCCTCCTTGAATTTTTTCGGGGTGTTACATAAATAGAAAAAATTTATAATAATACATGCACAAAGTGTTTTTCAACCAATCCGATGGCAGTTTCTTGACATTGATATTCAGGCGAAGGAGACTTTCCGTTAGTAGAAACATAAGAGATATGGTGTTTAAAAAATGTATCAAGATCACATTGTAACAATTTGCAATAAGGTAACCCATTTCTGGTATGAGCATCCACCTGTCTTCTAGAGGGAAAGCAGTACTCAACCTCACGCTTAATTTCAACACTCTGAAAGATGAATTCATAAAGAAATTCATCATTTTTCAACTCATTTAGGAACTCCCTCCTTACCTTGTGCCAAGAATTCTTCTCATAACCTAGCAACCCAACAATGGCTCTAAAGCCACAATTGCCATCATATTTTACATCTTTGGCCCCCATAATAAATGGCCTTATAGCAGCTGGAAGTTTGTCATTATATTGTTGTGTCAAGTCTTCGGGATTAACAATTTGTTGCTTATGCACCTGAATAAAAAAATTATGAGTTGATCTTTTGAAATTTTGATGCGTTAATCAAAATAATATAAGTACATACCAGTAGTTTTGGTGCCTGCTTTTTAGGTAGTGTAGTTTCAACATTAACAATTGTGAGTGCTAATGATTGAGTATCATGGTTCACCTATAAAGTAAAGAAACATAAGGAGCAACAAGTATAATTGTAATATGAAGTACTTACCGTCGGATAGTTGAGAATTCCTATTACAACTGGATTCGACAAGCTCAAAGGCTAAAGGCAATCTACGAATAAACTTGTCAAAATTACTCGGATCCCCTTTTGTCTTGATCTTTACTTATGGTTCTCTAAGTGTTGAAGATTTTGGATCCATAATCTCTTGTGACTCCATACCGATGTGTCTCTTGGTGTCAGCATCATTACTTTCAAGGGCAGACGCACGTTGGGACAAGAGGGGTCGCACGACCCCTTGGAATGCTGGAAAATTGGTAAGGAACTCCATGAACGACCCCTTAAACAGTTGCTGGATGACCCTTTGTATGCACACCAACTGCTCGACGAAAGTCCCAGCTGATATGCTTCCTCTGCGCGTCATTTTTTTTTAAAACTAGCCTTGCCAAACGACGTCGTTTGGTCCAAGGCTCAGTCAATTTTTTTTAATTGACTTGGCCTCAAAATGATGTTGTTTTGGGCCAAGTTTTAAAAAAATAAAAAAAATACAAATAGACGTAGACCCGATTCTGCACAGCACAACACCTCCAAACTTCATTCCCAATTTCAAATCTCTTCCACCCTCTCAAACCCTAACCTCCCAACCTCCAACAACCTCCATCAACTCTTCGCCGGTGGCTCAGTGCCGACCACCACCACTTGCCGTCCGCCGCCCTTTTGTTCAACTACAAGTAAGCTAAATTTATATTAATAAATTTATGGTGATAATATATATTGTTGATATTGAAATTTTTTTTATGTAATGAAATTTATGGATATGATAATGTAGATTGATTGAGTTTATGCTTGATTGATAATGTGGATTGATTGAGTATATTGAATATTGATTGATATTTGATATGATAATTTGGTATATTGAATATTGATTGATATGGGTTTAGGGTATATTGAATATTGATAGTGGGTTATTGACATTTTCATATTCATATAATAATTTGGATAAAAATTAATGATTGATTAAATTGATTGATTTGTAGATTTATGGAACGATTCTTTAAAAGAAAATTATCTACGGATAGTTCTTCTCAATCTAATCTGGGTAGTTCAAATGCAAAACCAATTGAAGTAGATGAAATATTGGCTAATCTTTAGGCAGACCCTGGACTAAGAACTCGAATAATGGATTATAGTCTTAATATTCGGGATGAGATTCAAAGAGCATATCTACAAAAGGGACCTTGTCAACCTAGAAGTTATTAATTCCCACAAACTAATCAATCAAGAATTAATAGACGCTTCATTGTTCAATGGTTTGATGAGTTTGATTGGTTAGAATATAGTATAGCTAAAGATGCTGTGTTTTGTCTTCATTGTTATCTCTTTAAACCTAATTTTGATCAAGTGGGTGGTGACGGATTCACTGGTTCACTGGGGTAGGCTTTAATAATTAGAAGAAGGGGAAAGAAAGATTTAACCTTCATGTTGGACTGGTTGGTAGTGTTCACAACCAAGCTAGAGAAGTTGGTTACAATTTGATGCATCAAGCTACACACATTGAAACAGTTATGATCAAGCAAACAAACCAAGCTCGCATGGCGTATCGCACTTGCTTGAATGCATCACTCAAGTGCACTAGGTATTTATCGCGACAAGGTCTTTCTTTTCGTGGTCATGATGAAAGTGTCATTTCAAGTAATAAGGGGAATTATTTAGAGCTCTTGCAATTTCTTGCGGATCATTATGAAAAAGTTAAGGACGTTGTGTTGGAAAATGCTCCGGGCAATTTAAAGTTAATAGCTCCTTCAATTCAAAAAGATCTTGTCAATTCTTGTGCTAAAGAAACCATTGGTCTTATCTTGAGTGATGTACAAGATAGATATTTTTCAATAATTGTGGATGAAGCACGTAATGTTTCAATAAAGGAGCAAATGGCGATGATGTTGCGTTATGTGAACGACAAAGGACAAATAATTGAAAGGTTTGTTGGGGTTCAACATGTAACTAACACTACTTCAAGTGCACTAAAGGAAGACATGGATGAATTCTTTTCTTCTGCGAATTTGAGCTTTTCCAAGCTATGATAACAAGGTTATGATGGAGCTAGTAATATGAGAGGTGAGTTTAATGGCCTTGAAACAAAGATTTTGAGAGAACAACCTTATGCATTTTATGTTCATTGCTTTGCTCATAAACTTCAACTAGCTCTTGTTGCCGTAGTAAAGAAAAACATTGATGTCAACTCTTTTTTCACAACAGCTAATAGTTTGGTTAATGTTGTTGGAGCATCTTGTAAGCGTCGAGATGCACTTAGCGCACAATACCAAGAAGAGCTTGTGAAGGCTTTTGAGAATGATTGTTTTATAACAGGGCGAGGTTTAAATCAAGAAACTAGTCTCAAACGTGCCAGCGATACACGATGGAACTCACATTATGGTACGTTGATTAGTATCATTTCTATGTTCTCATCTGTGGTGAATGTGCTTCAAATGATTGTTGATGATAATCGTAATGATAGTTCGGGTGAAGCCTATAATTTATGGAGAGAAATACAATCTTTTGAGTTTGTGTTTCACTTATTTTTAATGAAAGCTATATTGGGAATAACAAGTACTTTGTCTCTAGCATTGCAAAAGAAAGATCAAGACATTGTGAGTGCAATGAGTTTAGTGAAAACATGCAAGGAAAACATACAGTTGATGAGGGATAATGAGTTTGAAGAATTGGTTGAGCAAGCATCTTCATTTTGTGACAAACACGATATTATAGTTCCTACCATGGATGAGGAATATGTAATTCCAGGAAGATCACGACGTAATGCTCCAATGAAGACAAATTATCATCGTTGTGGTGTGAAGATCTTTGTTCATGTAATTGATGGGCAACTTGAGGAATTAAATGATCGCTTTGACGAGGTAAGTACTGAGTTACTTACTTGTTTGGCATGCTTGATCCGAAAAATAACTTTGTAGCATTTGACAAACAAAAGCTAGTTCATCTTGCTCAATTTTATCCTGAAGATTTTTCGGATCGAAACTTATTGATGCTTGAAGATCAACTTGGTGTTTATGTTCATCATATGCGTTTAAGTAGTGATTTTTCTCAATTGGAAGACATTAGTAGTCTTGCAAAAAAAATGATGGAGAAAGGAATGCATGAAATATTTCCTTATGTGTATTTGCTTCTTATATTGACTTTGGTTTTACCAGTTGCAACCGCTTCAGTGGAGAGGGCAGTTTCCATCATGAATATTATTAAAAATCCACTTCGCAATAGAATGGGAGATCAATGGTTGAATGATAGCTTGATTGTTTACATTGAGAGAGATATTTTTGCTTGTATTGATAATGAAACTATAATGCAACACTTTCAAAATATGAAAACTTGCTGTGAACAATTGTTACTTGTATTATTGGTTTTGTTATGAATTATGAATGGAAGTACTATATTTCTATCTTTTTAGTATTATTTTCCTTGTAGAAAATTTCGGAACATTTATACTAAGACCCCTGGCCACATAACTGATTACTTTTAAACCAGTTGACAAATACGTCAATCTTTGCATCTTCAGGAGAATCTAAGTTGTATTAATTTGAGCAATAGGAACATATCTAATTTCCTTCAGTGAGGATTAGCACAATGAAGAAGAATAGGTCGGAATACTAGACTTAACTCAGCCATCTTATGAGTACATGGTAACCCATGGCTGCATTTAATAATGGGGTGGTGCTAGAGGCACCAACTCTCTAATAGAGGTGGAGCCTGCCAATACAATGGGTCTCATGCTTTATTAGAGAGTTGGTGCCCAAAGTTAGTGCCTCTAGCATTTTCCTTAATAACGCCACTGCATGTAGTGGGATTAGCCTCGACATATTTTATCCTCTTTGATTTAATATACCCAAAATAGGGGCTGTAATTATAAAAAAAAACCCTACATAGAATGCACTTTAGAAATACACCCAAAAACCATTTACTACATATGAAATTAGTATTGAAGTTCCTATAAATTACATCTCTGTCATTGATTAACTTAAAACAAGCCCAATACAAAATTTCCAAAAGAACCCAAAACAAGCCCAGCGAGCCCATATTAGATTTTTTTGCCATGTCATAAAAGTACATTGTTAATACCATGTCATAAAAGTGTTTTGTTAATACCATGCTATAGAAGTATATTGTTAATACCATGTCATAAAAGTACATTGTTAATATCATGTCATAAAAGTGCATTGTTAATACCATGCTATAGAAGTATATTGTTAATATCATGCTATAAAAGTATATTGTTAATATAATTTCATAGAAAAACATTGTAAATACCATTTCATACAAAAAATCCAAAAAACCCTAACAAGAGATTCGATATCCTTTGCTGCCACCTCCAATTGTCCATAATTTCACCAGATATAATCGCAAGGGCAAAAGGAAATACCTTTACAAGAAGAAAAAAAAATACATTGTTAATACTATGTCACAGAAGTACATTGTTAATACTATGTCATAGAACTATTTTCCTAATAAAAATCACATTTTGCATATCATAAACTTCAAGTGCATAGCCATATATAAAGCAAAATATAGAGTGTGCTTTGTTACTGAAAATCTGTTAATATTATGTCATAGAAGTACACTGTTAATACTATGTTATATAAATCAACTCAGTTGCAGGGTATGAACAGTATAATAGTTGTTCATACTACTTACTGGAAGTTAACAATTGCTCATGTGACTTACAGATAACAAATTGTATACTACAAATCAACTTACCAGCTTGTTGAAATTTACAAAAGTCATATATTAGACCAACAACCACCTAAAAAGCCAAAATTGGCTTGTTACAAATGTCATATCAAAGCATAGAGAAATGAATAAATTCAGTCACACGACACACTTAGAATGAGTTCAAAATGATAATATCTCTCTTCATCAAAATAACATAAGACCAAAATGAAATCAAAGCATAATCATTAAATTCAACTGCAATCCATTACAAACTTGCAAAGCAAAGAGAGTAGCTCTCTTTCAGCTACAATTCAGAAGCAAAAATAATTGCACAAAACTAGTACAATAAATAAACCAACTTTCTCATTTTCTAACTCTAAAAATGAGGAATTTGTGAATATTGACACATTTTATCAGCAACCCAAATTCCCAAAACAGATGTAACTCACCCAATTTTTTGGTTAAACTTTTACTAAGACTCTTAGCTAGCAGCTTGAAATGATGTAGAAAGTTTGGTCTCCTAGTTCGACAACACCAAAACTAAATGAATTAAAACATATGCTATACCTAACTGATAGGCTTTGGTCAAACATAGAGCCAATAGTAGGGAAACTGAATTTGGTTAATATTACAGAGAACAGTCCTAGGAATGTAGGAAAGACATGCATCCTCTCTGTAATGTATTCACTAATTTGTATTTTTGGTGCCCCTGAAGAAAGAAAGGACTAACATCAACCAAAGCAAATATGCCTATCACGACTAAAGAACAAATCAATTAGTTTCCTTCCATATTGAAACGATCATAAAACACAACATAAAAGTTAACATGTTCAAATCTCTAACACTTGACCATGTAAAGATTGATTTAATGATGCTTTCTCTCTGTATCTCTCATTGTGTGGCTAAATGTCAAATTAACTGAGATAGCAGCTTAATTTTACACTCTGATGGCACAGAGTATGCAAACCAACTAAGCTCCTACAAATTACACACGATAACAAGTTAGCCTATTATACATACAACAGCGGAAGAGAAAGCTAACAAGGGAATCTGATCAGTTCTGATAGAGAACACAACCACATTACAAATGGTTGATTATCTACAATGATGCAATAAATTCAAGGATAAGATTCACCATCTGTGCGTCATAAGCAGGGCCTTCCATTTGGAAGTGGCTTACGCCTTCAATCAGGTGTGTTTCGATGCACCTGGCTGCTGAACTTAGCTTGTTCTTGAGCTGCTGAACACTTGTGAACCCATCCTTAGTTCCTATTATGAAAAAAATTTGGTTTTGGAGATTGTAGTACGGCTTTGTGGTGTCTCCCAAAAAGTATAGAGGCAATCATGTCGAAAGGATACCCTAGACTAACATAACCCATAACTTGTTCAATCTGATCTACTGCAGAGCCTGCAACTGGGGCACCTACAAAATAACATAGGGGAAATTTTAAAAATAGGAGGAAATTAGTCTACCCAGCACTGTTTAATGCTTTGCTTTTAATGAAAAACCATTGCAGTAACAGAAAATGCTGCTGATCACAAAGCTAACAGATAGACCACACTATATATCACCCATTTTGAACATGTCAACATAAAAGTTAACATGTTCAAATCTCTAACCTAAGCCATACAAACTAAGTCGTTGAATTTAAAATGTTCACAAGCCAAACGCAAACAGAAAACACAACAATTCATACAATAAAACTAGAAAATACTGAAATGAGCAATCAACATAAGAATAAACGGTGAAAATACGTACATCAGAGGCATCACTGATGATCAAACTCAGAAGCTGGTTGCTCTCATGGATTAGGACCTGAGTCCACCTTCTGAGTTGTAAAACAACTTTGCCGAGATTGGTGATCCTTCGAGGTTGGTGCATGCGAAAGAGAAATCGTCTTCATCTTCTTTCTTCTCGCAATCACCATTGGCGTCGGCATTCTGAACACCTTCTTCCGGAAATTGACACCTCAAATCTACAAAGTAGCCACAGAACTTCGTGAGCTTAACCATTAGCTCTGTTCATATCCAAAAAAATAGAAATTAGCACCAAATTCAACGAAGAAACTGAAATCAAGTAGAAATTCAAGTAACTTAAGCAAAAATCAAAAGGAAAATAACGAATTGAAGCAGATGGAACAAACCTGCAAAGGAAATGGAGGCATCGGCGGCGAGAACACGGGGCCACCTACGTAACGGAGATTGTCGTCGGTCTTGTGTTGGTGCATGGCTTTGAGACTGTTTGCTTTACTTTGAAGGCATAGAGAGTGAAGAAGGGAGAGAACAGAGGAGAGATGGTGGTTTGAAGCAGGAGAGGGGCTTGAGGCTTCAAACCTGAGGGAGGGCTTGAGGCTTCAAACCTAAGGGAGGCTTCAAACGAGATCCAAAACTAATTTAATGCTAAAAAGGGTAATAAAGATATTTCATCTTATTAATTAAATTAAAAAATATTACAATTGTTGATTTTTGGGTTTATTTTGGATGTGTTTCTATGTTTTAAATAGTGTAGGGTATATTTATAGTTTCATGTTTAGGAATGGGTGTTTTACTAATTTTGTATAAAATTTTCTCTAAGGCAACAATAGATACATACCCTATCAAGTCTTTAAGTAGGCTCACCTTATTGAATTCATGTTGGACAAATGATTGACTCCTCTCAAATGAAGCCTTTATCTCAATGTGTTTCAATACTAACATGGCATGAATCTTAGCCCACGATGTTTTGAAGTTACATTGGCTTGTGCTAAGTTGTCGCTTCAGTTTTGAATGTGCACTTTCTGCCCTATTTATAAATATTGAAACAAGATATTTAGTACAAGCTAGGAATAACTAAAGAAATATATAGATGATACGGGTTATCGTTAAATAGTCGACATACCTATTTGATGTGGTGTTGCCAAAATGCATGCAAGTATCTATCCATACAGCCACAAACCTATCCTTATACTCTTTTAACCAATTGACCTTCACATAATCAAGCGTCTTACTATACTTTCCTTCAAAGATCCTATCCATCTCATGTAGATTTCTTTCATAATCAACCTCAGGCTTTACTAAGACTAGCATATTCCATAACACTATAAATTGTTCCCATTTTTCACCATTTTTAAGTATACCCTTGCAAGCCTTCATCACACACCTGTTGATATGCCATCTACATAATAAATGTCGGCCACTAGACAACACATTGCGAATGGCATTCATAAGTCCTATTTCCTTATCAGTTAAAATCACACTTGGAAGACAATTTGTATTCATGATGCTCTCAATCTATTCAAAACCCACGCATAGTTGTCTTCCTTTTTAGAAGAAATATAAGCAAATGCAGCTAAGAATGTTAGTTTCGTCGATGTCACCCCTACAATTTGTAGTAATGGGTATTAAAACTTGTTTGTCTTATATGTGCAATCCATTACTAGTACATGAGGAAATGCATGCAATAGGTTTACACTATCAGGGTGAGCCTGAAAAAGATCGGTCACACAATTGGTGTCATCAGTCATATGTCAATGAATATACTTGTGATCAGATAGTCTGCATAACAATAGTTGCATATCAACCACTCTGCTTTTGTGTCTAGCATTATAGATTGTCCTCATTGTTGTAACATTTTTGCCATCTCGTCGTTTAATGGTGTATAATATATATTTTGGCCTCACCAAGCTTTTAGACATATCCACCAGCAAGTTGTTTTCTTCCTTGCTTAACCTCCCTGCATATGAATGGCCTTCAAGATACTCAACATAATGATGGTAATGAACTCCACATACAACCCAACTTTCCACTCATCTCCAGGACCAATATTTAACCCCTTCAGCTGAAACGGGCAACCACACTTCTTTGTACCAGTGCTTTTAGGACCCTTTTTTTCCGGTGATCAATGCTTACATCTGCATCAAAATTCATTGGTTGTTCGTCATCTAAATCTACATAAGATCAATACTTACTCTCTTACAACCTAAAGTAACTCTAGCTCTCCTCATTATATTTTTCCCAGCTCCATCAAACCTTTTGATGACAACTACTATGCCACACTTTTCGTCCTTGCGCACGACTCCAATTAAGCAATGCATCTCGACTACTCAATATCTATATAAAAGCATATATGGTAGTTGTAAAAGATTATCAACCACTCATAAGTTACAACACCATAATAACAGTTTATTTACCTCATCATTTGTGAATTGTTTAGTTGTGTCCAAAACACTTTCTGTCCTGGTACCATGGCTTGGAGTAGAAGTATTTTGTTGTGGTTGCCACAAATAAAAAATAAAAAACACAGCTCCAATTAAGCAATGCATCTCAACTATTCTTAGTTATATATTTTTTTTGATCTTCATAAAAACATATTATGATCAAACAATATAATATTAGTTCTATAAGGATTACTATGCTTAGTTATATCAACCAGAAATTTCATTCACACACAATAATTTTAATTGACAATCTCACAATACAAGTCAATGTAATGATAGAAAGAATTTATAAATTAACTACTAGCGACTTCTGGTCCTATGGACGGTGGGCACATGCAAGGTAATAAAATAAACATATTCCAAAAAAAAGAAGTTATAAATGGGCATTAGTTAATAAATTCATTTAAGTTGAGTTATTATGCATTTATAGACCACAATAGAATTCCAAGAGATTTTCTCAAACTCGGCTAATGACACATGAACCTTAATAAAATCCCAATGAAAATAGAAAAATAAGATTGAAACTGGAACAAGATAGGTCAAACCTGTAACCTGACAAGTTCATTTTGAAAATCCACAAGCTTTAAATGGACAGTTGGCTATGTACTCGAAAGTAGACTATCATAATCCTCCCATGAAACACAAGCATAGTACTCATGAGTCATGAGTCGTGACTGTCATAAAGCAACAACTAAAAAGTTGGATATATGAAACAAAGGGAAGAGAATAAGATTATTACAACCAAGCAATCAACAAGCCTTTCCATCAGCTTTCACACAGCTTTTAAAGAGGTAGACTTCTCAACGTTCTACCTCTTTAAAAGACTAGTGGGGTATGTGTATACTAGGGTTAAGTATTAGGTTGGTGACTCTTTAGGAAGTGTTCTTTTTAAAGCGAAGACTCTGTCGATTTTTCAATAAAAGTCTTTGCCTTTCTTGGGAAAGAAGGGCAGTCCAATAAAATGGGTCCAACATCGGCAAGGTGTCGGACGGTAACATGATTCGTCACTAGTTCCAAGGGGGAATTCAGAGCGAGTCTAGTCATGCTCGATACACAACGCCAGGAACGCCACAATAGAAAGGTGCACCTGAGAGAATAAATCGAACCTTGAAAGATATGGTTCGCAGAATGATTTCAAAAACTGATTTGCTTGAGCATCTTTTGGGAGATGCGATCAAAATCGCCAACTATATACTCAATAGAGTGCCTAGCAAGTTAGTACCTAAGACACCTTTTGAAATCTAGGGTGCTAGAAGGCCTAGGTTGTAACATCTCCATGTTTGGGGTTGTAGAGCTGAAGCTAGAATCTACAACCCTCAGGAGAAGAAGTGATCCTAAAATGATTAGCTGTTATTTTATTGGCTATCGTGCAAGGTCAAAGAGTTTTAGATTTTACTATCCAAATTATAGTAACAGAATTGTTGAGATTGGTTGTGCAAAGTTTATAGAACATGAGGAGAATGGTACTGAGAATGAAGATTTTATTTTCGAAGAAGAATGTGATGTAATTGTGACAGAAAATGCTGAACAAAATGCAACATCCATGATTCCCCTAAGTGATATTGCTCAACTACAAGCTACTGAGAGACTGCGAAATCACCAATTAGAGCCTCCTCAGTTTGAAGAACCAATTGATCAATAACAAGAACAAGCTGTCGAAAATGTTTGTAAAAAATACCTTCATGAATGGTGAACTTGAAGAATGTAATTTTATGAAACAACCTAAAGGGTTTGCAAATGAGGGAAAAGGGCATATGGTTTGCAAACTTAACAAGGTGATTTATGGTATGAAGCAAGCAAGGAGAAGGTGGTATTTCAAATTTGTAGGTACTTCATGTGATTAGTGATGGAATGTTTGATAAAGAATAGCAATGCTTGTCCATAGTTCATTTTGTCTAGTTGCTTTTCACTGTTGATAGAAGGGAAGGACTTAACTTATTTAAACTCATGGTCAAATAAAGATAATCAAACTTTTGGAATACAAAAACTTAGTGTTCTAGTGCTTGATCTAATGGGAGAATGTTATATTTTCCTACATAGATCCATGAAATAGAAGCTAGTTTAGATTGATGAGTCATCGAATTATTGCAGTTTGATAAGAGTTTAAGTTTTGGCTATACTTGCGGCTCACAGTTGTGAATTAAGGAAAGTTTTTGTAGCCAAGTAAAGGAGTCCTAATAATTTCTTTTTAAGTGAACCGTTGTTTGATAGGTTTAGAGTGCTAGTTAAGTTAGGTCTCGATGATGAGTAGAGACAACTTAAGACCCTGCTCTTATCACACACATTATCTAACCCTAGTCTCATTGAAAAGAGAAAGCTATAACATACTTGAGAAAGAGCAGAAGCCTTAAGTTGCTAACCCTTGTAGGTCTCGTGTCTTGTTGCTTGCGTTGCCGTTTCTATTGGATGAGTTTTGAAGTCTTGTACTCTAGAAAGATGGCGACATGTATGAGTGCTATGTGTTTTAGTTTGTGTGAAAGGTCCTAACTCACTTTCAGATTATATTCTAATAAGCAAATGAACAACAACACTTAACACTATGACACATCAAAACCAGCAACCTAAGGTAACATATAGGAATGCAGAATTCATGCAAGGCACACCAACATATGGGACTAAGGAGGCTTGTATAACAAGAGCCTTAAATCACAATCTTTAGCAAGCAGCGAGTGTGATATTCCCCATTTTTTGTTTATGTTAGGAGAACAATGTGGTGTGTTATTTCTGAATGTTACACTTTTGACATGTCTATTGTAGTCAAAGAGAACAATTAATACTAGGCAATTCATGCCAATGGAAGATGTTGCTCCATCTTCTAACCCTCCTAACTCTGCACCTCAATTGACTACTATGCCTCATTCTTTCCAAGTCAATATCCTAGCCCATCAACTTACACATAACCAAAGAAAAATGTTCTTGCCAAGAAGGCCAAGCCATGGAGACCATAGAAACACTTTTGGAGCTTTGAATTATATAGTAGTTAGCTTTTGTGTGTCTTGGGGCTTTCTATCTTAGAATATGAAGATCTTTTTCTTGTTTTTGGGATGTTGATTTTGGAATTTGAAATGTTTCTGTGTCAAGAATTTTTATGCTTGGTTGGGCATACTTTTTGTTAGTGCAAGATTTATGTGTTGGCATGTTTCCTAGCCTAAAACCATGTTATGTAATCTTTAGGATATGTCGAGTAATGTTCAAGTGATGAAGATTTGATTGGAAGTGATGAAGATGAACAAAGGTTTTGAAGCTCTAAAGCACAAGGCTGTCTCAACTCATGATTAGGAAAGGTAATTTTGTAACATCCCGACCCAATTTTAATCATTTAATTAATCTTTATAAATTTGTTTAATTTATTTAATTATGAAATTACAATTTTGACATCGGAGTAGGGTCATTTTGGTCACTTTTTAATCTAGTAGGATTTTGGGGAAATGAATGGCACCATGACATAGATCGTGTCAATATGAGTTCGTAGACACTTAGTGGGCTCAAATCGGAGTTGTAACAAAGAAGTTACCGGAGTTGTAATGAAGAAGTTACGATCTACGGAAGCCCAATGGCATAATCGTAAATATTTAGAAAATGTATTTTTAAAAGTCTAAATTTCTTCTCTCTCTCTCTCTCTCTCTCTCTCTCTCTCTCTCTCCCTCCCCGAGCCCTCCTCCCTTCGCACCAACAGACCCCCCTTAAAATAGCCGATGGGATTTTGGCTTCCCATCGCCGCTGTCGTCCACCTCCTGCCACAAGGCCAATACCAAAAGAACCACCTCCACCTTCTCTCTCCATCCCACCCCTCCGCCGCCTCAACCACCGGCCACCGTCCCGGAAAGATTAGAAAACCGACCGGTTTTGACCCAAATTTTCCAACATTCGTTCAAGCAATTCCGGCCACCAATTTCTTCGAAATCGTTGCATTAATAATATACCCAAACCAAATTAACTTACTCATTACCCTGGAAAATGAGAAATAAAATCAATTGCAACAAGGAAATGCAAGAAGAATAAAACCCCAATAGTGCCAAATCATTTTTCAATCTGCAGGTTATGCTACGAAAAACAAATCTAAATGTCATCTCACAACTCAAGACATTCCATATAAAAATAGAAACAAAACCAAAACCCCAAAAGTGAAGAAAACCATGCCAAACATATTTAACAAAAAAATGCAGTGAGATTCATATTTGAATTTTTTTTAAAGAAACTTAAACCAAAAGACTACCAGAAATAAATGAATACATTAAGTCATACCGAGGCAACGAAGTGCTAAACCTTGAAATTGGAACTTGCAAAATGAAAAGCCAGAAAGTATTATATCAAAAATGCAAATTAAAGAATACACCAAAATATATTTAAAAATAAAAAGAAACAAGAGCACACTGAAGAGACGAAGAGAGGTTGGTTGTTGGTTTCAATGGGTGTTTGTAGGTTCAAATTTCTAGTTGGAAAACTGGTGAGAAAATCTTACGAAATGGAAGGTAGCCTTACTTTTCAAATTTGGAGAAGAGGAGTTGTAGCCTGGGGATGAGATCTCGCATAAGTCTTCGTCCAAAACAAAATCGAGGAACTAACAAGGAGAAAATTGGAAATATAGTGCAAAAATTGGAAAAAAAGAAGAAGAAAAGATCTGCGAAAATGGGGAAACAAAATCAACAAGGATCGTAAGAAAAAGGGGAGAAGCATAAAATAAGGATAGCTGATTTTGATCTGCCATTATCCATAGTTTTCTGGCTAAAAAGGTGTTGTTTTTCTCTGAAAAGTGATGCAGACTCCAATTACACCATGGCTTATCTTTTCTTTTCTTCAAAGAAACAAAAAAGAAGAGGGAGGGAATTCCCCATTAACGACATTAACATTCGTACTAGATGAAAGTGCCCTCTCTC